AATATTTTATTTTATCATATAGGCCATGAAAAAACACAAATAAATATAAATTCCCGTGAAGTTAGAATAGTGCTCTGGGAAGATCATTATAGGACGGAGAGAGTACTTCCTCCATCTTATGATGTTCTCGTTTTAATATTTAGCAAATTTATTGAAGGAATAATTTTGTGTTGATTTTTCAAATTTATCTGTGATGTGATGGGTAAAAATAATATTTAATTGGTGGATTATTAGAAAAAAAAGTATGATGTTATAGGTAAGTTAAGAATTAGTAAGAGTAAAAGTAATTTTTTTATATACTCCCTCCGTCCCATAAAGTGTTACCCATTTTGATTAAAGTAGAAATTAAGGGAGAGATAATTTTGTGTTAACTTTCCAAAAATACCCTTGATGTGATGGGTAAAAGTAAGATGTGATGTGTAGATTATTAGGAAAAAAATATGATATGATAGGTAGGGTTTGAAAAAGTAAGGGGTAAAAGTGGTTTTTTAATAGAAAAGGGTAGGAGATTGTGGGACACAATTTTTTTGAAAGATGTAAATCTTTTTGGGACGGAGGGAATATTAAAGAAGGAATTTTTGGGACAAGAAATAAAAAAAGGAGGAGTTTTTTAAAACGGGGTGAGTAAATTTTGTTTGGATTTTTCAAATTATCCTTGAAGTGAAGGTAAAATTATAATGTGGTATATATATTAGTAATGAATAAATGTGATATGATTAATAAGATAAAAAATTAATAGGCATAAAAATATTTTTTTATGAAGAATAAAAAATAATTCTAGGACTAACACTTTCTTGCAAAGTATATCTATCCTTAAATTATTTGAGACGAACCTAACTATATATGTTTCACATGTAAAGTTTGTGAGATACCTCAACATATATACACCAAAAATAAAAAACAAAAACACAATTTATATCTATTCGAACATAGATATTACTCCGTATGTGTTTATATACTCGAATTAATTCCGATGTTTTTCAAAAAGGATTCCTGATCAATGCAATCCAAAAAATCTAGATAATGAACACTACTCCTTGTACTCCTTTACCTACGGATGCCAATTGAAAATATAAAGCCATCTATTTTGTTATATTCAATTTTGTGTTGGTATAATACTAATTTTTAGTGATGAACCAACACTTTATGTCAGTGTAAATGTTTGTTAACACACCAACACTTTGATTGATAATTTTTGTTAAATTTTTGTCTTTGGTGTACAAATAATATACTCTCTACGTCTCGATTTGTAAGTCTATTTTCATTGATTATTTGATAATATAAAAAATATTTTTATCACATTTTATTTATAGTATTTTTATACACTTTTAAACGATGTAATTTATATTTTTTATTTCTATTCTAATTTATAATTAAAATAATGTACTCCCTCCGTCCTATATCTTTCTTCCCGTTGCGCAAAACGAAGAAAAATCCTAAGTTTTTTCAATCAATTTTATTTAAATATTGGTATAGAAATAAAAAATAAAACATACTCCGGTACATATTTAAAAACTACATCAAAAGTTCAACAAAACAAGTGGTGACAAGAATATTTTATTTTATCATATAGGCCATGAAAAAACACAAATAAATATAAATTCCCGTGAAGTTGGAATAGTGCTCTGGGAAAAACGTTTTAGGACGGAGGGAGTAAATAATAACGAGATTTGTGCGATCGAGTATGACATAATGGGAGGGATGAAGTATAATTTTGTTTATCCATACCATTACCCGTAACAATAATGTTAGAGCTACACCAAAAAGTATATTCTAATTTATAGACTAAAGAGATGCACTGAAATTTTAATGGTTTGTATTAGCACACAAAGTATTAGTTCACTTAAAAAATAACTTGTCACATGCGAGACCAGAGAATCATATCACAGAAGATATTGTTTGACTTTAGGACTCCATATTTAATTGCACCATGTGATAATTATAATTTGATGATCTTTGAATCAAATAAGACAATTATTGTTGTTTTTTGAGAACAAAATGAGACAATTATTGTTGGCTCTCAAGCCTGTATGATAGGTAATAATGCAGCTAACATGCACGTGTATGTAACTTTAAGTCTTTAACCACTACTCCGATCCGTATAAATTATAGAAAAAGATTATTAAATTATGATGTAAATTTAATATCAATAAATTTATTTTAAAATATAATTTTGAAGTTTTATATATATATATTGTTAGAATATAAATGATTGTTTCTGAGTCACAATCACAAGCTTGAGCTTTTGGTTGAATTGGTTCCTTGACATGGTATCGGAGCCTCGTTGACTAAGAGGTCACGGGTTCGAAACTCAGCGCCACCCAGTTTAAAAAAAATTAAGGTTTCACGTGCAAGGCTCGAAAAAGACTACGCCTGCACGTGAGGGGGCGTGTTATATATGGGGCCGATTCTTGTGAGAATGGACCTTGGGGAGAGAAATAAGAATAAATCTGAGGCTTAGGATTGAATGCATCGTGCGGCCATAAATTGATTGGGATGGAATCCAACCGTGTGGGATATATTTGGGAAGTAATAATTGCAGTGCATTTAATTAGAGTTAAATTGGTTAAGAGGGGTATATTTGTAATTTGAAATGCATAATAAATTTGGGAAATACCCACAATGTCGTACCACCCTTAATAATAGCTAGACACGTCACATGCTAGGTGTATTATATAATATTGTTAATTTCCAATCATTTAATATTGTATTGTGCATTATATTTTATATACTCCCTCCGTCCCGGAGTATTCGTCCAGTTTTGACTTTTAGAACTGTTCATCTAAGCACTTTGACTCATCAAATTCTCTCAATGTGTAAGCCTAAATATAGTCATGTGTGATCTTGTTTGATTTGTCTTAACATATAGATTATTAATATATAATTTCTATAATTTTTTAATATACAAATTACAAGATAAAATGGATTAAAGAATTGTATTGGATGGTGTGTAAAAATGAAAGTGGACAAATACTCTGGGACGGAGGTAGTATAATTTTTTNCGGAGTATTCGTCCAGTTTTGACTTTTAGAACTGTTCATCTAAGCACTTTGACTCATCAAATTCTCTCAATGTGTAAGCCTAAATATAGTCATGTGTGATCTTGTTTGATTTGTCTTAACATATAGATTATTAATATATAATTTCTATAATTTTTTAATATACAAATTACAAGATAAAATGGATTAAAGAATTGTATTGGATGGTGTGTAAAAATGAAAGTGGACAAATACTCTGGGACGGAGGTAGTATAATTTTTTGAACACAAGTCCCTTTTTGACAAATAATATGCGGTTGGAAATCTCTCGTTGAGATCTACTCAATGACACCAATATTGAATATATTTAATCCATAATTTAACGCGAATGAAATTTGATGGTCGATATATGCACTTTGATTTGTCCTTTAATTTTATTCCATTAATTTGGATTCTTAAAGTGCACCATAACAGAATTCATTATCTAAAGTAAAAATGCATCATATATTCTCTGTAATGCATATCAAGGGTGCATTTCATGCATTTTAAATATTTTAAAATGCATCTGATATTCTCTGTAATGCATATCAAGGGTGTATATCATGCATTTTAAGCATGAACCATAAGTCCTTAGTGTTACACTGAATCCCATAATGTTTAACCAGAATGTACACAAATGCAAACTAAATGCATCAAAAAACTATGGCAATGTCGTACCTGTGACACATAAATCAATGTCGAAAAGATTGAATTGAATAAGATATCACACCATAAAATATCAACTCTCAATTCAGAAAAAATTTAGACTGTAAAACTAGAGTTCTCAAAAATTTTGTTCCATTCAATTTTGGATTCTAATTTTATCAGTAATACGCGTAAGAGATGAACAAGAGCCCTACAAAAAGAGTTTTTTTGGTACACAACAAATAAAGATTTGATTAAAAGAAAACATTCATTAGAACAAAACCTAATAAATATAGAGACGAAAACTGTATAGTTTCTCCTCCCACGCATTGCATTTAAAGTGAAGAACAAACTTGTGAACTTTAGCTACCAAGTAAATGCACCATAACAAATCCACTATGCATTACACAACAATAGTAATGCACCACGTAAAGTTGAGAAGCATCTAGGTCACCAGAATACTAAACTAAACCTGAAATTAATACAATTCTCCTCTAATTAAAAACCCAAAACTCATAAAATACAGTAAACGATATACAATTATGAACTTAAAAAACAAATAATCCCATTTTAGAATCTGGTTGATTCAAGCAAAACATGACAAAAATTTTAGAAGTTTCACTCTTCAATCTCGTGCATACACTTACTCCACATATTAAATTATGCATCTTTCATATTTTACAATGCATTAGATTATACATATTATTACAACCATGGCTAATTGTGAAAAACGGGAGGGCAAGTACTAAATAAACTTGTTACTTGTAATCACTGAAAATACAAACTACAAACATAATGAATCGCGGCATCTTATTCTCAGAATCCAAAAGAAAAAAAATACAATAATGAAGAGTGTGGAGAGAGTCAACCCACAAACACATAATGACAACAATCTTAAGCCTAATGTGACTACAAAGTTATGAACATCATCCTAGTTGGTGGTTGTTTGCAGTACCAAGAACACAGAATGCACTACTATGTACTCCGTATCTAATGACACATATCTTTACAACCATAGTTACATATGAAAATGACCTCGCATGAAAGAAAAAAAATTTCTTGAGCAAATAACGAAAAATCTATGGGTTTTTTTCCAAATGCAACGAAGTATAAACCAACTACATTAAGAGATAAAATGTTAAAAAACCATAACATTCATGACTACAAAAAACTTAAATACACTAATTTTACTAATTTGAACAAACAAAGAACACAATATCAAACTACGATTCCACTGAGTTTGACAATGCAGTAGGTGTCCCAAAAAGCTCGATTTCCATTCATGAATTTCTCCTTAGAATTACATCGAACACCTGGTGGGCACCCCGATAGCATTACGCCTGAAAATTGCAATATGTTCTAATGAATTCTACAACCCCAAAGGGAATTACAGCAACCTTCAATGATCTAGCTAAAACACAAAGCAAATCCAAGGAAAAAGTACAAAAACATCATGTCATAAAAAATGAATTCTTCTATATCAAATTAGCTAAACAATATATCTTTTTCCTAAAAATGGAAACCTAGAAATATGACACTGACATCATAGGAATATAATCCAAGGTTGAAATATTGTAGAACAACAATACTCCACATAGAATATTGACAGGATGCATTATATTGACTACTAGAATGCATTATATTAGATTGTTGTGATGAAAGAATGCATTATAGGAGAATGATTACCGCCGCCCCTCTTATTTTCAAAGCTCTTGCCATTGTTGTTGGTGCTCAAGCCTAGGTCTTCAGCCTTTCTCATAGTGGCCTCAGGCACCTCCGCACTAGAGGATCGATGCCACTGGGCGGCTCAGCCACGCCGCGACCGGCTACAATTTCCGATCGACAAATCCCCTCCGCATTAAAGGATCGTTGGCGCTAGAATCGACATCAGGATCATCCTCCTTCTTGCCCATGTTCTCGAAACCTTCACTATTCATCATCTTCCTCGTGCTTCCGTTCTCCAAATTGTCACTATTCATCGTCCTCCTTGCAATTGTTGCTCTGCATCACAATATTTATGATAAATATTAATGAAAATTTGAGAAAAAGAGAAAATTGAAGAATGAGAGAATTGATGAGAGAAGAGGTGTTAGTCCCTGATTATACAAATCTAATAGAGACGAATGAGTGGGAGAAAATCTTGACCAAGTAAAAAAGACCATAATACCCATCCGAATTAAAATTATAGAAACGGTCAAAAATGTTGATCCAAGGACTCATATTCATTCTTATTTCTTTCCTAAGATCTCATTCTCACCAGAACCAAAATTTTATATATATATATATATATATATATATATATATATATATGTTATACAATACTCCCTATGTCCCAATTTAAATTGTCTGCTTCGGTTAATGATGTTTGACTGAAGTTATGTTCTAATTATTTTATTTGAAAATTAAAAATTACATCAAAAAATCTATAAAACTAGCAGTGATATGACTGTATTATTTTATCAAATTATTAATAAAAAATAGGAAAAAGAGTTAATGAAGTTTGATCATGTGAATAGTAAACATGTAATTTAGTTTGGGACGAATTGAGTACTACTTTTGACTCATATTTGTCTACTATACTTTTAATTTTTTATAATTAGTTGAAATTGACTTTTGATAAGTTGGTTAAAAAATAGCCTGAGTAAACTAGATTTTTTAATGGAAAGTATAAATATTTTATGATGAGAATAAAATGTGAATGTTGAATTATTTTTTGTAATAGAGGACTTATAAGTTTTATTAAATTAACTATCAAAATTTATAAACTTTAAATGCAAAATTTTAGAATTAGATAAGTGCTCGGGGATGGAGATAGTAATTTGTAATTTGTATTACGTAAGCTCTTTTGGTAACCACATAGTAGCACATATAGAGTTGATATTTTATTTCATTATTTGAATTTTTTTCGAGTGTTAGTTACTCTTTTATAAATACAATATTTGTTCATACTTTTTCAATTTAATTAATTATGTATGTGCGTGAACTAATGTCTTCTTTGCGCGCAAATAAAACATGGATAAGCATCCCACAAGATCTTACTAAATCAACAACAACAAAGCGAAGCATTATCTCATTAGATGAGGTCGGCTACATAGATCAAGTAAAGTTATTACAATCTATATCTTTCATATCTGTGGCGAGATCATTCACGCTAGAGCTCATATTTTGGGGGATGCATGCTTTATTTCTTCTTATAGCCACATGTCTATTCACCATTATTTGATCGACTATTTTCACCAGATGCTCTATTGATATATTCTTCACATGTCCAAATCACCCAAGACAAGATCTTATGGATGCATTCTTAAGACATGTTTTGCGCGTAACTTCACATGAACATTAAAAACCATGTGATTGAAAGTGATGCTTAGATAAAGTGAAGAGGTAAAACTTTAAAATGAATGATTTGGATAGGAATTTAAAATCATTTTTATGGAGAGATGAAATACATTATATTTTAAAAATAGATACATATAAAAACATGTTTTTTTTAAAATTGCATGTCCTACACATTTCTTAAAACATTCAACACATCTTCATAGTACTTGTGATATCTTCAATGAAGAGTGAGAGATTGAGGTGAGAAGATCCCCCAACCCCAACTGCCTGCACGGCCACTTCTTTCAATCTCATAGCTCTATCTCTCATTGCATTCCCATCTTGCCCCTGGCCTGTCATCATCACCCTCTGGACGGCGCTCCTCACGCTCTCTCGGTCGACTCTCTGCTCCGACGACGACAATCTGACTTCCTCCCCCAAGTGCACCACTGACTTTGCCCCGACGCTCGCGGCCGTTTTCAGCACTTCCACGGCAAACTTCTCGTTCAGGAACTGCTCGGCGAACAAGGGCCACGTTATCAACGGCACGCCGGCGACTATCCCTTCCAGGGTCGAGTTCCATCCGCAATGCGTTAGAAATGCTCCGATTGAAGGATGGGCCAGAATCAGTACTTGTGGGACCCATCCCCGGATTAGCAGACCCCTCTCTTTCACTCTCTCCTCATATCCGTTCTCAGATATCCATGCCTCTACCTGTTAATTATTGTTCACAATATTTGTTCACAATATTGATTTGTAAGAAATTAAAAAAGAGAGGGGTGACAAGGAGACCCCAAGATTTTGATGCCAAATACACACCAAAACCAACAAGACACGTACACTCAGATATTTAATGTTTGCATGTGCACAGACTTTAAATGTCCGAGTGTGTCTCTATTGGTCTTGATGTGTATTTGGTGTTAAAATCTTTGGATCCCCTAACATTTTTGTTTAAAAAACGATGGTAATTTTTATTGTAACTTTTAGACAATAAAATTATATAGGTCTATGACCAAAAAGTTGTGTTTTTGGTTGAATTGATTCCTTTAACATGGTATTATATTTTTGTTGATTTTGGACCTGCAACCAAGAAATGTCAAGAAATCAGTTCAACAAGTAACTCAAACTTGTGATTGTAGGCCTAAGAAATTTTTTTATATTCTACAAGTAAAAATATGAAAAATTTGTGAATTTAATTTGGTAGATATATACCTCTGCGTGTCTCTCACCTGCTTTGACTACCAAGATGAATGGACAATTAGATGCCTCCAGACCCAAAGCAAGTTCAATGAACTGTCCAAGAGTAACTCGAGCCAAGCTGCCGAGGCAGGCGTAAACCACAGTCTTGGCCGCCCAAGACTCGAGCCATTTCAGACCATCGTCTCCGCCGTCCGGAGCCGCCGCGTCGCCACCTCTCTTTGCCCTGTCTGTCGCGTCCTCGTTGCACAACGACAAGGGCCCAAGGCACCAAACTTTCCCACCTTTGAGTCGTCGAAACTGGTCAACGTACTTTTCTTCCAGCTCCTCAAAAGTGTTTATAATATACCCGTGGGCCACACCCTCAGTCTCTCTTATCAATTCTCGTACATCTTTCATGTGATCCATTGAACCTGCAGGTGGTTCAATGTTAAAGAAATCACATAAAATTTTTCTCTCTGAATTTAATTTTATTATTTGATTTTTTGAGATGGAGATGGCATATATCTAAAACGTCCTTTCTTGTGAATTCATGATTTATTTTTGTTTGAACTTTGCACGTGGACAATAATTTTTTTAAAATTGAAATTTGCAAACCATACTTGGATTGAAAGCTGGTGGAAGCTGAGATTTGGTGAGTTCGATCTTATCTGGCATGTCGGGAATCTCAAACGGCGCCGTCTCCGGGATCCCCTGGCGAGCCATGAGACCGTACAAGTTATGAAGACACACCTGAGTGAAGCAGCTCATGCCGTCGAACACTATCCTCGGAACGCCGAGCTTGTCGGCGGTTTCGGCGGTCCAAGGGATGTGTTTGTCGGAGATGATACAGTTGGGTGTCGGGGTAATCTCTCCGAGAATCTTTTCGGCCTGTTCTTGGAGGAGGGTGATGGCGGCTAAGAAGTTTCGGGCTAAGGAGTAAGACGGCAGGACATCCATGCTCTCGCAGCCCTCCGGAAGCCCGGCCTCGGCCGCCGGGAACCGGAGCTGGCGGATGCGGATGGGGAGGCCGGACCGGACTGCGCGGTCTATCGCGGGTTTGAACCTGGCGGCGTTTTGGGAGGTGAGGAGTAGGGTGGTGTTGATGCGGCGGAGAGCGAAGAGCTTGGCCATGTCCACCATGGGAATGGTGTGGCCGGGGGCCATTAGAGGGATCAGAACGAAGCTCATCTCTTCTGAAGATGACACCATTATTGTTGTTATGGAACTTAAATTCACTACTGCTAATATGTATTACTCCCACTATATTTGGGGTTTGGGTGTTTGGATATCTTAACTCAATATATATTGTGGTAGAAGTTCATATACTCCTTTCCTCCCAAAAAATTCATATATTTTGTGTTTAAATAATATTTTTGCTTTGATTTTCCAAGTTATCTTTAATACTTCCTCCGTCCCGGAGTATTCATCCAGTTTTGACTTTTGGAACTGTTCATCTAAGCACTTTGACTCATCAAATTCTCTCAATGTGTAAGGTTAAATATAGTCATGTGTGATCTTGTTTGATTTATCTTAACATATAGATTATTAATATATAATTTCTATAATTTTTTAATATACAATTTACAAGATAAAATGGATTAAAGAAGTGTATTGAATGGTGTGTAAAAATGAAAGTGGACAAATACTCTGGGACGGAGGTAGTATGAAGGTAAAATTATCATGTTGTAGATATATAAGCATCGAATGAATATGATATGATTGGTAAGTTAAAAGTTACTCTTTCTTATTTTTAAAACACTTCTTTTTTTATTTTTTTTTCTCCAAAATACTCTCATCACTTTTCATTAAAAAATTACTTTAATTTCTACTTTTTCTTATGTTATCTGTCACATCATATTTTTTTTACTAAGAATCTATCCATCACATCTTACTTTTACTATCACATCAAGAACAAAAATTGAAAGTCAACAATAAATATATATACTCCTTGTTTCGCCTTTTAGTCCAAATAGGAACCTTTTTCGGAAATGGAAAGAACTGAGTAATAGAGATAAAAAATATTTATTTAAATTGAAAGTAAAAAAGTATTTCTAGGACTAACATTTTCTTGCAAAGATGAATTTTTTATATTCAAGAATTTATTTTAGTTTCGTCCAGAGTACATCCTTATTTTTAAGATTAAAGTGACTATGTATATACAAACACACACTTGGGAAAACTATTGGAGTATTAATTAAAAATGGGTGGTGGAAAAGGGGGTGGTGTCCAAATGGGGTACACTTTTAGTCTATTCCTAGCATTGCTCACACAAATATTGTAGGGAGTATAATTTTAGTCTCCCCAAAGATTCCCATGACTGCGCATACAAGAAGAGAGAATCTTGTCACGGAGGATATTTTTAGACTTTAGCACCCCGGCCATATTTAATTGCAACATGTGATTATAATTTGATGATCCAATAATTGTTGTTTTTTGAGAAGAAAACAAGACAATTATTGTCGGCTCTCGATGTAGCCCATAATGTTAGGTGATGATGGAGCTAACATATATGCATGGGTACAGTGTACTTAACGACCCGTCGCGACCGCCAAGGAACATGGGTGCTGCATGTATATTTGCACTTGAGCTACATACCAGTATCATTTTTGGAGATGCTAGGAGTATACCAAAAGTTGTACTCCATTTGTCCCACACCCCCTTCATAACTACTTATTTGTTTTTTATTTTTACTTACTTATTTTTTTTAAATTTTCTTGCCTATTTGAGTGGTAATGGAAGGGGTAGGGGACAAATAAATGGGGTACACCAAAAGGTGTACCCCTAGCATTTTCCTATCATTTTTTAAAACTATCTCATATAAAAATACTTTTTTTAATTTTAAAAAATAAATATTTATTTAAGAGTAAGAAATATTTATTTTGCTCGTATGTAGATTCATAGTAGACCTTCAATTCACTATAGAATTTGCCATATATTGAATGTATTATTCTTTTTGTAATTTATAGCTATATCATATGTAGGTCCATAGTGGACCATAGATTCATTACTATAATTTATTTTTTAATTCTTTTCTCATATCACTATTTCGTGATTCACACTCGTTATTATTGTTCCTTCCATTTTTTAAATATTTAGCACGGAATGTAATTTTATTTAGAAAATTATTTTTCTATTAATTTACATGACACTAACGATGTTCTAAAATTAGAGATATTTTATTAATCTAAATTGACTTAGGAAAAATATCTATATTTTAAATTAAAAAATAATAATTATACTAGCTACTTCCTCTATACCTATGGCATGTGCATAATTCACGTGATCAAATTTTATTCACTTTCTTTACTTATAATATATAGCAATAATTATAATTATAATAACAATAATAAAAATAATTGTTATCTGTCAAACGAACCAATTCAACCAAAAGCTCAAGCTTGTGATTGTGGCCCAGGAATGATTGTTATATACTCTAAGACGCTCCCTCACGTGCAGACGTGACCTCAGCCTTGCACGTGAAACCTTAATTTTTTTTAAACTGGGTGGCGGTGAGTTTCGAACTCGTGACCTCTTGGTCATCAAGGCTCTGATACCACGATAAAATTTAGGATGAGGTAAGGATAATTTGATTGGGCAATAAGACATTTGAGCTGAACCACATTAAAAGATTGGATTCAATCTTTTAATGTGGTTCAACCCAAGTGTCTTATTGCCCCAATCCAGTTATCTCTACCCAATCCTAAATTCTACAATGGTATCAAAGCAGGTTTTAGCCCACCTCGTTTGTCAAGGTGTCCGTCTAGACGCGCGTTCATTCCTAGCGGCCCGTTTGTCTTTAGCCCAGTTGTCCGTATGGAGTGTTTACCCAACGGCCTGTGGCCAGTTTAACACGATTGCTCGTCTGGAATCCATATTCAGCGGCTCGTGGTCTTTAGGTGTTGGCGCTCAAAAAAAAGTCAAGGGATTGGGAGTTCATTTGCAAGTGGTCAACCGGTTAGATTCAAAATGGCTCGGCTGTCCACTTGAGAGGGAGTGTTAGAGTTTATCCACATCGGAAGTTGAATAGAAAAGTTATCGGTATATAAGGTCTTGAGTTGAACTAAGTAATCGATTGGATTCAATTTTTTAATGCGGTTCAGCTCAAGTGTCTTATAGCCCAATCTAGTTGTCCATACCCATCCTAAATTCTATCAGAAGTTGAATAGAAAAGTTATCGGTATATAAGGTCTTGAGTTGAACTAAGTAATCGATTGGATTCAATCTTTTAATGCGGTTCAGCTCAAGTGTCTTATAGCCCAATCCAGTTGTCCATACCCATCCTAAATTCTATATGATAGAATTTAGGATGGGTATAGACAACTGGATTGGCTATAAGACACTTGAGCTGAATTGCATTAAAAGATTGAATCCAAGCGATTACTTAGTTCAACTCAAGACCTTATATACCGATAACTTTTCTATTCAACTTTCGATGTGGGATAAACTCTAACACTCCCCTCAAGTGGACAACCGAGCCATTGTGAATCTAACCAGTTGACCACTTGCAAATGAACTCCCAATCCCTTGACTTTTTTTTGAACGCCAACACCTAAAGACCACGAGCCGCTGGGTATGGACTTCCAGACGAGCAATCGTGTTAAACAGGCCACAGGCCGTTGGGTACATACTCCATACGGACAACTGGGTTAAAGACAAACGGGCCGCTAGGAATGAACGTCTAGACAAACACCTTGACAAACGAGGTGGGCCAAAACCTGCTCTGATACCATGTCAAACAAACCAATTCAACCAAAAGCTCAGGCTTGTGATTGTGGCCCAGGAATGATTGTTATATACTCTAACATTATCTATTTTTTCAGTCTTAAAGAATGGGCTCTAAAAGTTATCTAAAAGATTAATGTCAATTAAAAATGTATTCCCAAACCAGATATATAATTGAATTTCGTCGCAAATCCTACTTATCGGCAGGCGTTGCGTAGCTGGCAAAGACAAATAGTGTCAATTGTCAAGGGGTAAGACTCAAGTTCGATTCTTGGTAACGGTATCGGGAGCTGAGGCAACTATGCTAAAATAGAGCTTCTGCAAGTACCAGGTGTAAGTTCCATTGCCACCAATCTACATTCAAAGTCCAATTTACCTCCTTGGCCAGCCAGGTCTGAGAGGACCTTCGGAAATGGAGTTCATCCTTTTTTTGTCACATATCATACATACTTTGATTAGGTTTATCCTTTTAAGAATTGTGCTAGGGGTACACAAAGAATTGTACCCTAAATTATATTCCAAAGGAATGTAGGGTACCGGCATTTTAATGGTTCACACTGACAAAAAATGTCAGTTCAATCAAAAAAATTCACTGACATTTTGTATTATTATAAACGATCGCACTAGCACAAAATATTACCCGGAGTAGTACATATCTTCTGAGTACAAAATGAGATACTCCCTCCGTCCCAGAAACGGCAGAAAGAATGCCACGTTTACTATTCTGGCCTCTCGATAACATTTGTTTGTTTACTCATTTTGGTTGACCATTTGATAAAATAAAATATTCTTGTCGCATCTTATTTTGTAGAGCTTTTCATATACTTTTGAATGGTGTAATTTTTACTTTTTATTACTCTACCAATTTGAAATTAAAGTGATTTTAAAATAGATGATATTTTGCACGTCGTTCGAAGTGTTATAAATAAATTGGGACAGTAGGAGACTGGGAGTACAACTTTTGAGATAGACATGATTTAATTCATCTTTTTAATTCAATTTTCAACGAGTTTCTAGAGAATGGGGACAGAAAATTAAACACGTGCAACTACTAAATGGTGACAGCAATGACTGCAATAGACGTGGCCACGCTCATTGACACCGATCCTTTGAATCTCTCCCAACTTTTCTAATCTCTACATTTTTGTACGGACTACTCCCTTTTATTGTCGTTTTTTATAATTTTATTTAATTTGGTTTTGTGTTTTTGTTGATTATTTAATAAAATAAAATATTTTTACTGTTTTGTAAAATTTTTGATATAATTTTACGTAATACGTATTTTTTTATTTTTATACATTTTTGTAAATGCAATCATTTATTGTAGAGATTTTACATGCTATTTAAAATAGATATTTAAAGTTGAAAGTTTATTTGAAGACAGAACAATTTGATATCTTTAGTAAATCTTTGATCTAAAAATTACGGAGCAGTACCTATGTGATTGAATTTTAATAACAAGTAAAATAATTGTTTTAAAATGTTTTATCCATGAGGTTATAGTGGCACTCATCTTGAATGTCATTGATGGTGTAAATATAACTGGGTGGTTAATCGAGTTTGACCTGGACACACTCTACACGTAGTAAAATACACACAACAAGAACACAAAGTATGACCTAGACCGGGTAAATTTCCTCAATCCGAATTATATTTCTTACTCTGTCTCAAGAGTGTCAGAGTTTATTATTCAAAAAAAACTTTTATTTATTTATACGCTTTCATTAATTATTTGATAAAATAAAATATTATTGTTACTGTTTTTTTAAAAAAAAAAAATTTCATGTAGTTTTTAAAATTTGTTTCTTTTTTTACTCCATATGTCAAACATTATGAGAGGTGCGGGAGAGTATCATTTTAATCATATTTCAGTCATAATGTTAGGACTAAAAAAGAGAATATCGACTGGGGATGAATGTCCCGTTTAACAAAACTTTTTGCTGCTTCGTCTTAAAAAAAATGTGATTCCTAGAAGTGAACGAAAATTCAATCTGTTTTTCTTTTGTCTGAAGAAAAAGTTTTGTTAGAGGGCGGGATGGGGCAACTATTGCCTTTAAATACAGTGTTGTAATATGGAAGAATTTGCAGAGCTGAAAGAAGCTGTGGAGAAGGTGGCGCTGGTGGATGCTCACGCCCACAACATCGTTTCACTCCACTCTAATACCCACTTCCTCAGTTGCTTCTCCGAAGCCACCGGCGCCGCCTTATCCTCCGCCGCCCACACCATCAATTTCAAGGTCAATCCTTCTTCTTCCTCGTCTTCTTCCATAGATTATTTTCAAGAAGAATTAAAGTTGCAGAATATGAAAGTACCAACCTTTTAACAAAGGCGAGCTTAAATGAATGAACCCTTAACTCTTTAGACACAAATTAAGTTGTCTCACAACATGGTGTGATTTTATTAGTCTAGCAATATAAATTTATAATTAATCTTTGTCTTTAATTTTAGAGAAGCCTGAGAGAAATTGCTGAATTATATGGCTCAAACACATCTCTACATGCTGTTCAAGAATATCGCCTCTGCCATACATTGGAAGAGATCACTGCCCAGTGCTTCAAAGCTGCAGGAATTTCTGTCTTGCTCATCGACGATGGGCTCGAGCTGGACGAGATGAAGGATCTCGAGTGGCACAAGAATTTTGTGCCGAATGTTGGTAGAATACTAAGGATTGAGCATTTGGCTGAGAAAATTCTTGACGAGGTAATGCCTTAATTATAATTCCCCATTTGCGCGTCTGAAATCAGGCGTCTTTAACATGACAATTTTGGATTGTTTGAGCTGTGGGTTGGTGTGATTATAGGGAAACTTAGATAAGATAACGTGGACGCTGGCTTCATTCATGGAGGCTTTTATTGAGAGATTGAAATCATATCCTTTGAGCACATTTCTTTGTATGTTCTTCTTGCAAGATTTGGAACTCCATCCTAGAAGTTCAATATTAAAAATGTTGTCATTTTGGTATACTCATTTAACTTTAGTATTATCGGCGTCCGCGATTCAAAGAGAGAGAGAGAGAGAGAGAGAGAGAGAGAGTTTCTATTCCTATTACTTTCCTTAAGTTTTGATACATCCATGGATAAAGTTGTGGCATTTAAAAGCATAGCTGCATATCGGAGTGGTCTTGCAATTAATACAGATGTTACTATGAAGGAGGCCGAGGAGGGACTTAAGAATGTCTTATATGGTACTTTAGTTAAAATCTCTATTGAACATAAGTTGAGCAAAATGAGAATGTATTCCTGTAATAATGAGTTACTGAAATAGTCATACGAACCATTTTGGCTTTCAGCTGGCAGTCCGTTCCGCATAACAGACAAGAATTTCATTGACTATATCTTCATACATGCATTGGAGGTTGCTCAAGGTTTTGACTTGCCAATTCAAATACACTCAGGGTATCAAAGCAACAAACACTCTAATTTGAAGTTGCATTCTATTAGTTGGGGACAAAACAAACAACAACAACCCAGTTAAATCCCACAAGAGTAGGGTCTGGGGAGGGTATGTGTACGCAGACCTTGCCCCTACTCGAAAGTAGAGAGGCTGTTTTCAAAGAGACCCCCGGCTCAACGTCGAAAGTTGCATTGCTTGACTAACTGCTACTTCATTAATTAGAGAAGCGCAGATAGTTTAGAGATCCATTTTGATTTATTCCAATGGACAAAAAGAATTAATTGATTTATCGTTTCAATCAGATTTGGGGACAAAGATTTGGATTTGAGGCTGTCTAATCCTCTCCATCTTCGACAACTTCTAGAGGATAAAAGGTTCAGCAAGTGTCGGATAGTTCTTCTGCATGCATCATACCCATTCTCAAAGGAAGCGTCTTATCTTGCTTCTATCTACTCACAAGTAAGTTTTTAATCCATTACTTCAAACTGCTTCATTGTTTACCTTGAATGGTAATTGATGATAATACTGCATTAGTGCTTATCTTTTATTTATTTATTGCTTACTTATAGGTATACCTTGATTTTGGATTGGCAGTCCCTAAACTCAGCTTCCATGGGATGGTTTCATCAATTAAAGAACTTCTAGAGCTTGCTCCAATGAACAAGGTGAATTCTTCTTATTCAAGAGCGTACAATTATATTCCATACTATGTTATTATTGGTAACTAAAGTATTGACACTTCATATATAATACTGATTGTCAACTAATTTGCAGGTGATGTTCAGCACTGATGGCGTTGCATTCCCTGAAACTTTCTATTTAGGTCAGTTCATTTTGAGCTTTGTTAATGGTGAACTTTTTTTGGTTGTTTCTATAGTTATAATTATAATTATATACGGAGTATCAGATTATTATGATTACTTGGAACCTGGAGTCACTCAATAATCCTATAATGCACATGGCCAAAAAAATACATTAAAAAATGGAATCCGATCGATGAACTTGTCAAACCTACAGCCTATTATTTGGAATAATGACAGAACTTTGGTGTTGGTACAGTAATGGATGGAAACCCAAGTCTCTATGTCATTAACATGTAGTAATAAATGTTACGGGGTATACACTTTGATTGTTTTAATAGGTGCAAAGAAAGGTCGCGAAGTTGTGTACACTGTCCTACGTGACGCATGTGCAGATGGTGATCTTTCACTCCCTGAAGCTTTTGCTGCAGTCAAAGACATTTTTGCGGAGAATGCAAAGAAATTTTACAGTATAAACACTGCACTCGAATCTTTGGATTTGAAAACTGGTCAATCCCGTTCCTTTACAAAGACAGATGCAAACGGTGAAACTCATCATGCCACACTTGTGCGCATTATTTGGGTAGATGCTTCAGGACAGCATAGATGCCGTGTAAGCACCTTAAACTTTTCAATGGCTACACACTTCATATTTAGTTTATTTCTAATGATACTTAAAGTGCTCATTTATTTGATGGTACTACGACAATTACAAAAAGAAAAACATAAACCCAGTGTAGTTCCAACACCGTTAGGGTCTGGGGTGTCAAGATGTACTCTATTAGACTCTTGATGCATTGCTGCATTTATTCCATTATATATCTAAGCTAAAACATTGCCAAGATGATTCTTTTAGCTCCATACTCAATGGACACATTTCTTTGTTGATAGAGTTGATAAAAAATTGTTGCTACTATAACTTATATTTAGGCATTGTATGTGTGTCTGTGTGTGTCTGTGTGTGTATAAAACTGTATAATGTTTTGGCATCTCTTTTAGGTTGTTACACAGAAACGTTTTAACGATTGCATCCAAAAGAACGGTCTGGGTCTAGCATGTGCTATTATGGGCATGACCTCATTCAGTGATGGTCCCGCTGATGGGAGTAATCTCAGTGCTGTGGGCGAGATCAGACTAATACCAGATTTGTCAACCAAGTGCAAAATCCCATGGTAATTGTTGCTTTAAAACACTCCACATATTTTCTCTTGGGATTATGGGATCTATATTTCATTTTTTCTGGTTTTTTTTTATTTTCACAATGTTTTTAAAACCTCTAGGCACCTCATTATATGGAAGAAACATACTTGCTCTATGTCCTAATGGGAGGACTTTGGCAGAGATGAATGGGATGCACGGTTAAAACTAACCATGCATGGGAAACTGTGTTTTGGCAACCCATGTTTTATGCATTACATCTCACCTACAGGGCAAAACAGCAAGAAATGGTTTTGTCAGACATGTGCATTGCACCTGGAAAAGCATGGGAATATTGCCCGAGAGACGCATTGCGTCGAGTTTGCAGAGTTTTGAAAGATGAATTTGACTTGGTATGCACAATGTGAACTTCCTACAAATTGGAAAGAAAAGAAAAAGTATCAACACACTAATGCATGTCTATGTTCTGTGTAATCAGGTTATGAATGCAGGTTTTGAGAACGAATTTTTTCTGCTAAAGAGTGTAGACAGGTAATGTTGGGGAAAATACTCGGCTCAATATTTTCCATCCCGGGGTACAAAAAATTTCTAATCTTGAATGGATGTAAACAGGGAAGGAAAACAGGAATGGTTACCAGTCGACCAAACTTCTTACTGTTCTACAGCCGCACTTGATGCCGCGTCATCTTTACTTGAAGAGATTCTTTCTTCACTTCACTCCTTAAATATAACCGTGGAACAGGTAAGATTGTTGAGGATATTGTCCTACAGCATAAGCTCAATCCAGAAAAGACTCATGTATAAGAATATGAGGTACTCCTCTTATAGAGAATTGAAGAAATGACTAACCATTTGTTTTATATGCATATAGATACATCCAGAATCTGGGAAGGGTCAGTTTGAAATCGTACTGGGATACACAGAGTGTGGCCGTGCAGCAGATAACTTAATTTATGCACGAGAAGTGATACGAGCCATTGCAAGAAAATCCGGATTGCTTGCAACTTTTGTGCCAAAGTAGGTGTCCAAGAATCACTTTTTATCTTCTTCTTCTTCTTCTTCTTCTTCTTCAGGTTATTATATTTTAAGGCTGGTGTCATCTGCCCAGGTTTGCATTAGATGACATTGGTTCAGGCTCACATGTGCATCTCAGCTTGTCCAAGAACGGGGAAAATGTGTTTATGGACAAAGGCGGATCTGCTCGGCATGGAATCTCTAAGGTTGGGGAAGAGTTCATGGCTGGGGTGTTGCATCATCTTCCTTCAATAATGGCTTTCACGGCACCGATCCCTAATAGGTAATGACCTCTCATTGTGTATATAATAATGTCACGAGTATAAAAACCTTTTCTTGGCCTACAACTACAAGCTTAAGCTTCGGTTTGATTTAGTTCCTTGACATCATATCAAAGTCTTGCTCGCCTAAAGGTCACGAGTTCGAACCTCATTGCTACCCAGTTTTTAAAAACTAATGTGCAGTTACGATCGCATACAACCAAATACATGGAGTGGGGCATACCAGTGTTGGGGGAAACAAAACAGAGAAGCTCCAATAAGAACGGCGGGTGCACCCATAGTCCCAAATGGTGTTGTTACCAACTTTGAGGTTAAGGTGTTTGACGGATGTGCAAACCCATACTTAGGTCTCGCTTCCATTATTGCTGCTGGGATAGACGGTCTGCGCAGACATTTACTCTTGCCCGAACCAGTTGGTAAGACTACCATTTTTTTACCATGTTTTTTTACAGCTTAGTAACCTTTAGTGATGCTGATTGAAAACGTTGTTTCCAAAGTGATCCGTTTTAGTGTTTTCAAAGTTAATCTATACTGATGCTGATTGAAAACGTTGTTTTCGAACAAGAAGGGCTAAATCTTTATCTTGATGTGCACGTGAACACAGACCAGAACCCAGATGGCATCAAAGCAAGTCTTCGACGATTGCCAGAATCTCTTTCGGAGTCTGTGGAATCCCTTGAGAGAGACGAGGCATTCAAGGATTTGATCAACGAAAAGCTTTTGATTGCCATAAGAGGAGTTCGTAAGGTCTGTTACATTGCCACATTTTTGTATTCATTTGCCATCAATATGATGCCTTTGTGTTGGATAGACATATATTATTACTGTTACCTTTTTTTGTCTATGTTTTCCAGGCTGAGATCAAGTACTATGACCAAAATAAGGATGCATACAAGGAGCTGATACACAAATATTAATTCCCACACAAATACTGTACCAAGTTGTATAGAAAAATGAAACACATCAATTTGGTCTCCTTCATTATGTTATTATGTTTCAAAAGTACTACTACGTATCTTGTAACTCTGGTTGCTTATAATAAGGTAGATAATACGAAGTAATCTTTTAGGAAAGCATTTTCAATGCATTGATCACATGTGTTGAAGGTTTATCCGGTTAATTTTACCAACTCTGTTTTGAACTATGTGTTGCTTGATCCCCTTCATTGGGGTGCATAGCTAGGCAACTTAATTTGTTTTATTTTTTAAGTGCAATCACAACAATAAAAATTATTTTTTATTATTCCAATTATATGTGGAAAAAATTTGTTCATAAATAATTGTACTATATGTGTGAAAAAACAAATGTGTTAGATAATAATAATAATAATAATAATAATAATAATAATAATAATAATAATAATAAAATTCGTTCAATTATATACTTTTCAAAGGCTCGGAGCAAACGAAGGATGTGATGTGGGATCGTATCGAGGAAAAGTTCTTTGCAGCGATGAACAAAGACGCCTCGAACCATACTTGGTACCAACTCACTAAATGGGGTCACATCAATCGTAAAGTCCGAAAGTTTATCGTAGTTTACGAGGAATGCTCTCGGTTCCGGAAGAGCGGGATGAACAATGTCAATGTTCTCCGGCTTGCCACTGCCCGGTATCAAGACGACGAGCACCAAGGAAAGGTGCACATCGATCTTTGGAGAATTTTAAGCCGTTCATCGAAATGGCAACAACTCAACAATCCCGACGCTGGATCCTCAAAGAAATGATCCTCCATCGACACTGAAGTTGAGGTCGATGACATTATCGGTTCGTCTGAACAAAGGCCTCCCTTCAACGTAGATGATTCTGATGACGAGGACCCCATTCCACGGCCGATCAGAAGAAAGAAGGCAAAATCCATTGCCTCGAGTTTTGGAGGGTCCGGCACTGTTTCTTCTTACGATGATATCGGTCGGGCAATGGTTGAACAACTTTGAGTGTTTAATATTAGACAAGAAGAGAAGGAGAGAAGAAAGCAACAGAAGGAAGAAATCGAAATAATGGAAACCGACTTTGATACGTTATCGGGCTTCAAACGTATGATCGTCGAGAGAAGACAAAGAGATTAAGGCTAAATATAATTTACCTTACTTTTTTTTTATTAATGTATTTTTTTAATTATTGTCGTTTTAATTTTTTCTTTAATCAAATGAATGTAATTTTTTTGAATTATTCTCGTTTCAATTTAATTATATTAAGAAATAATTAAATTTTACGGAGTACGGAGTATTAATTTAATTTTAGAAGATATTTATTTAAAATGTAAAAAATAAAGATTTGAAGCCCGAGTTTGAAGCACCGAAGCTTCAAATCCTTTTCTAGTAAATTTTTGAGGTAAGTTAAAGCTGACGTGAGAGAGAAAATAATGTTGAAGTATCAATTTGAAACCCCGAGGCCTCACATAACATTTCCAATGCTATTAGATACACATAACATTTCCATAAAAGTTTCTTGGCTTATTTTTGGTCAACTATTCCGTGCTTTTAGATAAAGTATTGATAGCTATGAGTTATGAGATAATAAGATTAAGATGGGAACGAAGCGTGGGGTTTTTAGACCAACCAGATATTTTGTTACAGGTGGCCCAATCCTCCTCGTAGCCTAATCCATTCGCTTACTCTCTACGGAGGCGCTGGCGTGTTGCCGCGTCATCCGCCCCTTAAAACGATGGGCGGGATGAAGGTTTCTACTACGGGACGGCTGCCCATCTCCGTAATTTGCAGCGCCTTTTTTCACTCTTTTAGAGTTCCCTTCAATCCTTTTCTTGAATTTGTTCATATGGTGAGGTTTGTTCATTTTCAGGCGAATCTCTCGGAGGAAGGAAATGGGGTATGATCCGGTTCAACAGTTACCGGGCGAAGAAGATGAGGCTCTGGCGGAGATGGGATCAGGATATTTTGGGTATTTTACTCTTTTCCTGCTCTTTTTGTAAATTAAAAAAAAAAGAACTGAAGATTTGATTGAATGTACAGTTTCTGCTTAAATCACTGTGATCATATTATATATGCTTAGGTGCTCTCACTATATGAGGAGATGCAAGATTAGAGCTCCATGTTGTGGTGAGATATTTGATTGCAGACACTGCCACAACGAAGCAAAGGTATCATCTTTATAATGATCTGTTTAAATACAATATTTGTAATTAGGGTTAGAGTTTTGTATAATGGTTTTACAATGGACACTAGTCTTTAAATTGGTAAAGTAGTTCCTGCTTCTCCTACTTAAGGAGTTGCATTTTTTTTTCTCAATGAGAAATTGATTACTTTAATTTTATTACTCCGTGTCTCCGTGTATAATTATTCGGGCAGAATTCTTTAGAAGTTGATCCAGTGAAGCGGCATGACATTCCTCGTCATGAAATTCAAAGGGTATGCTTTCTCGCATTTCCAATATAATTTCCTGCATCACATTGACCGGTGAAAACGGATTGAAGTCTCTAGTAAAAAACCTTGTTATTTAAGTTAGTGTTTGGTATAGGATCATCTGATAGATTCACTTTCCAAACGAGCACGGACTAAACTTAGCTGTTTTGTAATTTAAGCTATTGGTTTCTAATTATAACGCGTGTTCGCTATGCAGGTCATTTGCTCCCTGTGCAACACCGAGCAAGACGTGAGTTTTCCTTCTATAATAATTATGATGATTAGTATTCTTGATGTAACTAGTTTTTTTATGATACTCCGTATCTAAGAACCTTAATTTAATAGTGGAATTATGGAATTTGCGTTTAGGTTCAACAAAGATGTGCCCAATGTGGAGTTTATATGGGGAAGTACTACTGTTCAAAGTGCAAATTCTTTGATGATGATGTATGTTTCCAAACCTATGTTGTTAGACTCATAATATCTACTCATGTTACTATTATGTGCTTAAATGAACTGGTTTTGGATACTTAGGTTTCGAAGAATCAATACCACTGTGACAAATGTGGAATCTGCAGGTTAGAACCTTTTTACCATTATTTACAACGTAGCACCCATTAATAAGCTCATTAAACACCTTAAATATTGCCAAAAAAAGTATTCATGTGTAGTCCTTTTTAGACAAGTGACATAAAAAATAATCATCAACAACAACAACAAAAACCTCGTATAATCCTCAAAAATAACGTCTTTAGACATATACTTGTAATCAATACTGAGGAATGCATACTGTGTACAAATAGGGGGAGCCGGCTATTTTAGGTATTTTACAGGGTTCAGGCCGAGCTAACCCAAATCTAACAGAGATTCATGTATATTGCATTTAGTTTCTCCTTTTTTTAATGTTTAAAAATCCTTAAAACAGAACGGGAGGCGAGGAGAATTTCTTTCATTGCAATAGATGCGGTAAGTGATGCTACTTTTTTAAAAAATTTGCGAACTTCATTAAGCAAATCTTATACTCGGGGTACTTATTATAATGACCTACTTTTGTTTCCTAACATCTTTTAGGATGTTGCTACTCCACTCTTATAAAGGATTCACATATCTGTATTGAAAAGGCAATGCATCATAACTGCCCAGTTTGCTTTGAGGTAAAGAAGCCACTGGAAACCCAAGCAGATCTACTTCCTCTGTTTTTAAATGACTGTTCGTTATGACTTTCAACATACATTAAGAATCATATGAATGTGGATACAATGAATGCCCATATTCATTCGATTTTAATTCCGTATTCTTATTCTTTTTATCAATTCATCCTGCAGTTTGTGTTTGACACTACAAAAGACATAACCGTATTGCCTTGTGGACACACGATGCATCTCGATTGTGTCATGCAGATGGAAAAACATTTTCAGTAAGTTTTTTATGCCCGTCTTTTTTAAAATGTAGAAAAATGCCCCCCCTTAATTAGCAATTATAGAACAAAATGTCGAAGTACTTATAGTTTGCTTGCCCTAACCACTATACCAATCCGGTGAATGCAGATATTCTTGCCCAGTTTGCTCAAAGTCATATTGTGACATGTCTAGGGTGTGGGAAAAGCTTGATGAAGAGGTATGTCAATTCGTGTGTGTTTAGAGTTTAAAACATTTCCTGGGCCTATAACCACAAGGTTGAGTTGGTTCTTTGACATATATCAGTCTTCTTTCTCATCATAATGTTGATGCGAATTCCAGGTGGCATCCACTCCTATGCCGGAGATGTATCAAAACAAGAAGGTAATTAAGATACAGAAATTTGTCCGCATATATTTTGTGACTCCCCTGTAATGTAATCGGCCTCACGAATGGGACTTAATAAATAGGTTTGGATCCTTTGCAACGACTGTGGGGAAAGGTGTATGGTAAACTTCCACATTGTGGCGCATAAGTGCCCCAAGTGCAAGTCCTACAACACGAGGCAAACGAGAGAGGGCTCCCGCGCCGCTTCTTCTTCCCCATCCAGAGCCACCGAGGATGTTACCGTATGAGCATGTTCTGGTTTAGATCATACTAAAGTGTGTATCATGTAAACTTGAAGCTAAGATTATAGTGTGGGTTCATTATTGAAACTCTTCGAAATGAGTGGACTCAACATGTTTAGAGGTTCGTTTTTAAATACTTATGTCAAGCAAACCAGTTCAACTAAAAATATGAGTTTGTGATTGTAGATCCATTAAAGGGTTTATATTCTAACGTGCATGACTCACTTGCAAGCAAGACTCCATGATTTGTTTCCAACGAGGCGTTAATCTCATTAGCATTACATAATTCGGGCAACTTTAAAATAAATGTACATATTCTTGAGTGTGTGTACAAAAATAAATGTACATTTTTATTCAATTTCAAGTTTCAAGATTTGACAGATCCAAAATGTATAAAAAAAAAAGGAATTGTGGGCATGGTAATAAGCTTGAAACAAAATTGACCAATGGAGTGGCATATTTATTTCATGGGTTGGCGTTGGAGGGGGAGGGAAGTAGGAGACGTATCTCTCTCCCGTTGCGATCTTGTAGAGGCCTTGCGTTTCTTTCTGCAAACTGCATATGCACCCATTTTTAAATTACTAATTACTCTAATTGTCTCTAAAAGATTGTCACAGTTTGACTTTTTTTATCAAATTAATGCACCCTTTGACCATGAGTAAAATAAATTTTAAAATAATTAAATATTATAAAATTTGATATTTCAAAATTATTTTTTTAAAATAAATCTAATTTTACTAAATTTAAATTATAACTAAATATAATTCTTTCATAATCCGCAGTCAAAAGATGATACAGTTTGACCCAATTAATCTTTTATAGACGAAGATAGTACTCCCTCCGTCCCACTCTCTTTGTCCACTTACCTTTTGGCACACCATCCAATGCACTTCTTTAATCCATTTTATCTTGTAATTTGTACATTAAAAAATTATATAAATTATATATTAATAATCTATATGTTAAGACAAATCAAACAAGATCAGACATGACTATATTTAGGCTTATACATTGAAAGAATTTGATGAGTCAAAGTGCTTAGATGAACAGTTCCAAAAGTCAAAAGTGGACAAAGAAAGTTGTACGGAGGTAGTATTAAATACTCTATCCCCATCATTTAACTTAGTACTCCCTCCCACCCAATTCAAATCATTTGTTTCAGTTTACGATGTTCAACTGAAATAATTTTCAAATTATTTTATATAGAAAATGGTGTAGATCTAATTTGAAATTTATATCACTCCATTCATCTTCAATTGTTTTTTTTTTTGTGACCAACATTTGACAAAAAAATACGATGGTCATCACTTACATCATGAACAGCTTCCCGAAGCAGCTTTACTTGCTTCCTGGAAACCGTCTTTACCTACAATAATAAACAAACCATTTATAATTATTAATATTATTATTATTACTATTATTATTATTATTATTATAAAATGAAATGAAATTGTAAAGGAAGGAATTGAACCTCTTTGATGATGGTCCAAACGACGCCTTGGGTGCAGGGTGGAGTGGTGAGAGAGCCCAAGTATGTGTAATATTTTCGGCCGCCTACGAATCCCAACTCCTTTGGATCGATTAAACCGGCTTCTCTCACTTGGTCCTTTTGGTCTATCATAGATGCTATCTTCTCCATCAACTGCACCCCCCCTCATCCAATTTCAATTTTATGCATGTACCACATTTAATTCAATTTTTTCCCATGAAAACAGATGGATGGATCGAGTCAATCAAATAATAAATGTAGTATTAAATGGAAGAGTTGATTTTTCGTTTTTTTTTTTTGAACTAGAAATCAATGACAGCAAGACTACTCTACCATTCACAAGAGAACTTATTTACCTTAGAGAGAAAGGGGTTGGGCTTGCCAATCTTGTAGAGAACAGCGATCACAGCCGTGCTGTTCTTCCCACTTTCCGGGTCCGTGTTCGTGTGGAGCGCGTGCATTTCCAGCTCGTACCTAAACCAAAGAGTGCCACCGTTTGACCAAATTAAAATGAAAGGTTTTTTTTTTTAGGACGGGAGGGAATAATATAAATTACCGTTTTCCGCGGAGGGTGTGCTCGGAAGGGGAGTGCCAATGAGCGGCGCGGAGGGAGTAGCGTTTGCGGCTGAGGATGAAGGAACCGGCGTCGCCGCCGTGCCACTCCACGGAGATGTCATGGCCTCTGTTCTTGACTGTGGCATTTGCAGCCTTGTACGCCGCCGCCGCCGCCGCCTTCCGGAAGAATTTCACCCTCACATGAGATATGTCCACCGGAGACTGCATGTCCCCGTTCTTGCAAGCCTCCCATTCTTTCTTCAGCTCTCCCCATCTCCGCGGCCCCTTCTCCCCCTTTTCGCTGTAATCGAACTCCCTCTCATCCTCTGCCCACAACACGCACATATTTATTAATTCATTTAATTTATTCCCATCAACAAGAATTGAAGAAGAAGAAGAAATCATTGAAACTGAAAGAAATATAAGGAATTACCAACTTCTTGTGCCAGGGTTGAATAACGGATGGGGAGGAGGAAGAAGCAGAGGAGGGCAGCAAGGAGAAATGACGCCTGGAAATGGTGGCTCTGTAGTTTTCTCATGCTTTCGAATTCTTCTTCTTGTTTTGGTGAGATGGATGAATAATTAGAATAAGAACAATGGTAGATAGCTAGCTATGGAATTCGATCAATATATACACTAACGGGGGTGCGATGGAGACGATGGAAAAGAAAATGCGAGAGAGGTATGGGTAGGGAAGAGTCATTATTAATTACTTGTGTGTTTTACTGTTTCTATTCTATATTGGCTACCTACCTTCTTCCTTCAACCTCGCTAGAAAACGTTGATTTTCCCTTGAGGTTGGCATACGAAAATTCCACATTTACACTCCCTCCATCATGTTAACAACAAGTAGATGTTTTATTTTAGTTTTTTTTTATTCTCTATTTTAGATTGTGTTAGAAGTCTCTCATATACATACTCTATCACGTATTTCATATGAGAAAATGTCTAAAATAGAAGTAAAACATTGAAAATGTATCAAAATAGGAGTTCTATATTTTTATTTCGGAAATAAGAGTTAAAATGCATATACATTACTAATCACGACCATATACATTACCAAAAAAATTAAAGCATAATGAAATATCTATATACAATACCACATTATCACAGTGTAAACTTCTATTTTGGAGATAAAAATATGAAGCTCCTATATCGATACTTTATCTATGTTATACTCCTATTTATGATTTCTTAACCCATATTTAAATGAGTAATGCTATTATTTCGATACTCCAGCATGGTATCGGAACAAAAGTTTTTCCCTCTCCAAAAAATAGCTTCTGCGCGCGCCACCGAATCCAACGAGCATGCCTCATAGCCGACGTTCTTTATCATTCTCTTTCACACCAAAAAATAATGAGTGTGCTTAACAACCGATGTCTTTAATTCTCTGTCATTCTTTGTTCAAAAAAGGTGTGTACGTGTGTGATCGAAGAATTAGAAAACTGTATTTGTCTGTGCTTTATTTCTAAAGCTCGTTGCCATAACAAGCGATAGAGAAATAGAGAACGACTCACATGAAGAAAAAAAGGAACTACACGCTCTCTCTTCAATCGCCAACACTCTTTCCGAAAATAAACTCAGTAAAAGTACTCTCAAACTCATTCGTCATGCAATGATAAAAAATTCACGTCTCCACTTTTAGCACTTGTCTTTACAAAGCCAATTATGCGGACTCCATTCCAGTATTTGTGCTCCAAGTTAATCCTCGTTACTATTATTGAGAAAATAATAGAAGTATATTGAGAAAAATAGAAGTATAAGAAATAAAATATTATTACTATTATTATTATTTATTCTTGTTTTATTACTTCTATAATTTTTATTTTATTATGATTAGTGTTCTCTTTGTATTTCTTATATATAGGGGGATAACTCCTCCATTATTTAATTAGACTAATTATTATCAAATTATATTACATCCAATTACTCTCTCTATTTTTCATCATCAATATCTCTTGAAGTATATTCTCAAAAAATTACCTTGTATATATAAAAAATACAAGGTGATATCAATAGATATCAAATTGAGCCATGTTTAGACTTCTAAAAAGTTACTACTAGGTACACTCGGTTGTTATTCAGAAACATGGGCATCAACGTCGTCCAACCAATCCGTAATGTTTTTCAGGGTTTGACAATAGGTGAACATGGAAAGAGAGCATGTTGTTGTGGTTCAGAATTGATGTTCTAGTTTCATCGCCCGTGCAAGTTTGTTGTCTTGGAATAAGCAATGAATGGACTGCCATTGGTCGGTAACAGAATTTGTCGAGGAGATAACCAGATCTGAGACTTCGTCATTGATGGTGGAGAGGATCGAGCCTTGAATTAGAGCATCTAGTCGGAACGACCCGTGTCTTCAGCACTAGATGGGCTTGATTTGCCGATGAGAAAATTGGCAAGGGAGAATCGTTAGACTAAACGGAGCCACGGAGGAAGAGGTGGCTCCACTTTTTATAGTTTGGCTCGGAGAAGCTGGAGAGAACACGAACATGCAACTTTATGTTGGAGATGGTAGTGGCATGAAAGCCAAGGAGGAGGCGGTGAGCGTCGTCTGCTCGGACATGTGGCAGTGAGAAGGAGTTGTTGCTGAGGGTTGATTGCGGCGCTGTAGTGGGCCGCAGGAGGAAGGACGCCGAGGGGAAGGAGAGACTAGAGAGAGGGCATGGAAGGTTGGTGTTGTCAGTGTTGGAGTTCCGACAGAGGTGGAACACCGAGAGAGAGAGAGAGAGAGAGGGAGCCGCGAGAGAAAGAATGCTGAGAGAGGGAGACACGCTAGGTCAAAGGCTCCGATACCATGAAAAATTAATATTTTATATATTAAGGAGGAGGAACCAAGTCCCGTATATATACAATAAGAGTCCTAAGTATAGTAGGAATAATAATTAAGGAAACCCTATATAAAAGGTAACTACCATATACAAATATATATTAAATATATACTAAATGTATTTAACATTTACACTTTTTTGTTTTGTGTACTGAATTTTTTTAAGCATTATAATCTTAATTGGATTCGATCAATATATTCAAAAAAATTAGTGGAATAGAGTAATCGAGTGATATTAGTTTTAAATTTTTTTAGCATTGCTAACTCTATTATAATATATCATATGTTTAAATATAATTTCTCAATCTATAAAGAACAAAAATAAGTGATAACTCCATTACTTGTGACCTCTTACTCAGAGATTTACAGTGATGTTGATGGACTACTCGACGGGATTGGTTTAAATTCATTGAAATCATAATAAATTTGTAGAAATAAGCGATAATGGCTATCATCTATATGTGTATAAATTTACAGATAATTATTATCCATAATTACTTCAGCATGACTCACAAAGTTAGATGATGTTGAAAACAAAGTTTTCATTTTAAATGTTCCTATTAATTTTTAAAATATTAAAACAAACATAAAACTAAATAGTAAGTATCATTATATAAACTTTTTAAAATATTTGCCAAAATGGATGGTTATTATGGAGTTGTGGTACAATGAGGCATGCGACTTAACCAAGGGGTCTTGGGGCTGTTGGAGACCACAGTCAAAGATCTCCCAAATCCAAGCAAATGCAGTACTACTAATTAACTGGGCTGCTACCAGAATGGAATCAGAATCCTACCCGAATGACCCAACCCTCAGATTTGGTCTCCGCTCAGCTTTTGAGGACGTTGAAAAACCATGCCAATCTCCTATGCTGATGGCTGATGCTTTCTGTACATTCACACTTACGAAAACTGGACTCTAAAATCTGAATGAATAATTTTAATTATTTATTTTTTTTTGAAAAATTGGAAAGTTGATAACCTGAAGCATAAATAATTAAAATTAAAAATAAGAGCATTGCTTTAGAACAATACCGGTGATTGAACCGGTCAAGGTACTGGTTCACTAATCAAATCAGTAGTTTAAACATATTTGGAATCCAAAATTTAACAAAAAATTAAATCTTTTCATACATATTAATTTTTTTTAAATATGTAGTATATACTACTTGGAACAAGAATGTTACAAAAAAACATTATTGCTTAGTTGGTGAATGACTTGACATGATATATGTAAGAGGTCCGAAATTCAAATCCTGGTTAGACCCGTTGAATCGTCCAGTTCTAAGAGATTGGACCGGACCAGTCAGATCTCTGTTTCACCGGTTTCCGGTCTAGTCCGGTTTTCAAAACTATGAGTAAGAGAACAAATCCTACTAGTCTACTACTATGGCACATTCACCAAAAAGTCTGGATTTAGTTACACAACAATGACAACATGGTGTGTAAACTTTAGGTTGCACTAGTATACATTCATTTAAAATGTCAAATATAATATTGATATTTTTGTTGTAATATGTGTTAGTGCAAAACATGACGTACACTATTGAAATAATGGTCGGTTATATAGAAATTATAAAGGTTGTGGTAGGGGTACAACAAGATTTGTACAAAAACTTGTACAGCAAGTGTATCACACAGATAATTATTGATTATCTACGTGTATTTGTGATATATTTGATGTATAAATAAGTTAAAAATTTGAAATAAATAATGGGAGCAATAAATCTTTTTTTATACAAGTCGCAGTCATAGCCAATGGGGAACATCATTTGTGAGGCTTTTGGGCAGTGTGCCCAACAGCCTTAGTGCAAAGTTCAATTTTTTTTGTTACGGATTATTTTAAATTCTCGAGTTTTTAAATAAATTTAATTGTTTGACTTTCACAAATTTTTAAAAAATATTAGAAAATTAGAAAAGAATATTTAGAATTTGATTAAAGAGAAAAAAACTTGGCCAATTCTATCTTTTTAAAAACAATTTAACTATTTCTAATAAAAAAAATCTACTCCGCACCATTTTAGAGTTTTGAGGCCATTGTGCGTCAGTCAGCGTCACACTAAAAAAACATGATAGTCCTCTCTCCCCCTCCCAAATTAATTACTCGTATTTTAATTTGACTTTTAGGTAATTGTAAATATATATATTATGAAAAGATATATATAGTTATAATTAAAATTTAATAGAATTAAAATTTTTTAAAATATAGTTTCGATATGTCAAATTTTTTAACCCTTATTAAATTTAATTTGTGATGAAAATTAAGATGAAAATCAAACTAGTACAAATAAGGCCAACCAACCAAATGCCACTCATATTTTCCGAAAAAACAAAACCGCTTTCCCACCAACCAAACACACATTACCGAGTGGTATATGTAGTCTCGCCTCGCCTGAGTTAAGGGTTCCCTCTTCCCCTCTAGTGTCGCAATTAGCAAACCCCTGCCGCCGGAAAACCCCAACCACCGCCGAGAACCCGGCGGTGCCGCCACCACCGGAGCCCGGAAAATTGAAAAAAACCACAATGCTTTGCCAGGGAAGCCGCATTTTGTTCCTAGCCCTCACTGTCGTCATCGTCTTCACCTCCTCATTCTCGCCGTCAATGGCAGTAGTTCTCAACCTCACTGCTCCTCTGCTGCCAGGTCAGCACCCCAACCCAGAGGCCGTTGTTCAACACGTTCAGAGGTACGCAATTAACTCTCGCAATTCTCTATGGCCCCGTTTGGCATCAACATTAGAGGTTAGCGATAGTGTTTAGCGTTAGTGTTTTTAGAATTTATTATCTACACCGTTAAAATTTTATCCAAGACGCCAATGTCAATCGAAAACGCCTTTCCCAAACATGACCTATGTCACCTTAGAAGTCACAAATTCAAATTTCACAAAATGGACTTACAATTATAAGATAGAGCCCTTTGTTGAGTTGATTTCTTGACAGAATATCAAATTGTTGGGGATTAACAAGTTAAAAACAAATGCCAAATGCAAGTAAGCCAACAAATTAGAATATAGACATTTTCAAGGTTTTCAATGGTATGAATGTTTGGTTTAGTTGTTGTTTAAAGACACTTGTCTTTTTTTCATTTTTGTTGCTTTGGATTCCTAGGGGATGGAAGGGATAGTGAGAGACAATATTTCTCTGTTTGCTTTCACTTTAAGATTAGTTTGGAATTATTCTGTTTGTTTTGGGAAAATAATCATACACATCTCTCTAATTATGTGCATACCACAAGCAAAGTAAAAGTAAAATGATGATGTCTTTGTTACAATCACAAGACTTGAGTTCTTGATGAAATTATTTGGTTTGACATGATAAGAACTATACTTTGCCATGCAGCAAAGTAAGAGCATCACTTTCAAGACATCTCATGAGAAGAAAATTGTTGTCGGGCGGCGAGCAGTCTTCGTCGTCCTGCTCCACCGGCAACCCGATCGACGATTGCTGGCGGTGCAGCTCCAACTGGCAGCTGGACCGCCAGCGCCTCGCCGAATGCGGCATTGGGTTCGGACAATACGCCCTCGGCGGCAAAGGGGGCCGCTACTACGTGGTGACGGACTCATCGGACTCCGACCCGGTCACCCCGCGTCCTGGGACGCTCCGGCACGCGGTCATCCAAGAGGAGCCGTTGTGGATCGTCTTCGCCGCCGACATGGGCATCCACCTCTCTCAAGAGCTCATCTTCAACTCCCACAAGACGGTGGACGGGCGGGGGGCAAAGGTGCACATCACCGGCGGCGGGTGCATAACGCTACAGTACATCTCGAACGTCATCATCCACAACATCCACGTGCACAACTGCTACGAGTCGGGGGAGGCGAACGTGCGGTCGAGCCCCACGCACTACGGGTGGAGGACGAAATCGGACGGGGACGGGATTTCGATATTCGGGGCGAGGGACGTCTGGATCGACCACTGCTCGCTGTGGAGGTGCAAGGACGGGCTGATCGACGCGGTGGTGGGGTCCACGGGGATCACGATATCGAACAACCACTTCTCGGACCACAACGAGGTGATGCTGTTGGGCCACAGTGACGATTTTGCCCCCGACTCGGGGATGCAAGTCACCATAGCCTTCAACCACTTTGGGCACAACCTGGTGCAGAGGATGCCGAGGTGCCGGAGAGGATTCATCCACGTCGTGAACAACGACTTCACGAGGTGGGAGATGTACGCCATTGGCGGCAGCGGTAATCCCACCATCAACAGCCAGGGAAACCGTTACACGGCACCCTTTGACCGTGACGCCAAAGAGGTGCGTACCACTGAATGTCTGTGAGAAGGTGATGTCAAAATTAATTAACGTTAAAACTAGGGATATGTGTTGTTCACATTTTTTTGAAAGAATGCAAAATTTGAGCAGGTAACAAAGAGGGTGGAGACGAGAGAGGACTGGGCGGGGTGGAACTGGAGGAGCGAGGGGGACATAATGTTAAATGGGGCCTACTTTGTGGAGTCAGGTGACAGCGTGGAAGTCAAATATGAGAAGGCATACAGTGTGGAGCCCAAGACTGTTAATTTCATTGACCAACTCACCATGAATGCCGGGGTCCTTGTAGCCAGGTCCCCTCTCTTTTCATTATTTCATCTTTTACCCCTTTATTTCTCTTTTCCTCTATCGTTACAGTCTTACAGAGAACATGTTTCCCACTCTCCACTACTTAAAAAGGCTTTTGAATTTTGGTACATGATGTGCCCCACACAAAGGGCACCTTTGGTTGGAAGGGATAGTAAAAATGAAAGAAAAGGTCAAGTTTATTAAATCACTTCTTATCTTCATCTTCTTTCTTTCTATTTTAACTTGCATCATTACTTCCAACCAAACAAACACGGTCTTAGATGGCACTATTACAATTCAACATTCTGTCCGGAATTTCTGGAATAGCCGCAGAATGAGTTGTGTTTGAGAAATGTCTATACTGAGCAGGAGGGGCAAAATGGGCAAGTGGAGTACGGCTACCATGAACGCCAGCATTGACGACGGAGGAGCTGACTTGATGGCAATTTCCGACGAGGAAGAGGATTACTCCGGGGGGAGCTGCAAGCTTGTCGCATTTAACCCCATCTTGTTGTTTTTCTTGATAACCATGCTATAACCCCTCATGGTATTGTAATTAATGGCTAGCAGGTAATGCAATGTAATCTTTGAGGACAAGATTTGATCTTTTGTTCAAGAATTGAAGGACAAGATTTGCTCTTTAGTTCAAAGTTCTTTCTTTCTTTCTTTCTTTCTTTCTTTCTTTCTTGGATTTATAGTTTCTGCCATGGAAACTTGAGGGATTCAACAAAGTGAAAAATCAGGATATGTAGACCAGAAAAAGGCAAGAGCCAACAAAAGATTCACATCATATTTCAGCATAAGATATCTGACCATTTCAAACAAAAAGTGCAACAAAAGCTTTCCTCTGGATGGCCTACATACTTTTGTCACATGTTATCATTTAACATAAATGATGCTCTCATGCCTCCATTAGCACTCACAACTTGAAGTAACAGCGGCTCTAGCGATCAATGAAGGATTTGTTCATGAGATCAACTGCTGAATCCATGAACTGTAAATGAAATACAAATATACAAATGGAGATTAGGAAATGGTCACATTTATTTCTGTTTTTAGAGGATTCTTACTTCTTAGACTGTGCCGTACTACCCAAAATGAATACCCGTTTTCGTTTGGTCAAATCTACAGATCGATTTACGAAACATTAAAGAAGTTGAATGGTTTTATTTGAATAAAAAAGAGGAACAAGTGATCAATTTTAACCGCAGAAATCGCTGTGAGAAGTCTGAGAACTGATTTGTTACTTTGGGAAATTGAGCAAGCAGAGAGGATTGATCTTTTTTTTACCTTCCCAATCGATTTAAGTTGTTGCCCAACTGGTTCCATAAATTTCAAATCCATCTCAATTGGCCATACCTGTAAATATGCAGAGTGCAGCAAAAATTTATATTTGTATACTCGTATGCTTTTTACCTTTAAAACATGATAGGTAGAAAATGGTAGGATTTTGGAGCTTCAAAAGTTTCTTGTTTTAACTGGCAAATCAAGAGAAAGAGGAACTTGAACAAACACAATCTTGAGACCACATCATGGAGCAGAATGATTAATGAGTTTCAGTATTCTTTAAAGAAACATTATTTTTTAAAAAAATGAAGAGCTGCTGGGATGAATATAATGAAAAGAGAAATTAACTGTGCTACTTATACACAGACAATTCAATTCAATACGAGACCAAATTTAACCTAAGGTAATGGATTTTAAAAAGGGGTTAAAGAAAAAGAACACCTTCAAACCAAGTAATCTGATGGGTACAGTCTGTCCGGGAACAATGCAATCCGGTCCGGCCGCTTCCACCACCGCCTCCATTCCTAGCCCCCCGCCGATTGGATCAGGGTGCTGCAAACACAAAGATCAAATCTTTTTGGAAAACCCACACCATTGACAGCAAAAGAAGAGAATTAAAGCTTAAACAGAGCAGTGGAATAGATAACCACACCTTCACGACGGAGAGGGCGTAGTCGGAATAGGCGTTTTGGGGGATCCGAATGAGCGGAGGGTGGTGGATTTTGGGGATGGAGCTCGCACCAGAGGCGGCCCTCCACGGCGCATCTTTCTGTAAAGGAGCACCGCTTCCTCTTTTAGACATTGATGATCAAACGAGGAGAAGAGAAAGTATTAAACACAGTGAACCGGATTGTCTCGGTCTTCTATTCTTTCTTAGTTTCTTGATTGATTTACACTAGTAAAATGAGAGGGGCTAAGGAAGATGGTAAGAAGAGGAAAAGACCCGCCTACCCTGCGGTTAAATTTCATTTAACTTGTGGAGGTTCATTAATGGAAAACAAAACCTACTTGATGATTATGTTTCTTTCTTTTCTTGTTAGTGCCTTTTTTGGGGTGTAATAAAAGAATGCACATATTTTTAGCCACATGTATTATTCTGTAACAAATCAGACCAAATAAAAAAAACAATAAATTTTTTCTGGCATCGATTGGTGGAGTTCACAATGTTGTCTTTCACATTTCAATTCATTCAGATTTGAGAGTTGTCTCATTCAATCCCAATCCAAGTTGGATTAGGTGGTCGTGTTTGATGAGTTACAGAGATTATATCTATTTCTTTCTTTCAGAATTAATTTTTATTACTTTGTTTAGGATAGAAAAAATTTCTATTCAATAACAATAAAAGGGATTACAAAAATCCAAGTCATCCACTTCATAGTTTTGTTTTTTTCCCTCTTAGGCCCCGTTCCGTTCAACTTATTTTTTCTTATTTTTTCTTATTCTTATTAAAATCAGATCAGATCAGATCAGACCAGATCAGATCAGATCAGATCGAATCAGATCAGATCAGATCCGATCAGATCCAATCAGATCAGATCAGATCCAATCAGATCAGATTTAATCAGATCAGATCAGATCCAATCAGATCAGATCCAATCAGATCAGATCAGATCCGATCAGGACTTATTAAAATCAGATTCCATCAAGAATTATTATTATTATTATTATTATTATTATTACTATTATTACTATTATTACTATTATTACTATTATTATTATTATTATTATTATTATTACTATTATTACTATTATTACTATTATTACTATTATTATTATTACTATTATTATTATTATTATTATTATTATTACTATTATTACTATTATTATTATTATTATTGTTATTATTATTATTATTATTACTATTATTATTATTATTGTTATTATTATTATTATTATTATAAATGTAATTATTTTTTAATGTATATCTAAATTAAATATTTATTCTATTGCATAATTCTAATTTTACAAAAAAAAATCATAAAATAAAAATATTATTACATTATAATATGAATGATTATTCTAATATATGAATTGACTATTTTCATTTTATTAAAAAATAATCATTAAATAAAAAATGTTGATTATATTATAATATGAATTATGATTACAATTTTCAAACGTTATTATAAAGTCAAATTAAATTATTAATTTAAAATTTTAAATTAAATCATAATTAATCGGATCAGATCAGATCAGATCCAATCAGATTAGATCAGATCCAATCAGATCAGATCAGATCTAATCAGATCAGATCCAATCAGATCAGATCAGATTCAATCAGATCAGATCAGATCCAATCAGATCAGATCAGATCAGACCAGATCAGATTAGAACTTATTAGAATCAGATCAGATCAGAAAAAATAAGTTGAACGGAACGGAGCCTAATACTCCCTATTAGAATGCCTCAAACAAACAATTTATTTTTTCTCTTAAAAAATCATGATTATTATCATAATTATAATTTTTTCTCTTATATATAGGGTAGTCAGGTAGGCACTTTAGATTTTGTGGTTGTTTCTCCACTTGTGTGCTCTATTTGCTTGTAGGCTTGATGCTTGCTCTTTGGTGATGTATTTTTTGTTCAGTTTAATTAGTTTATTCTAGGCCTATGTGTGTTTTTTGTTATCTTTGTCATATATGTGTGGTCTCATTTTTATCTTTGTTGTTTGAGCTCATTTTTATCTTTGTTGTTTGAGCTCGAAGTCTCTTGGAAACAACCTTTTGACTCTTGAGTAGGGACAAAGTCTGTGTACGACCATCCTTCCTGGACCTTATTTACGTGAGATCCAATTGGAGTGTTGTTATTGTTGATTTCCAATCTGAAAAAAATTAATAATACAAATATAGTTTTTTTTAAATAGTAAGCGTACTCGGCTGGTTTAGAGTCACACTGAAAATACTCCATAGAATTAGAGCTACGAATAGAACACAATCGATTAAGTCTCTATATGGGGGGAAATGAAGGAAAAAACACAACCATTTCCTACCATAAGAGCAAATGATGGAACGAAACCCAAAAACCAAAACACCAAAGATAAAAGAGGGAACGAAATCCAAAAACCACTTGTATAATATAAGGAGAGTCCCCCCACAAGAGTGAGGGGTACAGTTCTTACAGTGCAGAGCCAAGAAGGGATGAAAACAATCATAATGTTCAAGAAAAAAAGAATCACATGAAATTGCTTTACCCAAAAACCATTCAACAAGGGGATCTATAGTAGCTAGGCGTTCAATATCAGAAATAATCTCTCGCTAGCAAATTTATATATGACAAAGCGCTACGATACTTTCACAAGCCACTTTCTTGAACTGCAACATGTTACAGTTAATAATAAACAAATACATACATACTGAGATCGGTTATGATGATGGGGCTTCAATGTCAAAAATCAAACCCCTTACCCATCGCCGTTTTCCCCTGCTGCTGCGGCCAACCTCTGCCATTTGTGCTGTCTCTGTTCTTCCATTTCTGTGGCCCGGCTCAATCTCTCTGTGTACTGCGTTTGGCACTCCTCAAACAGATCAGCATCCATCTCCATGAACATCTTCTTTACATTGACAGTCAGCCCGTGGACCGCTTGATTCCAATGAAACTGTATATTCTTTTCCAGAGCCTCAAAAATAATAGGCAAAATGGCACTCCTGTTCTGTGCGATCAAGCTTACAATGTGTTCATTGTTCCATAAAAACAGGGCTCTTTCTGCAACCTGTAACAACAAATATTTGACGATGATATAATTTTCAAAGAGAAAGAAAGCATTTGCACCACTCCTATTAAAGTCATATCTATAGAAATTGAGAGCACACACAATAAAAGAGAAAAGCATACTACGTGTTTTGTAACTCCATACACAAAGTAATTGTGACACTATGATAGGGAAGCTCAAGAGCACATAGCCGCCCACATTGACTGAGTGACTGTGAGTTCAGATATTTAATGTTACAAAGTCTAAGGGGCCATTCGGTTCAGCTGTTGTTGTTGGACAACAACAATAACAACTCATTAAAGTCCCAAGTAAGTTTTGAAAAGAGTGTGTGTACGCAAACCTTAGCTCCACTAGACAGTTGTTGGGACAACTGTTGACAAAATTTGGATTTGGGTGCTTGTTTGAGCTGTTTGTGTTGTGATGTAATACTGTTAATGATATTTTTCAAAAGTGAAAGCATATTTGGAGAAGGAAAAAAGTAGATATTTTTTAAAAAACACAGATAGTTTTGGGGAAAAGGCTGGTCTGAAATGCTACAGGACAACCAGCAGCTCTAAAATGAAGAAGCTGCCGTGAGTGTTTGAAAGAAACAAACGGAGAACAGATGTTAAAACTTGGAAAGGCGGCCTGAGTGTATTTTTGGATCCAGAAAAATGATAGTGAAAAGTGTACAGATGCTAGGGAATTTGTGGTGTTACGTTTGATGCAAAGAAAAATGAAATATGACATATTTTAAACTTTTTTACTTAAGTTCAGATTCTTAGTGTATATCATAGAAAAAAATTAAACGAGTTTGAGCAAATATCCAAAATAAATTTGTGGAGTTAGAACCTGCCTTTTATTTTCACCAAAAAAAATCTAATTCGTTTAAATTTTACTCTCTATTCTCTCTCTCTCTCTCTCATCTTTTCCAAGTTCATAAGGGGCCCTAAAGGAGGGAGAGCTGGAGAGAGAAGTTTATTGTTGTTGGTAATGGGTTGTGAACTTTGAGGCCTTGACTGTTTACTAGTTTAGAAATAACTCCACACAGACAAAGAAAAGCTGAAGATTGTATATGAAAATGTTCATATAACATAGGGAAATTTGTGATGATGCCAGCCAACATCAGAAGGTGGACGGATCATGATGAAAAGCAAATGACTTAAACTTAGTCTCACATTAGCTAGCAGTAGTTAATAAATCCCAGATCCCACAATCTTGCATCAAATTCCATATGCAATTGAGAACATGGTTTTTTTTTGAAGAATTCAAAGATATATAGGAAAAAAGGATCAAACATACAACTTACAATGAGGCAAAAGATTCAAAGTTGAAGAATCCTAAAATGTCTATGCATAAACCCGAGAAAGATAATTTCCTACATGATAAACATAGAACAAATGCCACAACATAGAGTGTGTTTTTAAAAAAATGTGCTCGTGACTTATTTTACGCAACTTGTAGAAATCAAGTAATTTGGCAAAAGGAAAAAATCACTTAATAATCACTTTTTGAAGCTACAAAACAAAAGCATCTCAAGAATTGTTTATTTCTGCTTATTACTTGCGGGAAGCATCGCCGCCTCCCACCAGTGGAGGTAAAGTTTGCATACATCTCCCCCCCCCCTCCCCCGCCAACATTGGGGTTACATTGGGTCAGCTTCTGTTATTATTGCTGTTTTTGTTGTGCTTACATCATCGTTAGATTATATGGCATTAGGGCCTAAAATGTTGCTTTCTGAAAATGACAAGTAAAAATATCTACACACCCACCCCTAGAAGAAAATATGAGTGAATTTCAAATTGGTACTCCATGTGTCCCAAAGTCAAAGGATTATCTTGGATTACAATGATTTCCAGAAATTAAAGCTTAGCCTCTTATAGTAAAATTTAACTCAGTTTCAGTAATTAACATTTACATATTTAAAACTAAACTAAAAGTTCTATCAAACCACATACACTAAATTTGAATACGATAAAGAATTGAGTTTTTTACATATTTATTGTGTTTTTTTAACAAAATTAACACACCTAACTTGTCTGTTCACCTCTGAACATTGGGGTATGGTATGGACTAGCCAACCCCCAAACTTTGTACTTGACATGCTTATTAATGAACGATCTTCCTTTTTCCTAAAAACACCTAACATGGTAGAAACACTTACAGCATGTATTTACACTTCTAAAGCATGTGGTTGCACCACTCTCTTAGTATATAAGGTGTAAGTGATACATAATTTGTGTAAATTAGGAAAACAAACTTATTGATAAATCTGAACACCATAATAAGTGGCAACTAATTAGGCCTCTACAAAAGAATGAAAAGAAATACTCCCTTCGTCCCCCTTTAGTTGTCTCACTTTCCTTTTTAGGTTATCCCTAAACAATGTCCTTGTTTCCTTTAATGGAAATAATTGTGTGGTTAATATAATTTCTCTTTGTATAAGTTTCAACCACAATATATCACCTTTCTTAACCATCATGTAAAGCATGGTTGTTAAAATCGCGATTTGAATCGTAGAAGCGCGTGATTCTACAAGTATTGCTCATATGTGCGGTCTGAATCACTTTAAGAATCGGAGAATTCTTGGATCAGGTAGGTTATCGAGTTGGATCTTGCATCGCCAGATTGCGTGTTTGATCTAATCTAAGAGATCTGATTTACGAAAATGCAAATCGACGCACCACGGATTGAATTTGCAAAAAAAATTAAAATTTTGAAAAATAATCTGTCTCCCGCAGCATTCAGAGTCCTCAAATGGTTAGATTGTTAGATGTCTATTAGATGTTCTCAACTACTCCCCTTTATAATTTCATCTTCACTGTTGTGTGACTTGTGTCTAAAATCTACATCGCTTCTGCATCTATTTTGAAGTCTCTTTTGTTCAGATGCTATGAACTTATGACAATTTCTATTTGTGGATATTATGATTATGATTTATGGTTTTTTTATCATGTACATGTTATAAATTTTAAACATTGGCTACCACTACTCTAGGACTTTACGATCCTCTAACACCTCACCAATCCTAGCTAGGATCTCGATCTTAACAACCTTAATGTAAAGCCAAAATGAGACCATAACAAAGGGACAGTTGGAGTATTTCATATAGCAATATAGCATCCTTAGTTTGCCTTGCACTTAATGCATATTGCAACTTTATACTGTCAAAAGGATCAATTTCAGTTTATTCAAATCAAACAATAAAACTTACAGAGTAATTGAATACTACAAGATTATGCACAAGGAGTAATAGGGTACAGAATTTGCCCAAAAAGTGAGAATTTTTATATGAAAATGCATCTATAATAGCGGAAAGGTATAAAATATCTAATAACCTGAAAGTGTGGGCTGTTCAGGCAACGAGCTATCTGTCGAAAAAGAGGAACCATGCAACGCTGAAACTCTGAAGGTTGTGTGGCTTCCAAAACCTCTTCAAGCTCCCCAATAAATAGAACCTCTTTTTGGCAATTAGTAACAGGCCAGTATTTAAGAAGACCCCTTATAACAGTATCAGCCAACTTGTAATCCTTCTCCACAAACTGGAAAATGCAGTATGACAGCTGCTGGTGATACATTGTAATAGGTTTTGGCTTGTGGAGTGGAATGAGTGCACGGACAAGAAACAACTTGTGTTCCTCTTTCATTGGCAATGCAAACCCGTTTATTATACTTCCAAGAATCTCAAGAAGCTCACCTATTCCACTGTGTCTCTCTGTCTCGTATATAAATCCATAAAAGACGTTACCAATGGCCTTCCTTATAAATGGCCTGTGTACCATGAACTTCCCATATATCCGGTGAAGAATTGTTTTCAAATACTCTCTTTCCCTTGGGTCCTCAGAGTCAAACAAATCCAACAACTTCAACACGAATGAGTGATCAATAAACCGTTTGGCCACCTTTGTATCGGTGTCTGATGAGACAATGTAACGCAGGAGAAGCTCATATACTAACTGCAAGTGTGGCCATGAGGGCTCTAGAAAAGGCTCTTCCTCTTCAGCGTCAACATTTTCTGATCCCGTGTTCTCATGCGAATTGGGCGGTAAGCAACGGAAGATGTTGATGGATATCATTCTTACCATTTCTTCCTGAGTGCTCTCGGTGATTTTTCCAGAACCGGATTGAACGAAATCTACAAGCTCCACAAGGGACTGCCTCTTGATCTCCTTCTCCCTTACCATCTTCATTGCATCTGTGAAATCAAATTGGAAGCAGCAAATCTGAAGCTTCTTCAGAAACAAGTTCTGGCGCTCTGACACTGGCACATCCCGGAAGACAGGAAGATTTTCGATAGTTCCTATGACCCGAGCTGGTGGGGTCGGAGAAAGATGCGACTGTGATGAATCTGCCGGAAAGGCGCCCCTCGAAGCATGGTTCACCACCACATTCGACGTGGTAACCTGCTGCGGTCCATTTCGGAAACCCCCTCCATTGGATTTTGACGCCTTCCGATGTCCCCTCTTTATGATTTTGTTCAACATTTTGACTCCGGTTGCTAAAACCCTAACCCTAAATGTTTTGCCTACGACACTGTAACCCTTAACATTTGTCTACGTATGATGAAATGCAAGAAAAAAGTATAAACTTGTGACAAAAACAGATGCAATAGCAGTGAGGAGGCGCCGAACCTTAAATCCGTGATTCCCGTTTACATGAGAGGGGTTCGGTAGAGTAGAGACAGAGAGACCCGTCTGGAAAAATGAAAGGTGAATCTTGGCTACGATCAGGGATCGCCGGTTGACGTATGGTTTGCGGCGGCCAGGCCGAGAGAAGGTTCCCGGCGATCCACAGGCGATGAAAATTACGGATTAAGGACGGAAAAGGGAAGAGAAAAGAACAAAAACGCTCCTTCCGTCAAACCTGAAAAGGGCAACTTGATTGTAGTCTAAATCTAAAGTCTAATTTATTTTTTTAGATATTATGTGGTCGGGTTTTCAGGCCCGCTGGTTCGAAGACTAAAATATGAATATATGATGGGTGGGGTTCCGTCGACACTGAATTCCAGTGTTCACGGATGACGCTCGCCCATTTTGGGTATTTCCGGTGCTCCACTTTCAAAATCGATGGTTCTTACCCCATAAACACCCCTCTAAACCCCTACCTCAGTCCCACCTTAAGCCCTCCTCTAAAATATTTAAATAAAATTAATGTATCACTTTAATAAATTTGATAAATGATAGTAGAGTATTTTATTTGTGACTCTAGCATTACTCTAATTTTGATTTAAATTAGAATGATGCATAGTAAATAATTAATGTAAGAAGTAACATTTTTTTTTAAAAAAAAAAAGCGTTGCAAAAGCTACATACTAGCCCGGCTTCTATTTCCATAGTAGAGGGATGGAGATGCGTTGGGTGGCCTCGCCACTGCAGATCGTTTTTCTTGTGAATAATCGGTTCCATTCCAAACATCTCTCGTTGCCGTCCTCAGCAGGTACTGCAATTTGAAAACACTAGGTGCGGTTGAAGCCCGGCCTACTCGTGTTCCCAACCTATTTTTTTTAATTCTCGCCCTTCTTTGAATTTTTTTAAAAAATACTATGAAATCGAGCATATGTTGGAAAAAAATCAATTTTTTTTAAAATTACCTTTACTATTGCGAAAAAATCAAGTAAGGTGAATAATTGATCTGATAATTTTTATTTTGTATCTATTCATTATTGGTTTGTGGGATTCTACTGGGTTGTTGTTTTTGTATCTATTCATGATTGGATTCATTAATTTTGGTTTACATGTTTTGTGTTAGCATTAAGATACTATTGATTTATTACTGTTTAGACTTGTTTGTGTGTGCGCGTGTGAGTATATATGTATCCCACATAAAGCCTATGATATGGAGAACGATGAAGTAAGTGGTAAGGAATATGATGCTGGTACAAAATTTGAAGGTTCGCAAGGTAAAATTTGTACTTAGTACATTCGTATGAGAGGTTTATAGTTAGGAGACGTCATTGTGTTGTTGTCGATTTGTTTCTTCTGTGATTGTTTTGATGTTAAGATTTGAGTTGATTCTGCCATTATGTTTTATATTGTTTTGAGTTTTTTGGGAGTATTGAGTATACAACTGTTTAATATAATGGGTGTTTACATACTACTTGTAATTTCTTCTTGAGCTTGGATGTTTATGGCCTCCACTTTTGCAGTTTCGCTTTCATTACAAATGCATTTCTCGGATCAGAGAAACCCCTCTTGTTTTCTCTCCTTCGTTATTCAGTTTCACTACTTGGGTAAACTTGGAAACTCCTCATCTGTAATGTAAAGTTCCCAGAAATGAACAGTAATGTTCTGAGACTTCTTTGGATCAAACACTCTTTTAATTTCCTGCAAAACCTGTAAGTTGAAATCAATGTTTTCTGAAAAAAGAATAAGCAAGCAAGAAACGGAACCAACATAAATTTGACTAGTTATGTCTGCAACTTAATGAGAATTTTCACCCACGAAGGAGCAAAAGACTCCCAGACATAATATCAAAGCTAACCTACGGAAAAGGCATGTTATACTGAGTATTTCCAATTTTTGTTTAATGAGGATCTACACTTTGAATTGAAAAAGTTTTACTTTGGAAGTTCTTTTGGAAACTTGTTTGAAAAAGTCTTTTGATCTATGTTGCACATACAGTGTGGTTTCTTTTGAATATCATTTGGACAGTCCTTTTGCCATGTTGACTCTAGTCTGGATTGTAAGTATTTGGGTGACTAATCCCTGTGTTACTTCTACAGGTATAAAAGGCAACTGTTATTCTCTTGATGCATTATGGTACTGCCTTTCGGTTCTCGACTTTTTGCTTGCTGAATCAAGGCTGGTTATTATTATGAAGGGTTTGTAAATTGCAGGTTCTCCTTTCTATTGTTTATCACAACTAGTTATCCTCTATTTTTATAGGTTCGGCATCTGAGTGTTTATCCCTAGCTTGTCTTATTTTGGCTTGAACTTTTCTGAAATATAGTATTATCATTATTCTGTCTGTTTCAGGTATGGTGACTGAATATACTTTATTGTTGCACACCCTTTATGAAACCTTTAGTTAGTGATTAACTAATTGAGCCAGCTTTACCATGAAAAGTTTAGGAGGTTAATTGATGGGGTATAATTGATGGGGTATTGCTCTCAACCCGAAAAACAATTCTTGTTTACGAGTTTATGCCTAAAATAAGTTTGGAAAGCCATCTCTTCCATAGATTTTATTCTGGACAGTACGTACATGTGTGAATTATGTTAATAATTGTTAAAAATATTGTATGGGCAATCTTTAAAATTGTTATCAGTAGTTGTGTACCCTCATGGCTCTATGTTTATTAAAAATGGGTACATGACTATCATTCACATCATTTATTTTTCATCTGTAGATTCATTAATAGCCAATTTTTGAATTATTTCTTTCTTTCAGAAAGAGCATTGAGCCGAGTAGAAATTGTTTTAGGATATCAGCAATTCTAATGAGGTGACATTTTTTTGGTTATAATGGCCATTCGAAATTTTATTCCAGAATTCTAGGTGAATTTAAGTTGTGTTCTTAAGATTTCCTACCTACTTTACTCACAAGACTACTCATATTTAATTATTTGCTACTTTTTCTGTCCTGAAACATCTTCCCTTATTGACTTTTTGAGGATTTAAAGGAGGGATATTTTTGTGTTGATTTTCCAAAAATATACTTGATGTGATGGGTAAAAGACCCTTTTTTTAATTCTCGCCCTTCTTTGATTTTTTTAATACTCTCAAATCGAGCATATGTTGAAAAAAATACTATTGCAAAAAAATCAAAAATGGTCTAGTATTTCTACAGTTTAGGTGATTAATTGATCTGATTTATTTTGCATCTATTCATGATTGGATTTATTAATTTTGGTTTACATGTTTTGGTTTTAGCATTAGGATACTGTTGATTTATTATTGTTTAGACTTGTTTGTGTGTGTGTGTGTGTGTGTGTGAGTCAATATATATGTATCCCACATAAAGCTTCTGATATGGAGAACGATGAAGTAAGTGATAAGGAATATTATGCTGGTACAAAATTTGAAGGTTCGCAAGGTAAAATTTGTACATAGTACTTTCCTATGAGAGGTTTATAGTTAGTAGACGTCAGTGTTGTTGTCAATTTGTTTATTCTGTGAAAGCAGTATAATATAATACTCCCTTTGTCTCATTTTAAATTGTCTGTTTTCTTTTTTTCTACGTCCCAAAATAAGTTGCTTGTTTCTTATAATAATAAACTTTTTAGGGTAAAATACCTAAACTATACCCCTAAATTAAGTCACTCCTCTCCACCTTATCTTCTCATTTATCACTACCCCGTAAAAAAAGTAAGGCATTTTTGAAAAATCAACACCACTCTTTTCCTTCCTTAAATATGCTCCAAGATCAAAATGGGTAATATAAAATGGGACGGAGGGAATACATGATAGGGTGCAATCATATCATTTGATCCTTGTAGCCGACCCCTCCTGGTGCCTAGTAAGACAAAGCTTTGTTGTTGTTGTATTTAAAAAAAAATGATTGTAGTAAGTTAGAGAATTGGCATACCGCATATGTATACCCCCAATTGTAATTAAAAAAAAAGTATAAATGTATTAAGATCTGATGTAACACTGGTATAGAAAAAAAAGATAATGCCATACCTTCCGCTCGCCCTAATAAATGGGTGGGAGGGCGGAAGTAAATTTGAAAATTGCAAATGGCGGATGGGAATATAATACATGCATGATATTGAGTAATATGGATGGATTCAATAAAGTAGTGTTGGAGTGGAAATTAAGGGGCGGCGGCGGCGGCGCACTCAGGGGTGAGAGAGAGGTTTGGCGGCGGCGAGGACTTGCAATAGTCGTAGACCAAGTACTTGCTCTGAACCCATTTCATGGCAGCCTCCTGTGTTTGGCTCAGCTTGACACTGCTGTCTGCCTCTCCCACAAATAAGTTTTTGTACTGAGCGACGTAAGGTCCGTAAGACGGGTTCATCCTGCATTTCCCGCCCTCGGTTGCCCAGTCCGACGCATCCCATATCGTTCCGTACACCCACATCTCCCTCTGCGGATATGTTGCTGGGTTGTTTATATTTGGATACCTCCTTATCGGCGTATCGTCCACAAAAAATCTGCAACAATAATGAGTTGTTGGTTCCGGTAAGAATGGACCTTGCTTGGTAAAAAAGAAAGAAATAAGAACGATGCACCACAAACGTACGTACATGATTTCTCGAGGTGTCTTTGCAATGGCGTAGTGGTGAAAATGTTTGGAGGGGTCGAACCACAGTTTGAACTGCACCTCTCGGCCGATGACAGGCCTCTTGTGGTCGAAGAAACCGTCCCCACTCCCATCCACATACACATTGGTCTGCAAAATGTATTCCCCCTCCCGCCGGGTTCCCAGGAACTCAATGTCCACTTCATCATGACGCCCTTGGTATTTATCCCCATTCGATAACTGCCATAATACATACATACATTCAGATCAGATCGAGCTTAATTAATATTATAATTATAAGCAGATCGATGGAGTATCGTATCGTGCGTACGTATAGATTAACATTAATTCCACAGGTCATGTAATTGTTTGGGAGTTTGATGTCTGCCGCAAAGTAGCCGTTCACGTACGGATTCTTTGACATAAACCCGCTCCCTGTACGTCGTCGTCATCAATTAACATAGTACATTATTATATGTGTAGGACAAAAAGAAAATCAAAACATGAACAGTTTTTAGGACGGAGAGAGAAGCAATAAATAACTAATAATTACCCGAGTTTTGGTCAAGTTGCATGGTTACAACCTTATTATTATCTATCTTCATATGATCAGAACCCCAAAGATTGTTGAAGAGGTTTTGGCGGTCAATTCCAGCATGGGTTATTGTTATTGGAGTAATACTAATAGTAATAATAATAAGGAACTTGAAGAGGAAGGAGAAGTTGAAGAAGGGGCGGCAGATGGACGATAACATCATTTTAATCATATAGCTACTATTCTTTGTGGGTCTAATTACTTTGTTTCATTTGCAGGTGGGGCATATACATATACTAATCGCATTCTACACATTATATATTTAATTGAAATTCAAAATTCATTCAGTTTGACTTGAAAGGTCAAACTGAATAAATAAGATCGGAAGGAGTATATTATAATTTATCTACAAAGTCATATTGAACAGTTAATATGTGATGAAGGAAGTGCTATACGTATATAGTGTGATAAATGTGCATCCATTGTTTGTTACTTTTCCCCTTCTTAAATAATACGGAGTAGTAAGTCTATTATGACTTCTTACATACATTCAAAATTCAATGAATGTGAACAACATTTAGTTGTTTTTCAATATAATCTTGGCTATGTAAGGAATTACACTCTAGTAATTGATTGTTACTCTTCATTATTTAATAAAACTAATTATTATCAAATTGTATCATTTACAAACAAATCATCGTTACTCTAAAAAAAATTAAATTTTTATTTAAAAACAGCATATCTCAAGTCTTAAATTCGAACTACTTGATAAAAAAATTTCATTATTATTAAAATAATTCAAAGAAAACAAAAAAATGAAGAGTACTAATTAAAAAAATATTTTTTCTCTCTCTCTCTAGGGGAATATAATTCTTCCTCTCTTATCTCTCCTATCTATAAGCTAGCTCCTAATATTTCTACTCAAGCTTCTTTTCTTGTCCCTTTCACATCATTTTATTTCCGTTCTTTAATTTTCTCCGCCATTAAGCCCATTAGAGATGTTCCAATGACCACGGCGCCTAGAATCGCTTTACTTTTCAAAATCAACCTTTTGATACTCCCCACTCAAAAAAATTACTACCATATTTCGTTCTTGAATATTTATCTAGTTTTAATTTTTTACAATTTAAATTATTACATAATAAACTAACTAAAAACAATTGATATTAAATATAAATACCAAAAGTTTATTTAAATGTTGGTCAAAGTGAAGTATAATTGACTGTAAAAAAATTGACAAATACTGTGAAATGGAGGTAGCACTCCGTTTAACCGCCCATTTTAAAGCTTAATCCCGGCGGGGTCGCCCCTTGTTTAATAGAGTAGTTTGATTATTTACCCCAATGAATTTTACCCCGTCAAAAAATCTCTTTGTCCCTACTTTACACCAATGAATTGTCTAATTAAACTATACGGAGTCTCAGCTTCACTCTGTAATGATTATTAAATCTTTCTTTCTACACAACTTTTGATTTTTTTTAGAACTGTATAGTTTTACGAGTTGAATATTTCTTCCATGCACCTAAAACTCACAAATTTTTAAAGTTCTTATATTTTTATAGATTTTTGATCTCATTTGTAGCAAATCACCGTGTGTAAAAGGATTTACCCGACTTTTTATTTGAGATAATATTTTAAGTACTTCACCCATTTAAGTACTTCACCCATGCAAATTAATGGCGTGGACTTTTTATTTAAGATAATATTTTATGATTCTATAAAAAAAAAGTATCATGTCGTTGTTATTTGCATAGTCAAATTATACAAATATCCTTTCAATTAAATCTTTCTAAACAACTTCATTTCAAATTTCAAAATATCTCATATCATTTCTCACAACTTTCAAAACTCGTATCTTGTCAAACCTCTAAAACTCACTAAACAAGCCGTTTAGTTTAGATGGAAATTTGGCCCACCGATCTCTAAGTTGGGCCAGCCATAGCCCATATTCTAACAGTTAGATAAAGTTCACATGGCGTAATGAATAATGTGAGATGGGCTGGGCTAGAACATTCAGAGTTTATCAACGATTATTGTTCGTACAAGTTTACAGATATGTCGTATCAATTGTGATGGATTTCTAACGTTTTTGAACAAACATTAGGGTAACCATCACCAACAAGTTGGATTTGCCAAAATTGCTCAAGGGACACGGTTTTCAACAATGCAGAAATGAAACATTTCAGAAGCGTTGCCGCAGAGAAGATAGAAATAGTATGGGCTATAACAATTCCTTCTTTAGAAATAATTAGAAAATCAATTTTGGGATGCCAAATATAGAGGATAGTGATGTTGGAATTCATCCCACATCGGAAATATAATATAAACACTACTCTCATATACAGAAAGGTGAAAAAAAGAAGACAAAAACTTCAGGCCCTTAATATCAATCACTTGGATATGAATCAAATTTATTCGTTTGCAGCCAGCATAATGACTACATATTATAATTTTTTTTACCAATCTGCAAGAACATAAACAGAAAGAAAAAACAAAAACAGAAGAGGTGCCGTGCCACTAACTCAGGCTTTGGGTTTGAGGATCTTGACAGTTTCCCAGGTGAAATCAGGGTCGTCACGTCCAAAGTGACCATATGCAGCAGTCTTCTGGTACCTAAGCTTCCCTCCTCTCTTCAAGTCAAGGTTGATTGTGATCATTCCAGGCCTGAAGTCAAACTCCTCCTTAATCAGACTCAAGATATCTCTGTCTGGAATCTTCCCCGTCTTGTAAGTGTCGACGAACACCGAAAGTGGTTCCGCCACACCGATAGCATAAGAAACCTGGACGATGCACCGGCGAGCGAGTCCGGATGCAACCACACTCTTTGCTGCTTGCCTGACGATGTACGCCCCGCTCCGGTCCACCTTGGTGGGGTCCTTCCCTGAGAAGGCTCCCCCACCGTGTGCACCCCACCCACCGTACGTGTCAATGATGATCTTCCGCCCAGTCAGCCCGGCGTCCCCGTGGGGACCCCCGATGACGAAGCGGCCCGATGGGTTGAGGTGGAAAATGGTCCGGTCGTCGAGGTACTTAGCCGGGATCACGGGCTTGATTACTTGTTCCTTCAAATCATGGGCAATTTGGTCATTCGTGACGGTCTCGTCGTGTTGCGTCGAGATGAGAACGGTGTGGACCCTAAGCGGGACCATCGCCCCGTTGTCGTTCTTGTACTCAACAGTGACTTGAGTCTTACCATCAGGTCTTAGCCAGGGGCAAATCTTGTTCTTCCTCACTTCGGTCAGCCTAGCACCGAGTTTGGTAGCGAGGACATGAGTGAGAGGCATTAGCTCGGGGGTTTCGTCAGTGGCGTAACCAAACATGTGGCCTTGGTCACCTGCTCCGATATCCTCGGGTTTCTTGGTGAAATGACCATGAACACCCTGGGCAATATCCGGGCTCTGTTGCTCGATGTTCACGAGGACTTTACAGTTGTCGGCGTCGAGGCCAACTTCAGGAGAGGTGAACCCAATGCCTCTGCAAGTATCGCGTACAATTTTCTCATAGTCTACACTGGCCTTGGTCGTGATCTCCCCAAAGACCATCACCATGTTTGTCTTCGAGCAAGTTTCGCAGGCGACTTTGCTGTCTGGGTCTTGTTCCAGGCATGCATCGAGAATGGCGTCTGAGATTTGGTCACACAGCTTGTCAGGGTGACCCTCATTGACCGACTCTGAGGTGAACAAGAAGGTCTCCATTTTTATTCCTTCTGGAAATTCAGGCAAAAAAGAAAGCTCTTAGTCTCCATTTCAAAATATGCAAATATTTCTCCAAGAAAAAAAAGAGAGCAAGTTTTGTATTTGTTTGTGAAAGGGAATTCTATTGCTAGTGAAAGCTCAAGCAATAAAGGTTGTGTTTTGAAACTCAAAGAATATCAACGAGATATAACAAGAGAGATAACAAGAGAGAAAATACAGGAGAAATTGGAAGGAAAGGAATCGGATGGGGAAAACAAACAATTGGTAGAAACTCAATAAATGGAATTCAGTATATCTTTCATATAAAAAGGCTAAAGAAATGCAATAAATACATGTATAGTAAGGTTTAGTAAAATTTTCCATATATTTTTTTCCCTTTTCCCTACAATTTCCTGAGTTCCAAAAATGGCCAAAGAGAAATTTCAATCCTCACTAGCAATAGAAAGCTTTGATTTGCAGAAGAATGGGTTAATATGTATCTATTCCATAACCATTCGAATTTCAAAGGCAACGCTCTCAGTCTCAGAGATTAAGAATTCTTATGATTCATTGATTATCTGCAACTGCAATTCAAGATCCCAACAATGAACCGGAAGCTAAACTAAAGTTGACATAAATCTATCTAGGTCAAGTTGTGCAGGCTAATTTCTAATCACAAATCACAAAAAGGTTAGCTAGTCCGGCAGCAAACGGATCTGCAATATCACACAGCTAGCAAGAGGAGGAATTGCAATAATGCTATAAACTCTATCGTCATTAACGCGATTAATCACCATTAATAAAAGTCCGTAAAAATGAAGGGCGGCAGGTCTATGATACGGATTAACAATCTCTCGGGAAGAAGAAAACGCGTGATACCAAACATGCATTTACGCAATTGAGATCTGAAAACAGTAGCTCAGGGTAGAAAAGTGGGGAGAAGATGCGTACCTGCGGCGGAGCCGGGCGGAGGCCAGAGGGAACGCGTGGATCTGGTGGGATGGGAAGAGGGAATGAGAGGCGTGTTTGGACAGTTCGAAGATATGGCTGTGTGTGTGTGTATATATATAGAAGAGGATCAGTTGGAGGGGGCGCGAATTGATCGCCGTCCACCGCGGAGTTGGTGGGGAGGTAGGTGGGCTCTCTCTCTCTCTCTTCAACTTGACTGTGGTTTTTTTAATCTATGGCTTCTGTATTTCTCATGGATGGTATAATTTTTTTTGGATGATTCTCTCGTCAAAATTAAATTCGTTGGTCAATAGAAGAACATTGTAAGAACAAAAATAACTTTTTCTTAGGCCATACAATGGAATAATATGGGGTAATTTACCTAAATAGAACAAAAATATAATGACTTTCTTTATATATGATCATATATTTTTATTTCTCAATGTAGGACCATTGGTCATTGTCTATTAGTCATTATTCAACTAAATGTTCAGCATCATTTGGACATTATTCTTCTCACTGGTCGTTATTAAGTCCTATTTAAGGAATAAAAAAGTTTAAGTCCTACATTGAAAAATGATTTATGTTTTAGTGCTATTCACTGCAAATTTCACATAATATGGATGCCCAAATTCCGCCACGCTGCCCGTGCTAGGCTACTATTAGGAGGCGACAGGTGAAAATTCAGCCGGTAATTTTGGACGAGCGACAATCCGTTGTGCCGCGTCAGATTTATTTTTTATTTTTCAGACTTCATTGCACCGGCCGTCCATTGCAATGCTCTAGCGGCGCGGCTCTTCTTCCTTCATGTGCAGCTGTTTTCGGCCTCCATTGTAAATGCTCTTACATCACTTGTATACTGTGTTACAGACACACGGATAATAATTATCTTTGTATTAAAGAACTATGTTCCAATCCCTTCTAGGGTCAATGAGTTAGTTGGTTAAATATGTGTATCATGGGTTTGATAAATTGTCTCTACCAAGTTTATGGTGTATGTACTTTTTTATATGGTAGAAAAAGATTAAAGTTATTATTTTATTTGGTTTTTTGTTCCTTGACATTTTTCATTCAATCTAACTTTCCGAGTCACATAGAGTAAGAGAAAGAAGTGACAAGTGTGAAGCCTGTTTTAGAACGGATGTAAAAAAAAAGCATAAATTTCATTTAGAGACAGAAAACATATCTAATATTCCCTCCGCTCTCGAATTAAATTCAGGATCTGACTTCACAAATTTAAAAAGAAAAAACTAGGGAGTATGTTACTCGTATCATACCAAACCCAATTGGCTTAATAATGGGTCTCTCTAATAGAGAAATATCACACCATACTTGCACTCTATTACAGGAGAGTGAACATGTATTATATATTACAAGTTGGGTGCTATAATATATAATTGGAGCCAGCCTGTGCCTGTGAATGGGAATGGGGTTCCATACTTTTTGCATGCCAAAATGATAAAATCTTTTACAGTATGTATCAATATAGCAAGAAGCAGGCAGGCATTTGGGCCATAAATGATTGTCATGTGGTCTTGTGATTGCATTTCATTCCATCAAAATCAAAGCACAACTACTAAATTAGTGCAAGGAATTGGGGATCTCATCATCTCAGTAACTAAGGCCAAGTTGTAGTCCGAGAGCTGCGTGGACAAGAAACAATGCCATGATTCCGCTCCCCAGGATGCCATGAACGCTTCTCAACCCCGGATTCCCCTGCAAACCACATCCATTTATAATGACAATCATATTGGCTAGAATTATTCTATATATTGAACTCAAATGATATATCATGGTTGGAAATTGGAATACAATACATATACATATATATATATATATATATGAAATAAATATAAGAAACTAGGAATTGATATGTGTGGTGGTACCTGAAAGAGTGATGGTAACGCGGCTTGTATGCTCAAAAGGGAAAGGCCGACAAAGGCGGTGACAGCATGAGGGCTACACGAATATGATTAATTACATGCATTAAACTTACTAACACTGACATTGATGGAATTGGAATTAAAATTCCATGGGATTCAATTCCATAGAATTTAATTCACCAGTTTCAATTCATTTTTTGCACTACCAATTCTAAATCCACATAATTTTTGTGCTACCAAACACGAGAATTGGATTTGAAGTCTTCATTTCCAATTCCATAGTTTGAATTCCGTGTACCAAAACGGGGCCTGAGAGCAATTTATAATAAATTAAAAGCAGCTACCTTTCTAAGATGGGTTTGTCTGAAGTGAGCAAAGAGGTAATCCCTCCAGTGGCTCCAAGAGCAAAGAAGAAGAACATTCCAGCTAGGAGTTTGGGATGTAAGTCTTTGGCCTTTGCCCTTTCCTCCTACCCACCAAAAAACTCAATGAACGAATTAACATATACTCCGTTTTTGAATAACACCTCTGTAATCAAGAACGATATTCGCTCTAATAGTCCAATTCTAATGTGTGTGTGTGTGTGTGTATATTACCGCATCAGTGGAAGAACGGATTCGGAATCCCAGGTAAGTGCCGTACCCACCCATGGCAATGAGCACAACAGCCTACCAATTGAACAACAACAACAACATCAACAATGCATTAGCAAATCTGAAATGACAACGGCAGTCTACTTGTAGACTGTGCCGAATAGAAACCATTCAAGATTTCCAGTACATGATCTTTATCGGGGCAGACAGTAACAATTAGCAGAAAAGTTTTGGTTTTTATGTAATGAAGTGAATGGTTAGGCTAGCAATGATGGTTTTTGAGTATCAATTTAGATTGTACCGAGTATTTGCTTTGATATCTTGGTAAATTTGGTTCCAAGTTTATATTTTTCTTCTCAATGTCTGCTATATAAGGAATGGCAGTTTACCATGTTCCCAGGATGACCCCAGTGGACGAGCCATTCAGGAAGGTTCAATGTTTTAACCACCTCCACGAACGGCTCAAACACAGACCTCACACTTCCACCTGAACTCGAATTTCATCAAACAATCTCATTAAATTCTTCAACATTTCTTGTTAAAAATTTGAACTTTAACAGTTTTTTGGAACATTTCGAAGAGAAAATAATCACTCGTAATAGATTCCCCAAAATTAGTTCCGCGTACCTCCAGGAAGAGCAGCCAAGAAGAGCAATGGCAAAGGGGTGAAGGAGTAGAGTAGAGACTGTGTACGAGGTTCCTCTGTGGTCACTTCGGATTCGTATCTAAATTTCTTCAGACAAAAATTTGTTGGAAAGAAGACCCTTTTTTTGTGTCCCTGGATCAGTAGTGGACGTCCGGAAGGAGTACAGGAGGGGATTCTTGGAGAGTTTGAGGGCAATCCAAGGGCAGGAAATAATGGGCGCTGCCCTTTAGTGATGGGTAAGGACCAAACATTCACTGTAAATGTCATTTGAAACAAGAAGAAGAAGAAGAAGAAGAAGAAGACGAAGACGAAAAGAAATTAAAGCTGTGCTCTTTGGAAAAATTTTGGGTGCGTGCAGAATAGACGGCTCCTCTGGTTTGAAGATAGAGGGAGGGAGAAGAAGAGGAAGATGAATGGCAAGTAAAGAGACACGAATATGGCCTTAGACTTAGAGGCAGAAACTAGAAATGCCCCTCTCTTGCAAAAAAAAAAAAAGGAAATGCTTGGTTCACAAACTCAAACTTTACAAATTTCACAAACTTACCATTTGTGAATTTCAATAAAGAAAATTAAATAGTCTAAGGTAGTGTTTGGCAACTAGCATTTCATTTCAATTCATGCATTTCACTTCCAAAATTTGAAATCCTGAATTTCAAATGACTAGAGGAGGTCCATGAATTTCAAATTAAGCTTTGTTTTGAATGTAAAGAATTTGATTCAAATCCAAATTCAAAATGCTTAAGTTTCCCAAACATGGAATTTAAGTCAAATCCGGATTTGAAATCCAAATCCATGTTCCTAAACATACCATAAAATAATTTTAAAATGAAAATTTAAACCATAAATAGTAAGTTTGTGGAGTTTGTGATCATTCTGTTTGTGAACGTAGCATTGCCCCAAAAAAAATCACCTTTTGCATTTTAAAATTTTAGTTATCTCCTAATCTCAAAGTAAAATTTTATGTATCTCCTTCTAATCTCCCGTCCGTAAATTCTAAATTTAAAATTTCCAATTTCTTATAGTATAGGAACTAAGAACTTCTCAAATGTACTTATGTACTAAAAAAAACTTCTCAAATTAGTTTTTATTATTAAATTGTATATTTTGTTTTATTTTACTCTTTTCTGCATAAATTATTTTTTCTTGAACTCCATAAACTCTTTGAAAAGACAAATGTGATCTACTCCAATATTTATAGAATACAGAGATATAATTTTAGTACAAAGTATAAATTTTTCTTTCTTATTAAGAATAAGAAGTTTATCTTGAGACATTCTAAAGAGAAATTAAACCTAGATTTCTTTGTGGATCCCATTTCAATATAGCACCTTACACCATGTAGGCATGTACCTAGAATGACTTTATTTATTCTCTAAAACTGCTTGCCCCTCAGTTTTGAGCTACGATCATCAACGCAATTTACAAGCATTCCAATGTTTCCATCACAGAATCAAATAAATCACACAGCTGATTTGTCTACAAGGGGACCCTTCATACATTTTTGAGACCCTAAGCACAGGGAAGGTAGGCATGCCCTCCGTTTATGGGTACACCCATCGCCGGATAGCGAAGTATAGGGTAGTAGTAGCATGAGAGCTTCATTTACATTGCAGTTCATCCATCTAATTAATTATGATGCAGCTTTAACCTGCAAGAATAAATCTTTTACCACATTTTTGGTCAACCTTTCCCAGCCCAGCCCTGCATTGAACGCATGAAAACAAGAGGTTTGGTATAAAAAAGAACTGAAGTACAGAGTAGCATATAAACTGAGATGTATTATGTGCAGTGTACCTTCCATAAGCTCGTAACTGGGACGTATAGTTTGCAACAGTACATACTTCATCTCTCGACCCGTAGGACATTGTTTTCTATGGCACCCCTAGTGACCAATTCCCTCTCTGGATCAGTTCTCCAATGCCCATCCACAACAAACTTTATCTGTCAATAGTTCACCGGTAAACCAGCTCATCCGTATAAGGGGCATTTCATTCCAAATATAAACAACAAACCCAATAAAATCCCATTGACTGTGGTCCAATGACAGAGATTGTAACCAGACCTTACCCCTACCAAGATTAAGGAATTTGTTTAAAAAAAAACCATTGCCCCTTTTGGCCTTCTCTTAGCCCTTTAAATTCATTCCTGTGAAGCAAAGAATCCTAATACAAAACTAGTTCAGAAGTTTATATATTGGTTTCTTTATTTGTACTTGTTCAATATGGGATCAATCCATTAGTTTGTGTGTGCGGACAGTTTGCCTTTTTACGGTGGACAGTTTGCTTTTATCATAAGACTATTTGTTTAATAAATATTTCACACCTCATATATGCCAGGATAAAGCCACAAGATAGTTCTCCAGAGGTGAAATATCCTGCAAGAGGGAGCAAAATAAGCAAAGCTATCATTATTCATTTCAGAGAAAAATAGTGAAAGCATAGGTTTAAAAAAATTATAGATGAAGAGAATCAAAACCTTAAACCGGTGGAACCTATGAGACTTGATGCTGATTGTGGGTCCATCTTTATTCTATGATGCCAACCATTGAAGCTTCCAGCTACCTCCACACACGCTCCATCACCTCGGAATTGAATTTCGACCTACCAAAAAAGTGTTTGTCCCATTTATCTTTTGCTTAGTTTCATGTTTAATCCTATTGCAGTTGAATACAAGGAGAAGCGAACATGTAGGACAAAATACCTCTTTTAAGCCTGACAAGCTTTCTTCTGCAGCATTTAGTTCTGCATCTTTTTCAGAAACAAGTTTATGTGCCTTCCTCATCTCAGTTTGAGCTTTAATTTGCATATCAGACAAAGCATTCTGCAAAACAAACACATAAGTATTGTGAAAAACATAGCTGTTCGAATGTAAACTAATCCCACTGAATAAGTATCTAAGTTAAAATGAAATGTGATTACCTTTTCTGCTTCAATTTTTTGCTTCAGACGCATCAATTCCAGCTCTTTTTGATGCTAATAGTAGTGAATTTTAATTGAGTTGTGAGAAAGCTTTACAATAGTAAGTTGAAGATGGGGGTGGGCCAGATGTATGATGCTCCATTATAACAATATTAAGAATAGTACCAGCATGAACTTGAGATGACTAATTTCAGCTTGATTCTCCACATTTTGGATCTACAACAAAAACATAGCCAATGGGTACACAAAAATAAAAAGCCAAAAACAATTCTAATGATTTCACTTTAAAATTGTGTTATCACCTTAACGTTGACACCCTTGTTTTCAACTGGGGGATATGCATCCCTAAATAAATAAATCAAAATAAATCATGAACACTTTACACTTCTGGTGATGAATTTTACAAAAAAAAATGAATGTAACAAGGAAATGAATGGCAAATAATTTCAGTTTTGACAGTTTAATTGGATTAAAGAAAATTGTAGTGCATACTTCTGCACACTAATCTCCTGGACTGCATGGTCAACCTGCTGCAAAGATGACAAAATCTTCCTGTTTGATACCACAACACCATTGAGACCGTGGTGGAGCCCATGTTCTTTATGCTCCTTGCGAGTTGTGCTACTTTGGTTCAAAAATTCGAAGTCATTATCTGTGAAGCATAAAAAACGAAATTGCCCACGTCGCACGTATCACCCACAACATAATCCTTGGAATGCCTAATCTTCTATAGATACCTTATAGAAGCATAACTTACCATCGATACTGTCTAGTTCCCCATTCTGAATAAATCTGGATGCCTTTTCCTGCAAGGATGGATAAGAGGAGTCTTCAACAAAGTAAGTTTCTTTGAACTCCACGTCATCAATTACACTGTTGACGCCACCATCCACATCATCACTTGAATTTTTCATTTTCTCATCCTGACCTTTTGAAGTAAATTATCAGTTGTGAGAACAGAAAATGTGAAGACTTTCCAAATTAGATCTAGGGTAAAGACATTGACCATCAAATGACTTCTTTAAGCTTCCAAGAAGCTCCCTTATATATTTGTATCCTCTCCTTCTAACAACATTTGCAAGATCTTCCCTACAGAAACAAATTGGAGGAATAATCACGTGTAATGTGGATCATCTCGTCTAGATTGGATGAATCAAAGTTGCTCCACAAACACAAAAGATGCTTATTTTACTCGGCTCCTCAATATTCTAAAAAATACTTATAATCCTTCTGTATAAGTGTCGCTTAAGGGCACTTGTTTCAGGCAGTATGCGATTACCTTGTTTGGTTCATGCTCCCATATCACCTTGTTTTGGCATGAAACTAAGCATTGATATACTCTTAATTTGTTTAGATGCATATGCATTATGGACACTATGTCCTCAAATCTAGAGTACCAACGAATTTGAGTATCTTGATGGAATAGTTTTTCAAATACTCCGTATAATGCTATATAAGCTAAGGGCTCATAATTAACTTATCAGCAGCTTGTTTTAACAAAGTAATGAAAAAAGAATAAGACACTGAATCTAAAAGAGAAATGAAACCTTCCATGCTGCCTTAACTCATTGGTTGTGGGTATGTGATCATGGGGAAGTCCAGCAACAGACAAGAAATCTCTGATATCATTGCAGAGATCAGCACTCCTTCTTGCCTGCCTGCTTCCTCTGTATCACCCGAACAAGATAGAGAATTAAGTACTTAATTTACAGCATATTCGAGATTGAAGTCCTAAACAAATACGTGTGTCCATTCTTGATGCTTCAGCCCACAAATTGTAGTAATCAAGATTCAAACTTTAGAAAATAAATTGCAAATACAACATGAGTGGGAATTTTTATTACATACGTAGTATAAAGTAAAGATAAAGCTGGAGAGAAAAGAAATCGCACACGAAGAGAACTCGAACCTGGGTTTCTTGATTGAAGCAAAAACTGATTTTTGGAATCTGGGAATGCTGGGAAGATGGAAGTGGTTGGCGGTGCGGCGATAGGGGAGAGGTGAGAAAGAGAGTTTGATGTGGAAAGTTGGAATCTGACAGAGAGTGGCCGCCATGCGAGAGCAAGTGAAGAAGAACCTTCGCACTATGGGTTATGCAGCATTGATTGAAAACCGTATTGTTTTCGGGTCTGAGGATGAGGAATCTGGGCAGTAAATTCAAATCATTTTGGGTGAATTTCACCCGTACTAACTTTTTTTTAATATCACGTTTCTTTTTAAAATTAAGGGATAGTAATTAAGAAAAGTGTCATTATAATTTTACGAGTATAATATTATTAAAACTAAAGAATATAATAACAAAGTTTATCGAATACTCTGTATAAAAGATAAATTTAAAGGTTCTTTTACTTTCAATTTTAAATGTTTTTTTCACTTTTCATTTTGAAGGTTTTTTTTAACTTTTTGCTCTACAACAAGTAGTTGAAAAGTAAGAAAACTTCTAATTAAGACGAAAATTTAAAAATGAAAATTTTAAACTTTTAAGCGAAAAAAACCTTTAATAGCCCATAACAACTTTAAAAAATAAAGTAATAGTGTGAAAACATCTTGGCGTAGTGGCAAAGAAGCCACCTAAGCTTCTCCACATCTAATTTTCAAGAAATTGAGATTATATATGATTAAACAATGAAATAAACTATGTATATTGAGCCTAATATATTATGCAACACCATTTGCTATGAATAAATTAGAGTATGTATTTGTACAATTTGGTGTGTTTTTTTATGTACCATCCCAAATTCAAATTTTTAGGATACCTATGACATGAGATGAATAGCTCATGATCAGTCATCCTATAAAAAAATGAAGGGGGGGAAAAGAAGTCACTTGAATGGAATGGGCAAATTTGTACATAGCAGCAGAACAAGAATACACATTTACTATTCACAGACAATGGACACAGTTAATACAAGTGATAATCCATTTACAGGAAATCCCATCGCCAATAAACCTTCTCCACAATGCCCCCGCCGCTTCGGACCGCAAGATGAAGTGTTTCAGAAGCAGGTGGGACCCCCCAGAGATAAGGAACCGCGAGTCTCATGGTTAGCCTCTCATTCAAGCCGTCATTGCTTGCTTTTTCAGCAGAGACAACCTGCGTATATGTAACCAATTATGTGGTTGCCATAATAATGCAGTGATGGTGAAGATGTGTGCATATATATACCTCGCCACCTTGTTCCACTACTATGTCTTCCACAACATCGCTCAGCATTTCCACTGAACGGCAAAATCCCAAAATGCATAGCTTTCGACCCATGTCAAGACCCTGAATGAAACATGCATATTTACATTATCATCGCTTTTATATGTCGAGGGAGATTAAGAAAGTACAGACAGAAGAGGGTATAGTAGTGTTTACGTTTGTAGCTGCAATATCAAAAAGTGCACCCAAACATAGGCCTTGCTCTGGATCCATGTAATCACTCTCTTGGTACCGTTGTACTCTCTGAACCATTTTCACTTTTCCTTGCTTCTTCTGCTCACAAAATACACAGTAATGTCTATGGATTAATGTCATGAACATTAACCTTAAGTGCTCTTACAAAAGAGAGACCTAAAAAAAAGGCTGATCATGCAAAAGCAATGGTGGGTAAAGTAGTCTTTTAGTTGTAAAAAGGTGAATACCATTTAAGGAAATGGGAAGAAAAATATACGACGATCCAAAAAGAAAAAAAAAAGGTAAGAAAGATATACTCCGTAGGACGGAGAGAGTATTTTTAAGAGCACCGAGAATAGAACAAGGTTATCACTATATCCCATGTTTTTGCAAGCACACTTATGAAACTACAAAACTAGTTGTCAAGTGAGGGGTTAATTAATGGCATACGTCAAAGGAAGAAATACGCTGCGGGACCAAATTCCCTCCAATTTGTATCAGCCCGTCGGTTGTGAACAGTGTGACTTTCTCCTCTTGTACCCATTGCACCACTGCATATGGCAGGGAGAAGAAAACAGAACATCAAGTCTTCAACTTACAAGACTCCGAAAGTCATTTGTAGAGATTCTAAAGCTAATTTTGGCAGCTCATCTAAGGAATTTAGACCTCTTCATTCCATAAACATTGGTAACGATAACATATATTAATCCTTCAGCTTGCTAAAGAAATGGAATTCCAAGTTCAAGAAAAATTATGCAATTTTCTTATGGATGGTGGTAACTATATCCTATGTTTCTAATTGTGGTTCTAATTCCAAATTTGACCTTAGATATTCAACAGCTTATTTAATTTGAGAATAGAGTAATTAATAGCCCATAAAATTAAAACGTAAACTCTGAAAAAAAATTGGTTTATCAAATTATGAACTCTAAAACATACACAGAGAACAATGGAAACGGTTCATATGCAAAGGGATTTTCTTTTACAAAACAATTTTTAATTCTTCTACCGTTATACTGAACCAGATCAATCAATCGATTAACCAGATGAATAATAATTGGAGTAATTACAAGAAGCAATCACAAGAAATCATTTTTTTAGCACGGAGCATGATAAAACAGGTATTAGGACTCATCAAGATCACATAAAGAAATCATTTTTATTTGAGAAGTTCTCACAAGGATCTGAAGAATCAGAGGGATCCCAAGGATAGCTCCCGAACGCATCGTCGCCTATGAAATGACCCGACCCAGAGGACCTAACAGCGAATCGGACCAAACGGGTCGGCGATTGGCCGGGGGATTTCGGCAGAGGGAGAAAGGAGGAGGAACTGAAAGAGAAAGAGGGTATTGGGTCTTTGAAGGCCGGGATTGAGGAGAAGGCGGAGAAACGGAGTGCAGAAGCATCGGGAGGCATTGTGGGCGGCGAGCGACTCCGGGAGAGGAGAAATGGAACAAAATTGCCTCCGTTATGTCTTGGAACAAAATTGCTGAATTTCGCCACCCAATTAATAACATTATGGTATGCAAGTCCATCCTTGGTTGTATTGAGTCTTTCTTTCTTTTGCTTGTTTAAAACATCCAAAATGTGGTAAAGATTGTTGCAAAAGTGATTATATACACATCATTTTTATAATGAAAAATACTTTCAAGAACATACTACGAAGTATTTTTTTTTGTATATTTTCACTTGTTAGCCATATACCATTTTATAGTAAGTAACAAAGGTTTGAAAAGTATTTTACGTTAGCTGATACACATTCGTATCACGATAGATAATGATTTAGCACCTTCAAACTATGAGATTAAAGAGATATTGAAAGGAGAGATGAAGAAGAAACAAAGAAGATAAGAGGATTTTCAAGATTAAGAGATATTGAATAATAAACTCATAAATAATGACCACATATTCTAATTGTAAACCACCATTGCACCAGTTCTTATATCAAACACTTCATTTTTGGATTATACTAGCGTATAAGTCTCACTATAATGGAGGACATGAAGTACAAATTTCGCAACATATGAAGAAAATAAGTAACATCGAGGCAAAAGTCGAAGCAAATACTATACTATAATTAAAAGGATTTGAATATCTTGGGTGTAACATTCAAGACAATAAAGAAATATGAGATGATTTTAAGCACAAAATTTAAGCCGGTTTTCAAAATAGAAGAATGCTTCAAGCTTTATATATTAAGAATAATGAAGATATGAGAATGGTTGGTCATGTCAAATGGTGAATATACATTTCACAATTGGCTAGGATAAGAGGTAGACTTAAGATGACTTGGCAAGACATGATCAAGACAAACATTTGCGTGATGTGACCAGATGGTTTGGATTGAAAACTGGGGAATCGGAAGTCAAACCGGTCTGACCCAGTGAACCACTATATGCACTGAACCAGCTCAAACCGGTATGAACCTGCCAGTTCACCCAGTCAAAATAATTGTCTTTTTTTTGTGAAAATTAGCCAAAGATTATCTATCCCCAGGATTCAAACCCTAAACCTCTTGTTTGTTATACTAAGCTATCCACCAACCGAGTTAGAACGTTTTTTTGTTACATACTAATTCTTAGTGGTATATATTGTGTAGTTAGAAGAATAAATATGTATAAGAAGATTTCTTTATTTCTTAAACTAGGATTCCTATTATTTAAAAGTACAATTAATTCTAATATGGAGTATATGTTTCGAAAAAATTTCATTCGAATTTTTTTAGGCATTCGACAAAATATATAAAGAAAAATAAAAACATTTTTATTTTATAAAATTTTTAATGTACTTCTGGATATGTAAATTTTAATATTTTTTTATGAAATGAATAATAAAATTAAACAAAAAAATTGAGTTAAATTTAACCATATATGGAGTAAAAGATATTTGAAAAAAAGTTCTACGAGGAAGAGAGGAAATAAAATGAATAGAAGAGGCAAATAAATGGTTAAACGAGAAATCAAAGATCCAAAAGAGACAAGCAAGCATGGGCAGAACATGGAATTTCTTCGTTCTTTGCACAAATAAAATCTTCACAACTACGTACATTTTAGATAGACAAAGCCCACGCTCAAATCAAACTTTCCTCAAAGTCAATAAATAGTACTCCGTACAATTAAAGCAAAGCAATATGGTGTCGTGTGGATGAAATAATATGTGTGCATTTATTAACTATTGCACTACATACGGTCTACACCTCCCTCCATCCATCTCCATTTTTTCCATAACCACCCAATTTCCATTTATTGAAAAGTCTCTCCATCCCGTTAACCAATTGTAGGGAATATATTGCAGAGTATATGTGCTCTCGCTATATGCAAAAACTTCATGTTACGCATTTTCATCTTTTTTCATATCCGTTGCAGAAATCAATTAACAACATTACTTTTTTTTTATTGACCAATTAAATCACACTTAGCTTCCCGCCTTGATCCAAGCTAAAGGAGGGCGTAATTACTAATAATGGGAGGCAAATTCAATGGTGGATCTAAGGTCTATCATGGACCTACATTTAAGCAAAATAAACATCTCTTTACTACTTAAATAAACATTTATTTTTTAAATAAAAAAAATATTTTTTTATATGAAAAAATCCATAAAAATAATATGCATTCAAAGTGTACCAAAAAAACAGGCACAATGGGATCGATGGTGTTTTTTAATGCAGGTAGGTGTCCGAAATCGGGACCCACGACGAGCTCATTTCTAGAGGGGGAGAACACAACGGCGGCGTGTACGCCAACCTCTTAAATTGCAGGAAGTTGCTCACGAAACTGCCATGAACAATGCGAGGAAGAGTAGCGCGAGGCCTTCTAGTGCTAGGAACTCCCTGAGCTCCCCAATCATGACCAGGAACTCCTCCTACGGTCGCCTCTCCGATTTCTCCACTTCTGACTTCACCTTCTCTCTGAATGCTCCTCACCACCAGAAGAAACTCGCGTTCAAGGAACAAGCGAGTTCCTTCTGGAGGCTCGCAAAGATGAACTCTCCCGAATGGGTTTACGCTCTAGTGGGGTCCATCGGCTCCGTCGTCTGCGGGTCCCTCACCGCACTATTTGCATACGTTCTCAGTGCTGTTCTCAGCGTGTACTACAACCCGGAAGACCACGCTTACATGACTACACAGATCTCAAAATACTACTGCTACCTAATGATTGGCGTCTCCTCTGCTGCCCTGGTTTTCAACACGCTCCAGCATTTCTTCTGGGACGTAGTTAGTGAAAACCTGACGAGGCGGGTCCGGGAGAAGATGCTGGCCGCGGTGCTGAAAAATGAGATGGCGTGGTTTGACCGGGAAAAGAATGAGAGTTGTAGGGTGGTGTCGAGGCTTGTGTTGGACGCGAGCAATGTCCGGTCGGCGATCGGGGACAGAATCTCGCTCATCATGCAGAACTCCACCCTCATGGTGGTTGCGTCCACGGTGGCGCCTATCCCTGGTTCTGATCGCGGTTTTTCCGGTGGTCGTGGGGGCCACCGTTCTTCAGAAAATGTTTTTGAAAGGATTCTCTGGTGACCTCGAGGCAGCCCATGAGAAGGGGACGCAGCTCGCTGGAGAAGCGGTGGCGAATGTCCGGACTGTTGCTGCTTTCAATTCAGAAGCGGAAATGGTGGTCCTTTATGCTTCTAATCTCCAGAGGCCGCTCCGGCGGTGCTTCTGGAAGGGACAGATCGCCGGGAGTGGGTATGGGTTAGCCCAATTCTTACTCTATGCTTCCTATGCTCTTGGTCTCTGGTACGCTTCTTGGCTTGTCAAACACGGAATCTCCGATTTCTCGAAAACCATCCGTGTCTTTATGGTCCTCATGGTGTCCGCTAACGGCGCAGCTGAAACTCTCACACTAGCGCCGGACTTCATTAAGGGCGGTCGGGCAATGCGGTCTGTTTTCGATCTCCTCGACCGGAAAACTTAAACAGAGCCTGACAATCCAAACGCCACGCCCGTGCCCGAAAGACTCCGCGGCGAAGTTGAGTTTAAACATGTGGACTTTTCATATCCGACCCGGCCAAACGTCCCGGTCTTCACGGGCTTGAACCTCAGGGCGAGAGCAGGCAAAACACTCGCACTCGTGGGCCCGAGCGGGTGTGGGAAGAGCTCGGTCATTGCACTCATCGAACGATTCTACGAGCCATCATCGGGTCGGGTCATGATCGACGGGAAAGACATCAGAAAGTACAATCTCAAGTCGCTTAGACGTCACGTCACCGTCGTCCCGCAAGAGCCGTGCCTCTTCGCCACGACCATATATGAGAACATCGCGTACGGGGACGATGATGGGGAATCGTCATAAGCGAGCGAAGCCGAGATAATCGAGGCGGCAACCTTGGCGAATGCCCACAAGTTTGTGTCGGCGTTGCCGGACGGATACAAAACATTCGTTGGGGAGAATGGGGTTCAACTCTCGGGAGGACAGAAGCAATGGATAGCCATCGCACGTGCTTTCATGAAGAAGAGGGCAGAGGTGGTTCTGTTGGACGAGGCAACGAGCGCGCTCGATGCAGAGTCCGAACGGTGCATGCAGGAGGCGTTAGACCGCGTGTGCGCGGGGAAGACAGCGATCGTTGTTGCACACAGGTTGTCCACCGTCAGAAATGCTCACGTCATCGCGGTGATTGATGAGGGGAAGGTGGCGGAGCAGGGGTCCCACTCTCACCTGCTGAAGCATCACTCCGACGGGGTTTACGCTCGGATGATTCAGCTACAACGGTTCAGTCAAGGTGAAGTCGCGAGTATGGCAAATAGCTCAACGTCTAGCCACGAGTATGGCAACTAGCTCAACGTCTGCTCCTTCCTGCGGGGAGGATAATCAAGACTGATAATGGGAAGAAAAAGGGTGGATATTGATTCAGGGCATGGAGATCAAAATATGAAATCCAAGAAATGTGGAGTATTATTCCCCACCCAATTTTTTTGGCATGTCACCTTTTTTTTCTGGGTATGGGCGTATGGCATAGAGTAGTATACTGTAATGTACAATAATCTAATATGTATACGGATATGTGTTTTTTGCTTGATATAATGAATATAACCCTTGAGTTTGACGAGATTAATTTGAAAAGAAAAAAAAGAGGTAAAAATCAAGCAAAGGAGCACAAATATATTACAAGTAATACATACATAGCAGTTTTCCATCTAATTAAACACAATCAACATTAAGCAGTTGAAGACAATGAACGTGGAAACTCTAAACAAATAAGGAAGCAGGACGGACAACTTGATTCAGAATGAGCTATATTGATGGTCAACCACAGATTGCTTAAATCTTACTATAATGTTTTTTTAGAGGACACAGATAAGCATATCTAAAGGAAACTCTCTATCAAGAGAAGTCAGAAGGTGCGGGCAAAGCTAAGTGTCAGGCAAACAAACAAACAAAAAGAAATGGAAAAAGCTCAACGCCTCAACCCATTGACATGAGCTTTGGACCATTGTCAGGCATACCCATCCCAGCAGCTAATTCTGCATCGAGTTGTGTGTGTGGTGCATCTCCCATCATAATCTTCACACTGCATCAAAAAATGACCGTAATGTCATCACTATAGGGTGCCATCAACCAGTGCATTTTTATTTCAATTGATTAAAACAGCTACAAGAATTGAAAGTTAAGAACACATTATGAGTCCCACATTCACCAATTCCCAGATAGAGGAATCTTATAATTAAAAACATTAACCATTTTCAACAAATAATCAAATGGAGAACATCATGAGTTATGAACTACTAGGGTGCGTTTGGTTGGTGGGGGTTGGAGGGAAATGAAAGTATTCATTTTTCTTCTCCACTCTCTAGGAAAGAGGAGTCTTATATTTTTTTAAAAAAAAAAAACCATTTTAAACACATAAACAAATGGAGAACATCCAACATGTAAACTATTAGGGTGTGTTTGGTTGGAGGGAATGGGAGAGGAAGCGGCACTATTCATTTTTCTTCTCTCTGGGATGGAGAAGTCTTATAATTAAAACTATAAAACCATTTTCAACAAATAGTCAAATGGAGAATATCATATAGGTGAACCATTAGGGTGTGTTTGGTAGGGTGTGTTAGCTTGGAGGAGATAGGGAAGAGAGACTATTCATTTTTCTTCTCTCCATCAAATTTATTCCAGCATTCCAACCAAACACATATCAACCAAAAATTTCACTTCTTTCCCCTACTCACCAACCAAACACACTAAAGAGCCATTCACAATTTTACATTAAAAAAACACAGCTACACCTCTCATACACTGTTTACACCATTCTACTTTACGTTATGTGAAGTGGTAAACTGAAGATTTATTCTCATAATCTCATTCTTAGCTTACCAATTTACCATCACATTCTCTGTTCATTGTTCAAAAGCCAAAACCTTAGGACAAGCTATACCTCTATGTAGTGCATGACAATGAAATTCATGCTCAAGCCGGCTTAGTTCTAATAAGTATATGATCTAAGACAACATCAAAACTCTGCCAAAAATTGATTCGAAATAACAGCTATACATACAGAACCAACAATTAAATGGAGCAACTTACAACAAGTGGGTGAAGAAGATCAATTTATAATCTTTAAATAAAAAAGATAAAGAATACATACCGCTTCTTGTGCTTTTTAGTCTTGAAATGATCATCCCTCACCGTAACATTAGCGAAATATCGACTGCAAAGATATCAGCAACAATATAACTAGGAAATCCCAAATGTAAGTTCACACGAACAGAAGCAAAAACTAAACAAACACGTATACTGGGAAAACCCGGCATATAAAAAATAACGAAAATTTAAGAATTTCTTACTCGCAGTGAAGGCAGTAGTACTGGCCCATGCCTGGGAGGTCCTCATCGACGGGAAGGGCTTTTGCCTGGCCGAGCCCGTCCGGCTTTTGAAGTTCCTGGTAAACGGCGTCATCTCCCTTTAAGAGGAATTTAGTGCGGCGAGCAGTTTTGTGAGAGTACCGGCGCTTCTTCACGCTTCTGTGAGGACACTTCCCTCCCATGTTTCCTCGGCGACAATTAGGGTTTCTCTGGTTTGGGCGATTTTTTCCCAATGTGAGAGAGAAGGAGCCAACCAGGCCGGACACCGTTTGATGCAGATCAAAGATTCAAACACATAATTGAGTCAATAAGAGGGGCAGACCAAGAAGAATAAAATGAACTATAAGGGCCTGTTTTAATAGATTTCGAAAGTCCAAACCCAGAAAATTTGAATAATGGGCTTATTTGGTATAACTATGAACTATGGTCCACAAATAATGTGTTAAGTAATTAAAGTAATATTGACAATTTGAACAAAAGTTATATTTTCTCCTATAAAGCTCTTCATGTTTTGATTTTTAAAAGATTTAAGAAAAAGATATTTTTCTACTGATTTTCCTAAATTATCCTGGGTGTGATGTGATTGATAGATTATTAACGAATATGTATGATTATATAGACAAGATAAGGATTAATAAATGTAAAAGTAGTTTTTTTAATAGAGAGGAGAAGAAAATTGTAGAACCAACCAACAAAAGGAGAAAAAGTTTGTGAGACGAAGGAAGTAATATTTGATATGATGTAACTCATGTTAGTTATGACGGACACTTTCTAGGTTTCAAGTTCCAAAACACAAAATTTTAAACAAAGCCGTTAAATATTTAAAGTGTGATCACGATTGTGGAAAATTATTTGTTTTATACTCCCTCCGTCCCACTGTTTTTGTCCACTTACCTTGGCACACCATCCAATGCACTTCTTTTGGCACACATGACTATTTTTAGGCTTACACATTGAGAGAATTTGATGAGTCAAAGTGCTTAGATGAACAATTCCAAAAGTCAAAAGTAGACAAAGACAATGGAACGGAGGTAGTATATTTTACTCTAGAATTTTTATTTCTTTGTAATTGTGAACAAGACTTAAAGATATTCTGAGTCAATCTTGATTAAAAACAAAAGGTAAACAAAACGGTATTGCAACCGGAACCGGTTCCAAAGTGTTGCAACTGAAACCTTTCCCCTACGGCCTTACCCCAATTCAGGTCTGCTTCCACATCCTCCGCCCCACCAGTTTTGTTCATGTTCTGAAAGTGTCGATTTCGAACCAAATATTTATTCATCTCTAACAATGTAAGTGTACTTACATTAGATGTACATGTATATGTATATCTAGACCTTATAAAACGTATCCAAATGAAACTTGGATTTGAACAAAATGTTAGTTCATCTATTATTTTGGTGATTTTGCGTTGATCTTATTCAACTGAATGGTTCAAGGTAGAAAATATGCATACAAATGTTTAATTTTTGTTTTAGCATGAAGTGCAAAGTTCGATCACCATTCAAAGATAAAATTCACTGCATGCCTCCGTAAAAAAATATCAAATTTTGTACATTATTAAGTCTTATAGGGAGTAATACTTGTCAAGTCTATGTTTAAACTACTTCACATTCTTATTGCAATTTTGAAATGGTGAGTTGTAGTTAATAAAAACACATGAACAAATGATATCACATCTTCTATATATAGAGTAATTTATTTACAATGTAGATTAATTATGCATTCAAGATGTACACCTTCATGTGATTCTACAATCTGTACTCTGTATATTAATTCCTATTTTAAGACCCTAATTACGTTGATGTATGAATGACTCATTCATGACCCAAATATGGTACGAGTATCAAATAAGAATTCTGCAACCACAACGCATCCAAATGATCCTTCACTTTTCCCTTATTTTAATGCGCAAGGCGGTTCGCAAACCGTCAAGATAGCTCGGCAAAAGGTTTCGCTACGTGTACCAGACGAACACTCAACTCTAAATTTAGGAACTACTCTTTCTCTCATGTACCTTTTAACTCGTCTTCTTTTTTGGACCATTCTATTATTATTATTTTCCTTAAATGAAAAGACTAGCAATTCACCTTGTTCTTAATAATTACTCCAACAACTATTTCATGTTTTCTTAAGTACACTATTTTGTTTGTATTTTTGCAGTATTCATTTTCTTTACATCTCTTCAATTTACCACATACGCGCGTTACCAAGACAAAAAATGAAAAACCAAAAATTAAAAAGCGTGACAAGTTAAAACAAGATAGTGAAAGACAGGCGGGGAGAGCAAAACTTGTGGTAAAAGAGAGTTAGAAAAGAGAACCAAAGTGTAAAATGTATAGAAGGATATTGAGATAAATTTGTGTTATCTTATGTTGACTCCGTTAAAAAAACAAACAAAGAAAGCATCATATATGTATGGTATATATAGCAATATGTATATAAATACTCCCTCCGTTTTTTAAAACACTTCCTATTTCATTTTTTTCACTTCCAACAAAACACTTCTACTTTCTATTAAAAAACCACTTTTACCCTTACTTTTTCATACCCTATCTATCACATCATACTTTATCTCTAATAATCTATCCATCACATCTTACTTTTACCTATCACATCAAGGGCAAAATTGGAAGTCAACTACAGTTTAATACTTCTTTATTTTTACACAAAGTCAAAGTAGGAACACTTTTTCCAAACGGAGGGAGTAAAAAAAAGAGTCCAGCTAGCAAGTGATGGAAAACGCCGTTACGGCATCATCTTCCCATGGAACTCTCTGTAAATGACAATCTTCCACCGGCCTTCTTCTTCTTCTTCACCACCCTCTTCTCTTTCTCTCATTATATATATATATATATATATATATATATATATATATATATATATATATATATATATATATATATATATATATATATAATGGGTTCACCCACATTCCTAAAACGCAATGAGAAATATATATAGATACAACTATATATAGTTTTCATTCGATATATCCCCGGCCGGCCCCCTCAGATATATACATATATATTTCATTTATTAGGAGAATGAGAAATATAGTGTTCAGAGAGGCGGGGAGAGATGCGTACACGAGTCCGACGGAGAGCCTGAAATATGTGTGGGACTGTATAAGAATACCGGTTCTGGTGCCCCTTCTGAAACTGGCGATGTGCGTATGCATAACGATGTCCATTATGCTCTTCCTTGAGAGGGTGTATATGGCAATTGTGATTGCGTGCGTCAAGTTCCTTGGGAAGAAGAGATACACAAATTATAAGCTAGACGCCATGAAGCAAGACCTTGAGCAGAACAAGAACTACCCTCTTGTTCTCGTCCAGATTCCCATGTTCAATGAAAAGGAGGTACTATTAATTATAACGTCTTCATACATAGTCACTCATTAATTCATATATACCAGGCCAATCATTATTATGTCATCTTTTCTTTCTACAAGGGCATCTTTGGGAATACCAAGTTAGCTTTTTCAAAAAGATTATCTACGGGCATGCAGCATGAAACGTTAGTGTTTTCAAAGTTAATCTGCACCGTTAACATTTCATAAAAAAAACGCTCACGCTAATCGAAAACATTATTCCTAATATAAAATGGTTTTTCTTATTTTTCTCTGATCTATATTATTACTGTGTTTGGCGGGCAGGTTTACAAGCTCTCAATAGGAGCGGTATGTGGGCTAACATGGCCATCAGATTGTCTTATCGTGCAAGTTCTTGATGACTCCACCAATGAGGCCCTAAGGGTATGTTAATTACTTTGTGAATTATATTTTGCGCGTGGTTTTTTTTACCGGAAGTGTGGAAGCTTTTTTTATGGGAAGAGTGGATAGTTTTATATTTTATTTTATCGACGAGAAATATATATATATATATATATATATATATATATATATATATAATTTTATGAAGTAATAAATGAAAATAGTGATAGAATTTAGGATGTGAGAAACGTTCACTAAATTCAGTCATAAGACATTTAGATTCAATCACATTAAAATATTAAATTCAATCATCTACTTACTTCAACTCTTATATGCCCATTATTTTTTCTCTTCAACTTTCGATGCATTATGAACTTCCAGACCAACAATCGAGTGAAATGGGTCACATATCATTTTTATGCTAGCGATGAATGTCTAGACAGACACCTTAACAAACGAGGTAAACTAAAACGTGTTCTCGTACCATGATAAAATTAAGAATGAGGTAAACGCTCATTGGACTGAACACAACACACTTGAGTTTAAGCACATTAAAAGATAAAATCCAATCGACTATTTAGTGCAACTCAAAATCTTAAATACTACTACCTCCGTCCCTGGGTACTTGTCCAGTTTGACTTTTTTCAGTTAACTGTTTTCCACCTTTGACCTATGATTAAATAAAACATATATTGTATATTAATTAGATAAAATAATATTTTGAAAATATTTAATATAACAAATCTAATAAAACTATTTTATATCAATATCTAATATCATTTTTATTTAATTTGAGGTTAAAGTTTAGGACCGTGCTACACACCCCACCCTTGCTACCAACCTTGCCTCCACCCACTTCTCCACCACATATTTATCTCTACCCATTCTCCACCCACCCTCTAATTTTAATTTTCTTGCCTCCCTACCACATGTTTATGTAAGGGGGCATGGTTGGTAGCAATGGTGGGGGGTTTTTAGTATTTTCCTAAAGTTTATCAATTTTGACAAAAAAAAAAGAGTAAAAAATGAATAGATACTAAGGGACGGTGGGAATACATATAGTAGTAATTACTTTTTTTGCTTCAACGTTTGATGTAAGATACTTTTTTCACTTAAAAGAATATAATTGTCAAACTACTTTAAATGGGGTAACATTAGCAAAAATATGAGTGAATATAGTCCCACCCTTATAATAATATTGCGGGTAGGAGTCCACTAGTCTAATACTATAAGATAAATACCTTTAAATTCCATTTGATACACGAAATTCAGGCCATAAATTTTGAATTGAAGACTTTAATTTTAATTTTGCTATTTGAAATTGGGTCATATTTCCAAATTTTCTAATAACATATTTTAAATTTCATAGCACAGGAAAAGTATTTGAAATCCTTAATTTGGAATTGAATTATGTTAGAGTATATAAAGACAGTTCTTGAGCTACAACCGCAAGCTTAATATTTGATTGACTTGTTTCTTTGACATTTAATAAATGTCCACCTAACATATATATGAAGGTCCATCACATGAACACCATGGACCTTAGACTCATACAAAAATTTGCCTTGTTGTTATATATATTTCCTTCGTCCCATGAAGTTGTTCGTGTTAGAATATAAAAAACATTTCTCGGGTCAAACCACAAGATTGAGCTTATGGTTGAGTTGGTTCCTTGATATGGTATCAGAGCCTTGTTGACTAAGAGTTCACGCATTCGAAATTCAGCGTCACCCAACTTTTTAAAAAATTAAGGTTTCACGTACCAGGCTTGAAAAAGACTACGCCTGCACGTGAGAGGATGTGTTAGAATATAAGAAACATTTCTTGGACCACAATCACAAGCTTGAGCTTATGGTTGAGTTGGTTCTTTGACAGTTCGATATCAATTCGACTTTTAAAAAATTTAAGAGAGATATTTTTGTGTTGACTTTCCAAAAATACATTTGATGTGATGGTTATATTGTAGTAAAAAAAAGTATGGTGTGATATGTAAGATAAAAATTAGTGGTGGTAAACATGATTTTTTAATATAAAAATGGAAGGATTTTGTGGGACACAAAAAAAAAGGAAAAAAAAGGACTTTTTGGGATGGAAGAAGTATATGATAATGACAAGTGTTTGAGAAGCTAGATATGCATGGGTGCAGAAATCGGTGGAAGAAGAATGTGAGAAGTGGAAACGTAGAGGGGTTAACGTGAAGTACGAGACGAGGAACAACCGGAACGGTTACAAGGCCGGTGCTCTCCGGGAAGGCCTCAAAAAGCATTACGTTGACGACTGTGAGTTCGTTGCCATCTTCGACGCCGACTTCCAGCCTGAACCCGACTTTCTTTGGAGGACTATCCCTTATCTTCTTGAAAACCCTGAGTTGGCTTTGGTCCAGGCTAGATGGAAATTCGGTACCATATATATATCCAACTCATTCATTCATTCATTTTTTGCAATATAATCACTTGTCTAATTGACACTAATATATAATATTTCGGAAAACAACTAATAACTTGGTATGTACTTCTTGGTACGTCCGTGTTTCAGTAAATGCAGATGAATGTTTCATGACTCGGCTTCAGGAGATGTCACTGGACTACCACTTCAGCGTTGAGCAAGAAGTGGGCTCCTCAACCTGCTCATTCTTCGGATTCAATGGTATATATAATAACTCTAACAAGCCAAACAATTCATAATACTACGTACAAATTAAAGACAGTATATTATTATTGGTTCAATTTGATTGAGATGATGGAATGACATTGTTGTTGTACGTACTATAGGGACTGCTGGCGTGTGGAGGATTCATGCGTTGAACGATGCCGGTGGATGGAAAGACCGCACGACGGTTGAGGACATGGACCTCGCTGTCAGAGCCAGCCTCAGGGGCTGGAAATTTCTCTTTATTGGGGACTTAGAAGTGAGTATATATGTGTATCATCAAAAGGCTGTACTATATATACTACATATCATAATCAGGCATTCAGGCCAGGAAAAAAAGGAAACTAACATGGTTTGATGCTATTCAATGTAGGTGAAAAATGAACTCCCAAGCACCTTCAAGGCATACAGGTTTCAGCAGCACCGTTGGTCGTGCGGTCCCGCTAATCTCTTCAGGAAGATGTTCAAAGAGATCATCCTTAGTGAGGTAATTAAATTCTTTGCATTAGTATATATATACTTTAACCATTGGAGATCCCAAAAAAACTCATAGAGAGAAAAAAAACACGGTGCGTGCAGCGCGTGTCTCTGTACAAGAAGTTCCACTTGGTGTACGCGTTCTTCTTCGTGAGGAAGATAATCGCGCACTGGGTCACATTTTTCTTCTACTGCGTGGTGATGCCGGCGACGATCATAATCCCCGAAGTGCAGCTCACTAAGCCCATTGCCATATACCTTCCTGCCACCATAACCCTCCTCAATGCCATCTGCACCAGGAGGTCCTTCCACCTTCTGTTGCCATGGATCCTATTCGAGAACGTCATGTCCCTTCACCGCACTAAGGCTGCGATAATCGGTCTTCTCGAGGCCAACCGTGTCAACGAATGGGTTGTCACGGAAAAGCTTGGCAACACTGCCAAGCAGAGGCAAAATGGCAGAGCACCCAAAAGACCAAGATCCAGGTGTATTGACAGGTAGTACTCATCATTTAAGTAACTAACTAATTACTGCTGGATGTGTATTTGTTTGGTTATCAAAAATCATCGTCTTTGATTGATGTGAAACAGGATCCACCCGCTGGAGCTAACGATGGGGATGTACATGCTGCATTGTGCATACATCGACGTGTATTACGGGAAGGACCAGTTCTACATATATCTTATACTGCAAGCAGCCGCTTTCTTCACAGTTGGGTTTAGCCTTGTTGGAACATCTCCCAGCTAAATGATTTCTCATTTCAAGGGGCCGGGAATGCATATGTAGGGTAAAGAACAGAAGAAAATAAACATGTAATGAATGACAATGTTTCGCCCAGAATGTTTGGATTTTACAGTGGATTCTTATTGTTCCGTTTTGTGTGTTTTTTTTGCTTCCTTAGACGAAATAAAGCAAGTTTCGTGTGATTGCCATTAATGGAGCAATAAATTTCAAATCTTTATAGAGACAGAACCTCTTCCAACAAAAAAAAAAATCGAACTTCTGATTGAAGGCCAAAAAACAAAAATAAAATAATACGGAGTATACTCTACCACACCTTTCACGTCCAGTGTAGATGAGAGTTTTCCTTCGAGCCTTGAGCATAATTGGTATGAAACATATCGTGTTTCTAATCATCATGAGTTCGAATATTTGGTTGAAGACCTAGAAATATTTTTAAACTCTTAACAGAAGAATTGAAGAAACATATGAAATAGAGACATATAGACGCACCGGAGATATACCTGAATTGAAGAACCCAAGCAGAACACCGAGCGAATGAAGCGGCCACAACCATGATGAGAGTGAGAGAGAAGACATGGCCCGCTTTGACATTTTCAGTTTCTCCATTCAGTTCGGGCCTCCTGCTTGGGCTATATATGGGCTTTGCTGGTGTTTCTCCAATCAACAAGTCAACAACCACCTAGTTGGAGCTCACGCAAATAGGAACTCAGAAAAGCCTTTCTACATAAATCTTACCCTTACTCGAAAGTCGAACGTAGCAAGGTTGCATCCAAGAGACCCCTAATTAAACTCCCAGGCCCAATTATATTAATACTCTATGCACAATTAAGTAATGCTTATATGGTTCTAAGGTTCACATTTAAAATGTAACTTTTTTTAATTTTTAATGGGCTTGCATGTGAGCAATTTCTTTTTTGAAAAAGCCACCCTTCTTACATGCTACAAATGCATAAAAATCCTTAAAATGAGCATGAATCTTAGGTCCACGGAAGAATTGCCTACACCCGCACCCGGTTTATTCTTGATAATGACATATTCTCTACGTCCCAGACTAACTATTTGCGCGCTCTAGTTTGAATTTTATGCTAATTTGACCATAATGTAGTTGGTGTATAATTTAAAAATAATGTTTCTTTCGTCTTAAAATGATCTTCTCAGTCACTATTCACATGGTCAAACTTGAATCACTTTTTTCACTTATTTTCGTTAGTTATTTGATAAAATAACATAGTCCTATCACATCTTGTTTTGTAGAACTTTTGATGTAGATTTAAAATATTTACTTTTTATTTTATACATATAATCAAATAAATTGAAATGAAAATAATTTCAGTCAAAGCTCACAGACCGATCGAATTGGGAAGATCATTTTCGGACGAAGAGAGTAAATATATACTCCCTCCATCCCTAAAAGATTGCAACATTTTGACTTTTTTGGTCAAACTATGACACTCTTTGACCATGAACTAAATATAGTTTAAAATAATTAAATGTTATAAAAAATTATATTTTAAAACTATATTTCAAAATAAACCCAAATTCACTAAATTTATATTATATTTAAATATTTTTTTTCCATAATTCACAATCAAAGAGTCCAACAATTTGACTAAAAAAGTCAAATTGTGACAATCTTGTAGGGGCGGAGGGAGTACTAAAAACGTAGATAGAAAATTGTACAAAATAAGTCGTGACATATCTATTTTATTTTATTTAATGATCGATAAAAACGTCCTCGGTATATATAGCAAGTAGATTTTGTTAGACCATATGAATCATAAACATTAGCCTTATTTTGAAATGGAACAACTACTCCCTCCGCCTCATGTTGGATGCCACACTTCGAATGACATGCAAAATACTACTCCCTCCGTCCCCCTAAGATGTTCTCATTTTGACTTTTGGTGGTTTTTAAGGAGAGTTGAAAAAAGTGAAAGTTTACCATAATACCCTTAATGAAAATGGGTGGAGTGTATTAAATGAGGTAGGTGAGGTGTAATAAATAAAGTAAGTGGGGGTAGTTGTGGTATTTTAATTGTTAAAAAATGAAATGAGAAGATCTATTGTGGACAAAAAAAAGGGCTATTGGAAATATCTATGGGGGACGGAGGGAGTATCATTTTTAAAATTATTTTAATTACAAATTAGTATAGAAATAAAAAGTAATCCCTCCGTCCGGAAAAATATTCTTCCCATTTGACTTTTCACGGTCTCCAATATTGTACTTTGACCATTAATATTTATATTTATACATAGATATATTTTATAAAAAATTGATATTTGAGAACTATGTTTCATTATGAATATATTGATATTAAATTTACATCATAATACAATGTGTTTTTTCCACGAATCGTAGTCAAAGTTTATAAACTTTGACCATGAAAAGTCAAAGGTGAAGAACATTTTCGGACGCACGGAGTATAAATTTCACCATTTAAAAGTACATAAAAAGTTTTATAAAACAAGATATGACAAAAAATATTTTATTTTTTTAAATCATCAATGAAAATATACAAACAAACAAAAGTTATCGAGAGACCGTAATAGTCACATTGTATCCATTTTGAGACGGAGAGAGTATTATTTAGTCACATTAATTTCATAATAACCCAACTAAATTTTATTGGGATATAAATTTATATTTTTTCGTGAAACTTATAAATTTTTAAACTGAATTTTAATACCTCAAAAATATTGAATGATGGAATTTTTGGATATACAAAAATAATTTATAGATTTTTTTGGGTTCCATAATAAATATAGATATATTCAAAAAATAAATTTTATTAAAACTATACATTTTATTTTCAATAGCATATATTACCTTTGTCCCAGTGTGTTTGTCCACTATGATTTTTAAAAAAATATTCGAGAAACTTTGAACTTCAATTACTGAATATATAAAATTGGGAATTGATATTAATATAAAAATGATTGAATTAGATTCAACTTATTTATAACTTTCAAATTTTATTGCAGTGTATTAATATACAATAGAACTTTCCAGAAATTTAGCCGGAAAACGCTCCGACCCGCCGGAAACCGCCGGCGGGTCGGAGCGTTTTCCGGCCAACTCCGGCGAAATTGATGGCGGGCACCAACGCCAATGCGGTCGTGGCATCCGGGCGACCTCCAAGGACCCCTCAATTGCAAGATTTGATGAAGATTTGCAAAACCCCCAATTTTGGATCCAATTTCGAATTTTAGGGTTTTTTCGAGTAGAAAAATTCAGATTCGAGAAGTTACAGGCCAAATTAGACAAAATGGTTTGGATATTATTGATCCTCGTCTCAAGACGAAGAGAATGACATTGGTCCCGCCGGAATCGGAAAAAGTTCATTTTCCGGCGACTTTGACCGGCGGGCGGCGACGGCAAAGAAATGGGGTCAAATTGAAAATTTTAAAATATATAAAATTCGAATTTGGCCCTAATGACCGGAAGTTAACCTAGAAACGGGCTAATGGCTCATTAGTGAAATGATTGTGTAAATTCAGGGATTTTTGTGAAAGGATTTAAAGTTCAGGTACCACTTCGAAATTCCAGCTAAAGTTCAGGTACCATTTGTGAAATTTAACCGGGTATGAGAGTTAAGTCAAAATTACCGTGGTCCTGAGGTTTATGCTCATTTTATAGACCTTAGTATATTGATATCGTAAAAGAATTCGGTATTTGCAAAAAAAAGATCCACTTGTCGGTCCATGAAAAGTGTGAGAAGATTCATATTCACACGTAGACATTAGAATCACGGAAGAACAACTTGAAAGTTAAGAGATGAGAACTACGGAGTATAATTTTTACCAACAAAATAAGTGCTCCAATTAAAATCGGTGCTATTGGATGACGGGCCTGTTTGGGAATAGCGTTAGAGATTAGCGTCAGCGTTTTGGATAAAATTTTAATGGTGCAGATTACTTTGAAAACGCTAACGCTAAACGCTGCCCGTAGATAGCCTTTTCAAAACGCTAACGCTAATCGCTAACGCTGTTCCCAAACAGGCCAGACATGAAAGCGAATCTCATTTGACCGCACCAATTCAATGCAATTCCGTTGAAATCGAGCTAGGGCACCAATTCACTCCATTTTCGGGACACCTCAATAAGTAAATAAAACTCCCTCCGCCATCCATTCTATGAAACTCTTTCCTTTTTGTTTTTTTTCAATTCTCTAAAACATTTTTACTTTCAATTAAAAAATCACTTTTATCTATACTCTTTTATACCATACCTATCATATCGTAGTTTTTTCCTAATAACCAAACTATTACATCTTATTTTTATCCATCATATCAAGGGTAAAATTGGAAAGTCAACTATAAATACATTTTTTTTATTTTGTTCCAAAATTAAAATAAGAATGATTTAATGGAACGAAGGAAATAATATTAATTATCAATATCTTATACTAGTGACCATAAAAAATCAAATGAAAAGAAGGATTTAGAAGAAAAGGAGTACCAAACTACTCACCAATTAGTGATGACCAAGGCGCCTTGCCGTTTCTGCTGCTTCGTTTGCTGATTGCTTTTTCTTTTTTCCATATTTTACGCGCGACGCTATCTTCAATTGCTGACTTCTTTGTATAATACCAGTACCAATTGCATTCTTCTTCCTAAAAAGTTACTCCGTATTCTTTTAAAACTTTTCTCTCATAAACTTTTCCTTTTTTCTACTAAAAAATTAATTTTTCCTCTAAAAATTCTTATTATACGGAGTATTTATCACACTGTACATTTTTATTAATAATTTACTCATTACATCCACATTTATTCATCACATAAACAACATTTTCTAAAAGTCAACACAAAATTACATCTCCATTAAATTTCATAAAAATCAAAATGTGAACAACTTTATGGAATAGAAGAAATGTGTGTATGTGTGTCTGTGTGTGTATATATATAGAGATGTGTGTGTATATATATAGAGAGAGACTTGGTATAGTATTATACCATTTCCATACCTTAGCTTAAACCAATTCAAATAATCAAAATTCACAATTCTTTAGATACGACTTCTCAGTTACGTTGGAGATCGACATATAACTTCGTTCACTAAGAGATGAGCAAGGTTGAGGTAATTTTCTTAATTGAATTTATGTATCATACTAACTCCGTCCCGCTATATTCGTCCACTTTTGACTTTTAGAACTGTTCATTTAAGCACTTTGACTCATCAAATTCTCTCAATGTGTAAGCCTAAATATAGTCATGTGTGATCTTGTTTGATTTGTCTTAACATATAGATTATTAATATATAATTTTTATAATTTTTTAATATACAAATTACAAGATAAAATGGATTAAAGAAGTGTATTGGATGGTGTGTAAAAATGAAAGTGGACAAATACTCTGGGACGGAGGGAGTAGTATTTAATTTCCTGCTCCCTCCGATCAACAACAAAAAAATCCCCCGTCAGAAAAATGCGTATACACAGTTTAAATTTGCATTTCACGCGATAGTATATATGTGGAGGTAGGGCACGGTAAATAAAAGATTTTTATTTTAAACTTTTTCAGAAAAATGAAGAAGCCAAGAAGGGAGAGGGGCAGACGAAGACTCCAAAGAAGGAGCCACAACCCATGACTTTAGAGTACAAGGACGTTCATTGCAAGGGCTGTCTGGATGAACTCGGGAAAAAAGTTAGAAAGGGCGAAATTGGTGGTAATTTTATCTAACATTAATCTATTTATACACCAAAAATTGTACCCCACTTTATATCACGAATGCATGCACCAACATTTTGTGCTATGTCAAGGAACCAACTCAACCAAAAGCTCAAGCTTGTGGTTGTGGCCCACGAACAGTTATTTATATTTTAACACGCTCCCTCACGTGCAGTCGTAGTCTTTTTCGAGCCTTGCACGTGAAACCTTAATTTTTTTTAAACTGGGTGGCGCTGAGTTTCGAACTCGTGACCTCTTAATCAACGAGGCTCTGATACCATGTCAAGGAACCAACTCAACCAAAAGCTCAAACTTGTGGTTGTGGCCCAGGAACAGTTATTTATATTCTAACATGCTAGTGTGATGACCTACACTAACACAAAATGTCGGTGAAATTTTTTATTATTGAACTAGCATTTTATGCTAGTATGAACCTTTAAAACACGGAGAATATATATACTTAAATAGCATTAAAACATAATGACTTTCCCTAAATAGCATCATATATGTTTTTCCCCCAATATAGCACTTTTAATCATTATCCATTAGTCATTATTCAAGTAAATGTCGCACTTGAGAGACTTGCACCTGGGATGAAACTTAAACCTATCATCTTTTGAATAGAAAGAGAAGGCTCTTGTTAATACTCCATGACAAGGGTGAAAAGAAAGGGAGAAACAAGATCTCCTTGTCTAAGACCCTTGTCTCCCTTGATGAAGTGCCCAAAGATCTCCCCATCTAATTGTATTGAGTATGCTACACTTGAATACAAAACTGGATCCATGTAATAAATTTCTTTGGAATTTTAGAGCTTCCATGATTTGAAATAACCCTTTCCAACTAACTAAGTCATAGGCTTTCCTTAGATCTAGTTTCATTAGGCACCTGGAATTGAAGTGATGTGTCTTCTGTTGTAACCCCTAGCTAGCTCCTGGCACAGAGGGACATTATTAACAAATTCTCTTTCCTCAATAAATGCACCTTGACTAGTGTTAATAATATGGGGAAGGACCATCTTTAATCTGCTGCATATAATTTTGGAAATCACCTTATATATCACATTACAACATGCAATGGGCCTAAAGTCATTGAGACTTTCTGGGGTATCAACCTTGGGAATGAGACAGAGGTTGGTATGATTGATCTGCTGTAGAGTTACCCCCTCCTTAAAGATATCCAGGACTGCTTTAGTCACAAGACCATCAACCACTCCCCATTGATTTTGGAAAAAACCACTGCTATAATTGTCTGGGCATGGGCTCTTGCAGCTAGGGATATCAAAGATAAATTTGTTCAGTCCCTTAGCAGAAACATGGGCAATCAGGTTAAGTTGTTGATCAATAGATAACACCCCTCCTTCCTTAATAATAGTCTAATTAATGTCTTCAGGCCATTTAGTTCTTCCAAATAATTTTTGCAAATAATCAATCACGGTTTGTGCCACCCCATCCATTTTTGTTTTCCACCACCTGACCTTCAGAATTCTTAATGGACCCAATATGATTATTAAGCATTCTCTGTTTAACCCAGGCATGAAATAGTTTGAAGTCAGTATCCCCAGCTTGAATACACTCTTGCTTCACTTTTTGGATCTTCATATTTAAGTCCTGCTGCTTTCAAATTCCAGTTCAGCTCCTTTAGGGTCTCCTTCTCCTTGTTGATAGTGACTTCCCGAGTATCACCTCTTTTAATTGCTTCCTGAGTTTGGAATAGTTTCTCCCTCAACAAGTTACATGTTGGAAGATGGAGGAAAACTTATCCCTACTCAGTTTCTTAAGGTCAGCCTTCAAGTTTTTAAGTTTTGTAACTAATAGCCACATATGGCGTTTTGAAGTCAGTATCCCCGTCTTGAAGAAGAATTACCAATTAATTGGTGTAGAATTCATTCCGGTGGAACATGGTGTACTTATATGCGCGGGTTTGGGCTTTTCCCAATAGCGCACCTAAACATTACTCCCTCCGTCCCGCTATATTCATCCACTTTTGACTTTTGAAACTGTTCATCTAAACACTTTGACTCATCGAATTCTCTCAATGTGTAAATCTAAATATAGTCATGTGTGATCTTGTTTGATTTGTCTTAACATATAGATTATTAATATATAATTTCTATAAAATGAAAGTGGACAAATACTCTGGGACGGAGGTAGTACTTTGTATAAACTTGGGAATTGGATGAGGAATTGAATTGAAATGTCTATTTCACTTATAATTTTTTACATGTGAGTCCAAACTCAGCAAATTCTGTCTTTGGTTACCTTTTCACAAGACTTATCAAAAAACTTAAAATTTGTTAGATAATATTATCGATCTCTTCGTCATATTTGAATTATATTCGTTTACTTTATAATCTTTTCGGTTTTAGAACAGTAAAACTCTTAACTTTCGTAACTCAGATTCGCACACGGAATACGTTGTTGAACTCATCTCATCGAGACCTTCAATTCAAGTATACATTTGTCCGTAAAACGTTAACTTTAAAAATTATTTATTTTTTATTTATTTAATCCTAACGAAAACTAGAATTACGTTTTATTAGAAATTCTTTATTTACTTTTAGGGTACATTTCGGGGCGTTACATACCAATTAAAATTAAATTAAATTTTCACACGATTGAGACACTGTTTTAATGTCTGTTACCTTGGGACGACGTTTGGCACGGAAAAAAAATAGAAATCACCCTAAATAGGACTAAAACATTGAGAAAAGTACCAAAATATGACTTTCATGTTTTTTTCCCGAAATAGGACTTCGCACTGTGGTAATGTGGCACTGTACATGTGCACATTACATATATTTTTTGGTAATGTACATGACCATATTTGGTAATGTAAATGTATTTTTAGTCATATTTCGGGAATAAAAACATGAAAAATCCTATTTTAATATATTTTCAATGTTTTAGTCCTACCTTGGTCTTTCTCCCACAAAAGAACGACTAGAAACACACCATTAATAGTATCCTATCTTGGCACAACGGCTCCGTGCCAACCTTTTCTTGCCAAATCCGCAATTTTTAATAGTGTATCCAAGAGGGTGTCGCCTCTTGGACCCCACTCACATGAGCTGCCTCCCCCGGACCCGGCTATAGAATCTGTAAAGTCCGAACTATACTAGTTAACAATAAAAATGTCTATTAAAATTCACATTTGTTCTAAATAAATTCAATTACATAAAATAACTGATGACACCAACTACGAGAGAGAACGAGGGAAAAGGACAGTCGGAGAAAGCTCTAAAGCAAACTCCTTATTTGGTTGTGCGTTGGAGATGCTCCAAGAGCTAGCTAGCCCAATAAGTCCACCAAGAAAGTTTACCATTTCTAATTTCTTCCATTCCATATTCAGGTTTTGAAATCGTTGAGGCAGCAGTGTTTGATGCAAAAAAAAATACGTTGACGATGGTGGGGAAGGGGGTCCTAGGAGTGGTCTCAGAAGGTATCAAAAACTTCGAGGGCAAACACAATAAGTTTAAGGATAAAATTAGTATTGTGAAGGTACGCAGTAATTATTTATTCCCTCCTTTTTTTGTTAACAATTCCTATATATATTGACTTTAGACAAAAATAAGAAAAGATTATTTGGAGTTGATTTTTCAATTTTGACATTGATGTGATGAATAAAAATAAAATGTGACGAGTAGATTATTAGTAAAAAAATATGATGTCATAGGTAGTGTAAGAGTTAGTTGAAGTAAAAGTAATCCTTTAATAGAAAATTGAAGTATTTTGGTAGAAGGGATCGAAAAAAAAGAAAGAGGAATTGTTTTGAAAAACGAGATATTCTATATGTCCAAATGGACCTTCTCACATACGGAATTACTGTTGGGGTATCCCTCCTACATGGAGGAAGGAGTTCCTAAACAATACATTTAGTGTTAAAAATGTAATTTGCTTAGAGGTGGAGTAATATAATAATAATAATATTTATTATTATTATTATAAGGAAAGAAAGGGTCAAAGTAGTGGGGCTGCCACTTTGTAGAAAAGGCAAAAGCCTTTTGGCTGGTCACGGGCAGAAGCAAAAAAAACGGCAGAAGCAGAGAAGAAAATAAAGAGAACCGAGAGAGAAAAGAAGAGAGAAAAAAAGTGGTGCAGCAGTCCGGGTTTGTGCTCCGATCGACGACCAAACGAGCTCCNATTTGCTTAGAGGTGGAGTAATATAATAATAATAATATTTATTATTATTATTATAAGGAAAGAAAGGGTCAAAGTAGTGGGGCTGCCACTTTGTAGAAAAGGCAAAAGCCTTTTGGCTGGTCACGGGCAGAAGCAAAAAAAACGGCAGAAGCAGAGAAGAAAATAAAGAGAACCGAGAGAGAAAAGAAGAGAGAAAAAAAGTGGTGCAGCAGTCCGGGTTTGTGCTCCGATCGACGACCAAACGAGCTCCAATCGGGATGAAATTTTAGTATGTTGTTCCTGAGATCCTCTTCTTCATATCCAACAGTGGGATTGTTGTTTTGACCTCTCGATGTCGGTAAAATTGCCTCTGTTTACTGCTGCGATTTTATTGGGGATTTCTCACTTTTGAGTGAAGATTATTGTTGTTTGGTGTTCCAAGTTGTTGCTTGATGATTGTGTATACCTCTAATTGATTTAGAGAGGATTCTTGGTGTACCCACTGATTTTTCTTGGTGACTAGTGGAAGGCTTCGTGGTTTTCTCCCCGATTTGGAGTTTCCACGTTAAATTTTGGTGTTCGTTTATCGCTTGATTGATTGCTTGTTGTCGTGTTTGCTATTCTTGATCGTTCATATGATTTTGTCCATTTTGACAACACAAAGACGGGACAATTATTAATTGCTTCCGCTAGAAAATTGAGGTGATTTTCCCAACAATTGGTATCGGAGCTTGAGTCATATTTGTGGGTGATTTTCTTGTGTTGTTAAAATGGAGGATAAAGCTGTTTTTGGGGGAATGATTAAATTGAACTCCTCCAATTATCAAAGTTGGAAACCCAGGATGGAAGATATTTTATATATTAAGGATTTACATGAACCGATCTTGAATAAGGAAATGCCAAGTGGTAAACAAGAAGGTACTTGGAAATTGCTTAATCGGAAAACCGTGGGAATGATTAGGCAATTTATTGATGATAGTGTGTTTCAGCATGTTGCTAATGATACCAACGCCTATGAACTGTTGGAGAAACTCAAATGCATGTATGAGAGAGAAAATGCCCTGAATAAAGCCTCTATTATGAGAAGACTTGTGAAACTTGATTATAGGGATGGGCATAGTGTGGTAGAGCATTTGAATGATTTTCAGGGGTTGATTAACCAGTTGTCTTCTATGAAATTGGTTTTAGATGATGAATTGCAGGCGTTGTTGCTCCTCAGCTCGTTGCCAGAAAGCTGGGAGACCTTGGTTGTATCACTTAACAATTCTGCTCCAGAGGGTAAGCTTACAATGGATGTTGTGAAGTCGAGTCTGTTGAACGAAGAAGCTAGGAGAAGAGATTTGAGTTCCTCCAGCTATTCAGATCAGGCTCATGTTGCTGAGGTAGAGGGTCGTGGAAGACATAGACATAGAGATTTTGAATCCAGGGGGAGATCTAAATCAAGAAGCGAAGTGAAATGCTTCTATTGTGATAAACCGGGTCATAAGATATCTCAGTGCAGGAAGATGAAGAGAGATAAAGCCCAGCAGAAAGAGGAAAATGGTCAAACTTCTGAGAAGAAAGAGGAGAAAGACACAGCAGCCCTTGCAGATGCGGATGATTTATTCTTCGTGTGTGATGACACTAACTTTGGTGTTGCTTTTCAGGATTGCACTTGGATCATTGATTCGGGTGCCTCATGTCATCTCACACCTCATCGGGAGTTCTTCTCATCTTACACTAGCGGTGACTTTGGCTATGTCAAGATGGGAAGGGGTGATAAATCATCTAAGATTGTTGGGATGGGCACTGTTTGTTTGAAGACTAACACTGGTTGCAGGTTGATCCTCAGAGATGTCAGACATGTTCCAGAGTTTCGGTTCAGCCTCATTTCAGCTGGAGGACTTGACGGTGATGGTTATGTTAGCCGCCTTGGTGAAGGAAAGTGGAAGCTCACCAAAGGTTCTTTGATCGTGGCCCGAGGTAAGATGGAGAACAGGATTTACGTGATGCAAGCAAAAATGTGCAGAGGAGATCAGAATACTGCGCCCTCCATGGAGACATTGCACAAGAGGCTTGGTCACATGCTTGAGAGTTGTCAGAGTATCCTCCCTGAAGGTGATATTCCTTTTCTTACCATACATACGGATCATGGGGGAAAAGATGAAGAACAATGTTGTGGTGATGATGTTGCTCGTGATGGTGATGTACTTGAGCCACCTCATTTTGAGCATGGAGTTCCGCCACAGAGGGTTCCTCAAATTGGTATATTTGAGAGAGTTTGCTATCGGGAAGAAGTGAAGAAGGTGCACCGACGAGAGTGGGTTCAAGCCAAGCGAGATGGGGTTATATCCTTGCTTGATGGACGTGGTCATTCCCTGGTAAAGTTGCATGGAAGCAAGCGAGCACCCAAGAGCAATCGGGTGTTCAAGTTGAAGAGAAAAGAGTGTTGCTCACAACCTACGGATTTGGCGCAGTTGGTTGTGAAAGGTTTGTATGATCATCATTGAGTTTTACCCCCCATGTAGAAGTGAGGGGGAGATTTGTTGGGGTATCCCTCCTACATGGAGGAAGGAATTCCTAAACAATACATTTAGTGTTAAAAATGTAATTTGTTTAGAGGTGGAGTAATATAATAATAATAATATTTATTATTATTATTATTATAAGGAAAGAAAGGGTCAAAGTAGTGGGGCTGCCACTTTGTAGAAAAGGCAAAAGCCTTTTGGCTGGTCACGGGCAGAAGCAAAAAAAACGGCAGAAGCAGAGAAGAAAATAAAGAGAACCGAGAGAGAAAAGAAGAGAGAAAAAAAGTGGTGCAGCAGTCCGGGTTTGTGCTCCGATCGACGACCAAACGAGCTTCGATCGGGATGAAATTTTAGTATGTTGTTCCTGAGATCCTCTTCTTCATATCCAACNTTCCTAAACAATACATTTAGTGTTAAAAATGTAATTTGTTTAGAGGTGGAGTAATATAATAATAATAATATTTATTATTATTATTATTATAAGGAAAGAAAGGGTCAAAGTAGTGGGGCTGCCACTTTGTAGAAAAGGCAAAAGCCTTTTGGCTGGTCACGGGCAGAAGCAAAAAAAACGGCAGAAGCAGAGAAGAAAATAAAGAGAACCGAGAGAGAAAAGAAGAGAGAAAAAAAGTGGTGCAGCAGTCCGGGTTTGTGCTCCGATCGACGACCAAACGAGCTTCGATCGGGATGAAATTTTAGTATGTTGTTCCTGAGATCCTCTTCTTCATATCCAACAGTGGGATTGTTGTTTTGACCTCTCGATGTCGGTAAAATTGCCTCTGTTTACTGCTGCGATTTTATTGGGGATTTCTCTCTTTTGAGTGAAGATTATTGTTGTTTGGTGTTCCAAGTTGTTGCTTGATGATTGTGTATACCTCTAATTGATTTAGAGAGGATTCTTGGTGTACCCACTGATTTTTCTTGGTGACTAGTGGAAGGCTTCGTGGTTTTCTCCCCGATTTGGGGTTTCCACGTTAAATTTTTGTGTTCGTTTATCGCTTGATTGATTGCTTGTTGTCGTGTTTGCTATTCTTGATCGTTCATATGATTTTGCCCATTTTGACAACACAAAGACGGGACAATTATTAATTGCTTCCGCTAGAAAATTGAGGTGATTTTCCCAACAATTACGGATTATTATTTTTTAATTTTAAAAATGTTTATTTCAATGCTTGAAAATGCGTATTTAGCATATGAAGGTCCACTATAGATCTTAGGTGAATGTAATTATTTGTCATGAAAAGGGAGAGAGTAAAAAAATGATAGATATAATTTCTGTGCATGCTAGGAAAAAAATGCTCCCTCAATATAATGGCCAATGAAAAAAATCCTCATATATATGATGATGATGATAAAGCTTTATTAATCTCAAACTGAAAAAAATGTTTACTTCGGAACATATCGTTTTAAAACAATTTTTTAACTCGGAAAAGTACGTTTCCACAGACAAAATTTGCTTGTGATCGAACATCATTCATTCATTATAAAACTCTATGCAAGGATGTAAATTAAAAATGTCAATGTTACCTGGAATTATTATTGTTTAGTGTGTGTGTGTGTCTATATATGAAAACTTTAATTTGGGTGGAATAAGCTATAGGCTGCAGGAAGCAGCGACAAGAAGAAAACAGAGAATGGAAGTGAAGAGAAGAAGAAACCGGCGGCCGAGGCAAAAGGCGCGACGAACGGGGAGGAGAAGACGAAAAAGGTGGCGGTGGCCGCGGCGGAAGGAAAGAAGGACGGGGGAGAGAAGAAACCAGCATCCCAACCCCAGCTAAAGCTCCGTGAGCCGTATAACCGCCGAGAATATGGGGTCCCAATCCCACCGGGAATGATTACGGTGGCGGCTTTAGATTCATCAACAATGATTACCACTCGGGCGCTTGCTATGACATATCATGGCGGGCAATCCTTCCTGAAGCAGATACTGCCCATGTTGCCCGACGCCTGCTCTCTCATGTAGAAATTATTAAGCTTAATTAATTAATTAGCTATTGAAACCAATTCAATATATATCTATCCCTAGCTTGCATCTCTGTTTTAAACATTACTTAATTCTGTTTCCTCCATATTATTATCTACGTACAATCGCATGCATTGCTTGCTGTCTGTCATTATATCATGACTTTTAAGGATTATTATACTACTCGTATGTTTTTCTAATGAAGAACACATATTGTTGGGTCGTTGACATGATGTAATTAATGTATATATAGGGCATGTTTGGAAACAACATTAGAGATTAGCGTTTCGAAAAAGCTATCCACGGACAGTGTTTACCTTTAGCATTTTCAAAGTAATCTATATGCATCGTTGAATTTTTATCGAAAAAGCTAATTTACTATCCACGGACAGTGTTTACCTTTAGCATTTTCAAAGTAATCTATATGCATCGTTGAATTTTTATCGAAAAAGCTAATTTAGTCTCTAATGCTATCTGCAGACAGGCACATACTCCTTCTGGTCCTAAATTTTTTCTATTTTGACTTTTTTTTATTCAAATAAAGACACTCTTTGAGCATAGGGATGTCTATTGTGAGATTCAACTCGGTTTTTGTTGTTGTTCTATGCTCACTCTTTCGTATTCTAATAGTATGACATTAATGTCACACCAGGGACAATTAAAAATTAAAGTTCTCTTTAAAATTTGCATTATTACTTGTGAAGTCAAACGGTGTGTTTAGTTTTGGAGAAAAGAAATAAAGTACTCCCTCCGTTCCTTTAAACCCTTCCTCTTTTGACTTTGGGCAAAAATAAGGAAAGTATAATTTTAGTTGATTTTCCAATTATGCCCATGATGTGATGGATAAAAGTAAGATGTGATAGATTGATTATTAGAGAAAAAGTATGATGTGATAGGTAGGGTATGAAAAAGTAAGGGTAAAAGTGGGTTTTTAATAAAAAGTGGAAGTGTATTAGGGAATTCAAAAAAAAACAAAAGGGGAAGGGTTTTGTGGAATGGAGGGAGTAATATGTTTAGGAACTGTTCTTTTGAGTTGAAATTCCAGAGTTGAATATTGGAAGAAACTGAAGAAGTTGAAAGAAATGGAAAGAATTAGAAAAAACTAAAAGAAGTTGGAAAATGTTGGAAAAAGACACTCAATTCAATGATCATCTAAATAAATATGTAAAAACTTATTTTGGATATAAAAAAGAACTCATCCATGTCCGTGTTTGAGGTGATATATTATGAATTTGGACATAAAACGTTACTGTACATTGATCTTACTCCCTCCGTTCCACAAAACCCTTCCGGTTTTGACTTTGAGGGAAAATAAGGAAAGTGTATTTTTGGTTAACTTTCCAATTTTGCCCCTGATATGATCAGAAAAAGTAAGATGTGATAGTTTGGTTATTAGTGAAAAAGTATGATGTGATAGATAGAGTATGAAAAAGTAAGGGTAAAAGTGGTTTTTTAATATAAAGTGGAAGTGTTTTGTGGAAAACAAAAAAAACGAAAGAGGAAGGATTTTGTGGAACGGAGGAAGTATATAATAACATTAATACTTTTTTAAGTCATTGTTCAAAGAAACTAAGGATCAGAATTGAAAGTTAATTTTTCCAACCCAAAAAAACATGGTCTTAGTATTCACATATATAGTTGAACGAACTATCATATTTATATATCTAATATCGTTGATCATTTGACAAAATTATGATATAATAGTCCTTATTTTAGTCATTTCATTGATATACTTTTTTAATATAGAAATTTTATTTTTAAATTCTACTTTAATTTTTAATAAATGGTACTCCCTCCGTCCTAAAATGTTCTTCCCACTCACTTTTTACCTGGTCAAACTTTAATCACTTTCTTTACCTATTTTCATTAGGTATTTGATAAAATAATATAGTCTTGTCACCTCTTGTTTTGTAGAACTTTTGATGTGGTTTTTAAATATATAAATTTTATTTTTTAATTTTAGACCTACAATCAAATAAATTGAATTGAAAATAAAGTCGGTCAAACCTCGTAAAATGAACCGGGAAAAACATTATAGGACGGAGGAAGTACTTTGTTTTAAAAATAATATTAGTAAAAATTTTTAACCCAAAATAAACAATTTAAATTATGAGGGAATTGAAGAAAGTATTGTGCTCCCTACCTCCCTCTCTCAAGTCTCAATGAGTGAATGAGAATGCAAGAATGCATATAATAAAGGTGCGCCTTATGCTATACATACCAACACGCAGTGGCTGTCCGTGATTAGGGCATCTTTTTTTTAATTTGCGCCGCAAGCTTTGCATTTTCAACAAACAAATGAAACACATAAACATTTTCATTCAAAACCTCGCAGAAAGGGCTCAACCCCCCAAAAGTAACACCATATATATGTCTGTTAGACAATAATAATAGTATTACTTGTGGTAGTATTGGTTGTGGTAGTGTTTCATTATTAGTCAGCTTCCTAATCCTATTTGTGGTAGATGTTGTATGTTAGTTAGTTTCCATTCTATATTCCTAGTTGTGTTAGGAGTCTCTCCTATATATACTCTATCATGTACTTCATAATTCAAGAGAGCAATATTATTATTCCAATATTTCAACATGGTATCAGAGCCATCGCTCTTGGTAACCTAAAAGAGTTAATTGCTTCCGCCGCCGCTGCCGGTAATTCCGGCAACGGCGGCTCCACCCTATTCACCTCTATTTTCTTTTCCTTCTTTTATCCTCAAATAAAATTCTCCATTCAAATGAAAAAAAAGAAAAAAACCTTTATTGAAATCACACACAAAAAAACCATCAAAGGCGAAACTTCTCTCTTGTCATCTCTATGATTCTTCAAAAAAAAACCAACTCCACACAAACACTCTCAACTCATCCTTGTATCTTCTCAAAATCATGGAAAAAAAAGATAGTTGTTTCTCTACAATTCACTATCGAAGATTCTTAGACCTAGATCTTTTCTTCATCACCAATTCTTAATCCCCTTTTTTCTCTTTCAAATCACTCATTCTAATCATCAGTGTTTCTTCTCTTTATCCTTTGTTAACCAATAAAATTTCAAAAAAAATACAAAAGCAAAGCCAAGAAGGGAAGTAGTGAAAGAGGAAAGAATACCTCTACACCCCTTCAAGAAAGAAATAGGGCATTGCCCGGATCCAAGAAAAAGACAAAGAATGTCAAAGATCTCCAGTCAAACAGGCACCTTCAGTAGCCTTCTCTATTCTTCTACGACGTTAGGAGCTACAAGCGCACGTCAACCTTCTCTCTTCTTCTTCGACGTCAGCAGCTACCAGCGCACGTCAATTTCTCTTTTCTTCAACGATGTCAGCAGCTAACAGTGCATGTCAGAATTCTCTCTTCTCCAAAGACGTCAGCAGCCACCGGCGCACGTCAAACTTCTCTCTTCTCCAACGACGTCAGCAGCCACCGGCGCACGTCAAATTTCTCTCCTTTCAAAATTTCCAGTTTCGAGCTAGTGTCCAAGCTTCCTCTTGCTTCAGCCAGAGTTCAGCTTGAGGGGGGATGTTAGACAATAATAATAGTATTACTTGTGGTAGTATTGGTTGTGGTAGTGTTTCATTATTAGTCAGCTTCCTAATCCTATTTGTGGTAGATGTTGTATGTTAGTTAGTTTCTATTCTATATTCCTAGTTGTGTTAGGAGTCTCTCCTATATATACTCTATCATGTACTTCATAATTCAANCGTCAACCTTCTCTCTTCTTCTTCGACGTCAGCAGCTACCAGCGCACGTCAATTTCTCTTTTCTTCAACGATGTCAGCAGCTAACAGTGCATGTCAGAATTCTCTCTTCTCCAATGACGTCAGCAGCCACCGGCGCACGTCAAACTTCTCTCTTCTCCAACGACGTCAGCAGCCACCGGCGCACGTCAAATTTCTCTCCTTTCAAAGTTTCCAGTTTCGAGCTAGTGTCCAAGCTTCCTCTTGCTTCAGCCAGAGTTCAGCTTGAGGGGGGATGTTAGACAATAATAATAGTATTACTTGTGGTAGTATTGGTTGTGGTAGTGTTTCATTATTAGTCAGCTTCCTAATCCTATTTGTGGTAGATGTTGTATGTTAGTTAGTTTCTATTCTATATTCCTAGTTGTGTTAGGAGTCTCTCCTATATATACTCTATCATGTACTTCATAATTCAAGAGAGCAATATTATTATTCCAATATTTCAACAATGTCATGTCTATATATACACACACTACAACAAACATTATGGATCAAACATATACAGATTGATTATTAGTTATAATTGTAACGTAATTAAAAAAATAAAAAAAGAAGAAGAGAGTTTGGTCTGTTTCCATCGTCGCCACCTCTCGGATGGTCTAGGAAAGCTGGCTGCGCTTTTCCGGCCGCTATAATCCTAGACCATCGCCCTCCGGCGTGGCCACAAAAAATAAAACAATTGATATATATATACAGGAATTCAATAGCATATAGATACCTATAAAAACAATGGAAGTTTCTTATTATGGCAATAAGATATTACTTGGGTGTATTCTCTTCTTCGCCTGGGTGGCGGCCACCGTCCCGGCTCTGACTAGAGCCGACTCCAATGACACGGTGTGGGAGGAGCGCGCCACCCAAGCGAGGATTAGTATCCTCAAAGCCTATCACCCTAACCCTCATCATGTTACCAGAGAATTCAATGAAAAAATCAGCTTGTACGTTCACTCGATCGACTTATTACTTTCTCAATTATATATGCATGCTAACTAAAGATCGATCTCATGCATGATCCAGCGGGCGGTATCATTCTGACTCTCCCAAATGGAACCGAGTAGCATTTTTTTGATATTATGTTTTGACATGCATGGCAGAGCGTTGAACGAGACACTGGGAGAAGTGCTGCAGGGCGATAACGGGACGAGAAGGGAGCTAAGAAAGAGAGGGAACTGGGGGCCTTGCATGGCCACCAACCCGATCGACAGGTGTTGGAGATGCGACCGTAACTGGGCCGCCAACCGCAAGAGGTTGGCCGATTGCGCCATGGGCTTTGCTAAAGGAACCACGGGCGGCGGCAAGGATGGAAAGTTTTACGTCGTCACCGATTCCTCCGACAACAACGTCGTAGACCCTAAGCCAGGCACCCTCCGTCACGCCGTCATTCAGAAGAAGCCCCTTTGGATCATCTTCGCTCGCAGCATGACCATTAAGCTCTCTAGAGAGCTCATTATCCAGAGCCACAAAACCATCGACGGTCGCGGTGTCTCTGTCTGCATTGCCGGTGGTGCAGGTACATATATAAATATACCCACATTTAATTTACATCCATTTTATTATTGCACGTGAAACCTTAATTTTCAATTTAACAAACATTGGGTCGTCATGTCGCCTATCTTCAAAGCTTGTTTATGATGATGATTATACGTTCAGAAAACATTTTTATATTCTAATGGTCATGCATGCTATAGGAATAACGATCCAATTCGTGAAGAACGTGATCATTCACAACTTGAAGATAGGCGACATCGTGCCGACTGGCGGAGGCTGGCTCAGGGACTCCACCGACCACAAAGGGATCAGGACCGACGACGAGGGCGATGGGATAACAATTTTTGGGTCCCACCACGTGTGGATCGACCACGTGTCCATGTACAACTGCGCTGATGGAATCATCGACGCCGTTGCGGGGTCCACAGCCGTCACCATCTCCAACAGCCACTTCACCGACCACGACAAGGTGTTGCTCTTCGGGGCCAACAACTGGGACCCCATCGACAAGGTGATGCAAATAACGGTGGCGTTCAACCACTTCGGGAAGAGGCTCCACCAGAGAATGCCGCGTTGCAGGTGGGGCCTCTTCCACATAGTCAACAACGACTACACCCATTGGGTGATGTACGCGGTCGGTGGGTCCGCGGGAGCCACCATCGTCAGCCAGGGAAACCGTTACATTGCCCAACCCGGGGTGAACCCCTTCAAGGAGGTGACCCACAGGGATTGTCCGGACGGTTCGTGGAAGTCATGGACATGGGTGTCCGCCGGCGACGTCTTCATGAACGGCGCTTTTTTCCGGCAGTCGGGAGACCTCGGCGGGGCGGAAAAGTACGGCCACCGCGACTTGGTGAATGCCTTGTCGGGAAACTCCGTCGGTTTGATCACAAAGTTTGCCGGTCATCTTTTTTGCTCGCCTAAAAAGCCCTGCTAATTATTTTATTTATCACTAAAACTACGGACTACTATTATATTTTTATTTTAGTAAAATTTGCACTAAATAGGACTAAAACATAATGACTTTCCCAATATAGGACTTAAACTTTTTTATTCCCTAAATAGGACTTAATAATGACCTAGTGGGAGGAATAATGTCCAGTAATGATGGACATTTAGTTGAATAATGACTACTTGATAATGACCAAAAGTCCTACACTAGGAAATAAAAATATATGGTCCTATATTGGGAAAGTCATTATGTTTTAGTTCTATTTAGATAAATTTCTCTTTATTTTATTTCAATATCAATTATAAGCGGATTGTGGGCAGTTGTACGTACGTTATGTATCCTTCTTCCCTCTTCTTTTTGAATCATTACTTGCATAAAATTCTTAAGCGTAGTGATCAGTTTTGTTTCAATCATTACAATTTTGTGCAATATATCACTAAAATGTATTGTAATATAGATATTTAATTATATGCATACTCTCATGTTTTAATTTCAATTTCCTTGTTAATGATATACTATATCTTTTCATTCTTGTCTTCTATAACTAATATTACAGAGTACTCCCTCCGTCCCAAAAAGTTTGTTACATTTAGAAAAAACTGCGTCCCGTAAAGTCCGTTACATTTCTATCAAAAAACCACTTTTACCCCTTGCTTTTTCGTACCCTACCTATCACATCATAACTTTTTTCTAATAATCTACCCATCACATCCTACTTTTACCCATCACATCAAGGGTATTTTTGGAAAGTCAATACCAAAATATCTCTTCCTTAATTTTCCCAAAAGTCAAACCGTCTCATTCTTTTTGGGACGGAGGGAGTATTATTTACTCCCTCCGTCCCAAAAAGATTTACACCTTTCAAAAAAATTGTGTCCCACAATCTCCTACCCATTTCTATTAAAAACCACTTTTACCCCTTACTTTTTCAAACCCTACCTATCACATCATACCTTTTTCCTAATAATCTACACATCACATCCTACTTTTACCCATCACATCAAGGGTATTTTTGGAAAGTCAACACAAAATTATCCCTCCCTTAATTTCTACTTTGGTCAAAATGGGTAACACTTTATGGGACGAAGGGAGTATAAAATTGTGAATTTTTATAGAAGCATGTTGAGGTAGCGGCAAGGAAGTCAATCGCCACAAACTTCTCTACCATCCCATGTTCGAGCTCTACCTATGCGCTAAAGAGGTTGGTATTACATGATTGAATAGATACTAGCTAGGATAATGAGTATGTGAGCTACTAACAAAATTACGAATTTTTAATCTCACACTATGGCTTGGAGTGTTGGAATGAAATTATTTTAATTAAATTTATTTGAATATTCCTACAAAATATACAAAAAAAATGACTATATTCGATGATGAATTGGGCAATGAGAGATTCCTAAGCCAACTGAGAACTTGTTGTTCCTAGCTGCACAGAGAACCGTGCATGTATATGGATCAAATTAAAGCAGCTTGGAGTGTGGGATCAAGATCCATATATATGAGATAACAACTCAGTGTTATTTTTTGCATGGGAGGACAATATGGGTGGTTGTGAGTGGGGGTGTTGCAAGAGGAGGGGGGGGGGGTAGGTGAGTGGGAATGGGGGAGTATTTTACATGAGAAGGGGTGGATGTGGGGGTTATGGGAGATGGGGAGTGATTATTTTCAAACGTTAATCTTTTATGCAATTATAAGTCATTGTATGTGTGGAAAGAATGCGTGATAAATTAAACTTTAATCGCATAAACAATATAACCAGTGCCAATATAGTGCAATCTTCGTAATCTCTTTCACTCCTCGTATCAGAGAGCTAAGCACTCGATCATTACGTTAAGATAAAAAAGGGGGTGTTTTTATTTGGTACACAAATATGTACCTCGTTTACGCAAATATGATACATGTATAATCTCCCAAATTAAATATGATCGACGTCAGATATATTTTGGAATGGAGATCGACATAAGATTATTGAAGCACTTTTCTAATCATAGCATAAGTTTATAGCATTAAAATGACGATCGAAAAATACGTACAGTTGGGATATAAAGGTTGGAGAAAGAAGAAGAAGAATGCACACACAAATTTTCATTTCAAGATGCAGTGCTTACAATGTACTCTATCATGCATGCATGGTCTAGCCAATCCTCATCACTTTACAACACTGCTTATTACTTACTTGTAGTCCAAAAAGGAAAGCTCGCTGAAATCCATTTGCAGCTCCAATCAGCAAAGCCGCAAAACATTCATAATATAGCGCCTGTGTAATAACAGCGCGCGCATTCATAATATGGAGTGTGAAAAGTTTCTTTCCGTACCTAGTCATCATATCACTGAGTCATTAATAAATAATGTATCGTGTTAATAATTTATTCCCAAACTTCATAGCTGTTGAAATAATTTCCACTTGGTTGCATGAGTGTTGACATATATCTTTCATTTACATTTTCTATCAGTTTCCTCTTTTGTTGAAACTGGCTCCGAAAGAGGAACTAAAGGCGGGTGTGGGTTCATCATTCCCATGGATGCTGCTTCTTCTGCAACCTTGTTTACCATTTCCAGAACTTCACTCATCTTTGGTCGTGATTTTGCTTGTCTGACCAAGCAACGGTTGGCAATGAGAGAGAGCTTGTGAGCGGACTTTACGATGTTGCCCTCAAGCCTCGGGTCTATTATCATCCGAAACTTCTTGGAGTCTGACAAATACGGTTTTACCCATTCTAAGAGTTTCTGTTCATTCTTGGGACGGTTCCGTTCCAAAGGAAGTCTCCCTGTGATGAGTTCATACAGAAAAACTCCATAGCTCCACGTGTCGTTCTTGGATGTGAGCCGACCGGTTTGGATATATTCAGGAGAGGCATATCCCATTGTTCCAACCACCTGATGAAAGAGAGATGTTTGTAAGAAACGTATGAGTTTGTTGCACTTTTTTTTATTTTATTCAAGGAAGAGTGATTGGTAACATCCATTTCTGTTTAAAATGTTTTTTTCTTTTCAACTCATAAGCCAATTATGAGTTTATTATGACTAACAATTTAGAGACAATGCCAAAGGTGTATTATGACTACATCACACACATTTCTTCAAAGGATGCACCAGAGGTGTATAACGTTTTGGGAGGCTTACTGCAGTTGAGACATGAGTCCGTCCTTCTTGAGGGCCAAGCCTAGCTAACCCGAAGTCTGAGAGCTTTGCATTCCATTGTTCATCTAAGAGTATGTTTGATGATTTGAAGTCTCTGAAAATAATCTACATTTTTCCCAGAAAAGTGAATGATGGCGATGATGATATGATGATGCTATTTATAATAATAGTAATGATAGCAACAACAACAACAATATTAATATCAATATTATTAATAATAAGAAGAACAATAACACAAACAAGCTAGGGTTAACAGAGGTAAGCATATTTAATTCTGTCCAATGCTTCAGTTCAATAAAGAACAATCTATAAACTAATGTTTGTCATTAATCGTCTAGACAAAGAATAACAATTAAGAATACCTGAAAATTCATTCCCTCATGCAGATAAGTTAAGCCAGAAGCAGCATCTTGGGCTATTTTCAACCGCATAGCCCAGGAGAGAGGTGTTTGTGATCTGGCTGACAAATGGTATTCCACACTTCCATTAGGCATATATTCATATACAAGAAGACGCTGGATTCCCCTCTCATCATCCTCTGCACAATACCCAACTAGTTTTACGAGGTTATCGTGCTCCACCACCCCGAGCACATTCACTTCCGTCACCCATTCTTTGTGTCCATGCAACATAATCACAAAATCAACATAATCATCAACTTTGTGGCAAGAGTTGAGAAAAGACTGATAATTGGCAGGGCCTTGTTGGTAATGAGTCTTTTGGAAAGCTTTTAGTTGCTTCAACCCAAATCATCTGTTTGACTATTTCAAAGACCTGCTTTTTCAATTGATTATAGTAGCTAGACAAGAAGCTTAGATTTCAAACTCTTTTTGAAAAAAGCTCATTTTATACCTCCAACAGCTAGCATCTAATTATGATCTCCAAAGATGTCTCTAAATGCAAAGCTGAAGTAAAGACTTGGTCTAAACAACTACTCCCTCCGTCCCGCAAAAATCTTCCTAGGTTCCCTTATTTGCACGTCCCAAAAAACTCTGCACTTTATTTCCTTTTTAATAAAATGAACATGTGGCTCACAAAAATATGTCTATAATCTTGACAAATTTCAACCACACTTTTCACTTTTCCACATTTTTCTTAAAAGTTGAAAGTCCAGCCTATAAGTTTTTTTTTATGCGATAGAGGGAGTAACATCCAAAAGTGAATATAATGTTACAGTCAGCTAACTTCAAACAACTATGTATACAGCTATTGCCAAACAGGACTTAAATATCCAAGCAGGGAAAATATCTTGCCTGGTGCCCTCTTCTACTAAGTTGTTTTATGGCCACATCAACTCTATTAGATGGATCCTCAAAACTCTTGATTTTCCCCTTATATACAAATCCAAATCCTCCCTCCCCAATCTTGGTTGACCGGCTAAAGTTTTTTGTTAATGCTTTAAGTTCCATGAACATAAACTCCCTGAGATTACACGACCTCTCATGCATGCTCGGAAACTGAGTCCTTCCCTGGGATTCTGTATTGGTATCTGATCCATTCAGAGAGCTAGATTCAAGATTGGACTGACTTGCATCACCACAATCTGAGAGTCCAAAACCGGTTGAGAGGGATCCATTTGACTTCACTATTTTTGTTTCTTCTTTCTTTTCAGGATTGTGGCATAGAAAACACCTCATCATCATCATCATCATCAATCAATCAATCAACTGCCAGTGCAGAATCTGATCTCAAGAATAATGCTCTCTTAGTGAAGTAACTGAATAAGGTTTTTCATATGATTGTTTCATTTTGCACGAAACATTAGATTCCAATAATTTCATTTCAATTAAAACAAGATAGCTTTTTGGAGAGCCTATAGCTTACTCCGCACTAACTTAGGTCTGGCTAGCTGAAAAGCGGCTTGATGCCATTCGGTAAACACATTATCGGAAGAACTTAGTAGGTCCAAAAAGCGCATTTACAAAAAATCTCTACCCTAGGATTTTGGAAGAGCTTCCAGTTTTTTTCTCACATCTAGCTTTCTTTACAGCTTTTTTGTGCCAAAAATCTTTGCTTAAGGATAACAAAATGAGCTTGTCAAATGTCAAAAAAGCTAACAAAATCTAATCCTTACTAGAAGCAACCAACACATGCACATATAGAAATGAAAAGTCCAAAACAATGTAACGGGACGCTAAAAACCTTGATGTCGAGCTCTTGAATCGTCACATTCTGCATAAAGTGGACCTAAAACCTACAAATCAGCCATTGAAAAGACTATTCAATGTCACTTGGCCCTCTCAGAGACCGAGGCCATGACCAACTCTTTTCCTTAAGAGCACTTAATTCATAAAGTCTGGGCATTCATTCCGGCTGCTATGCGATGTATTGAGCTCAACGAAATCTATATCCTTCTACTTACCATTTCGCCAATAAATTACATTGAGCTCAAAGCTAGATTCATATTCTCATAAAACTGGGCATGAAATGATGATTCCTCAATTTAACACAAGAATGTAACTTTCCATTCAGAAAGATCGAGATGTACGAGGTACAGAGTATACATAATCAATAGACGGATGTAATGTAAAAAGAACCTGATTTCAACGATATCAGAGTCTTGGTAGACTAGTGAGTCAGTAAATTCGTCAAATCTCTAATGAACAAAAGAAGAAATGCTCACGTTTGTTTACAGATTGTAAGATAGATCCTGCTCTGGCAAGCCAGCCAGCACTATCTGAGCTTTTGTAGAGAAAAACTCATCGGAGTCCCAACTCCCAAGCGTGCTTCCCAATGATAGGGAAGAACAAAGACTTGGACGAGCAAACGGAGAGAAAGTTCCACGCTCGGCAGCACGAGAACGGGAGAAAGTCCTTAGTCAAACAAACCAATGTTTGGAAAATTTTCGTGGGGACAGTTGTTTGGAATACGACGGATCAAAAAGCAAGCTAACCCCGCCTTTCACATTTCACAATTGACATCCTCCACATGATATACCACCATAGTAAGAGTTTGTTCATCTTAATCATTTTGATCTACTTAAGAGTCCAAGTTTCCCACGATATTGGAAATCTAAGTCATGGTATGATCCGGAACGCTCTAGTATTCTTAACCCTGTAAATCCCCCCATCATGTCCTGACTCGAATACACTCCTCACCCCTTCAATCGCACCCCACAAGTTGATTTTGACTTAGGAGTTAAAATTTGGCTTCAAAGTCAAAATCAACTTGTTGGGTGCAATTGAAGGGAGTGGGGATGTGTTCGGGTCGGGGCGGGGTGAAAAGATTTACCAGGGGTAGGAACCGTCAATTTTACAAATGGGGCACCGGAGAGCTCCCGGGTCATCCCATGACATTGGGAACCAAGGGGCTAATTAAGATAAGTTTTGATTAGATTTGAATGTAGTTCTATTTAAAGTTATTTCTAATTGATCTGATTTGATCAGAACTGATTTCAATTAAAATAAATAATACGGAGTAAGTAATAAGTTGAAAAGAACATACTTTAATACGAAGTCATGTGCACCCATGGAGCCCGAAGAAGCTAAGGTGCTACCACTATGTGAGAGTCACTTCATTGTAGGCTTTGATGACTGGGAATGTAAACAAATTAAATAGTTTAAATTTGATTCGTGATTTATATTCGAATATAGTGATTCAAATTTGCATAATTCAAATAGAAATTCAAATTCAAATATTTGTATTGATTCGAATATCAAACAAATACAAATAGAGACGAATTCAATTTAGATGATATTTGAATACATATATATTGATCATGTTTTCTACATAAGTAATCAATCAAACTAATATAGTATAAAATGTATTTAAATAATTAAGATTTCATCAAATTAACGTAACACAAAAATCTAAAGCATATAATTTTTAATAGTCATATTTTATAAATTATAATTGTGTAAGATGCAATGCATTAATGTTTGGATTTCAGTATTCGCTTCGATTCGGTTCATTTACAATCATATTTATGACCTTAAAATGGTGTAGTTTATAAATATCCTTAAAACCCCTCTTATTATCACAAACTTTTTTTTACATATTTTAATTAAATTTTAAAAATACTTCGAAGAAAAAAGATGATTGATTAGAGAAAAAAAGGGCNGGGGGGGGGAGGTCGTTATAGCGCCAAAGCGGTGAGTTGGGGGCACTATTATATAATCATAAAAACTTTTTGAATTTGACCTATTATTAAAATCAGCTTAGCTATTTTTGAAATTCTTCATCCACATCAAGATCATCTTCTTGAGTTGAACCATGTTTTTCAATAGGATTAACACGTTGATTTTTTACTTTGTGTGTCTTTATTCATCTCCTACTCACAATAATACAATAATTGATATTTTTACCCTATAAGACTTTTAGATTAGAAAATTCCCTCCACACACGGAGATTACATCTCTCCTCTTTCTTGGGCCTCTCTCCACATGTCATACTCATCTCTCAAATTAGATATGGATCAATGATGTTGCACAGTTGTCAAGGTAAGTGGTGCCAAAGAGATAATACCTGAGTTCAATTTCTAGTAACTACGCTGAGAGGCAAATATGCACAATATATGACCTCCGTGCAAGTGCTAGGTGCATGCCCAACTCTTTACAACTAATATGTTATTAAATTTCAATTTATTTCTTCTCATATGACCGTCTGGTCAATTATAAGTAGACATTGAGATATGTTTCATCTTTTTTTCATATGAAATATGACTTTTATAGTTACTATCTCATCAACCTCAATGGCATATCTCTTTTCTTCTTCTTCTTAACGCAACAATCAACTCTTCCAATTTCTTCTTCTTTCCATTCTTCTCGCCAATCACACACCCACCTTTCATATTGTTATGCAGAATTCGAAAATAACAATAAGAAACACGACAATAAATTTACGTAGTTCACCAATGTTGTAACGTTGTGTTAGCTACATTCACGGAAAGAGTGGGAGCAGTATTATTATGGAGAGGCAAGAACAGAATACATTATTAGGGTTTGTTGTAACGCATATATATATAATCATAGGCTACACCCTAATAGGTTTGGGCCCAACATACATAATTGTTAGATAACGCGTCAGATTCAAGGCATTACAACACAAGGAGTAACCCTGTAACTTGGTTTCTAACGACTGCAATAAGAGGTAATTATACAGAACATATGATCTTTGCAACTATCAGGTGTATGTTCTGAAGGGTGTTCGTCTAACTGTTCTGAAGGAATCTCGGGGTGAGACTTTGTGCGGCACACATCACACCCCATTTTACATCATTTTCTTTTATTTATCTTTTATTAAATAATTTCTCTGTCTGATAATTGATTATAATCTTTTTCTCTCTCATGTCGATAAGTTTTGTTTATTTGTGTGTTTTAATTAATTATTTGATATAGAAAAATATTTTTGTCAAGTCTTGTTTTGTAGATTTTTTGATGTAATTTATAAATATGTAAACTTTCTTTTTTTTATTTTTATACCAATTCTAAATAAAATGATTTTAAAAATACTCCCACGTCCCTATTTTGATTAGTAAATGGGAATTACAATGTAAAATCTCATGATTTTTGAAATCAATTTATTTATAATTTTTTACAATAATAAGAAATAAAAATTATGGATTAAAAAACTACATCCAAATTTGTAAAACACAAAAAGTGATATAAATATTTTATTTTATCAAATAATTAATGAAATCAGACAAATAAATAAAAATTATCGAGAAGAGAGAAAAATAAAATTCTAGGACTAGAGAGTGAAATTGCAATAAAGAATGGGACGGGGTGAATTTGGTAAATAGGGAGAGAAGCCAACAATGCACCCCGCTACAGTTGGGGCGTTACTCGCTTTTGCCTGTGGGATGTTTTTGGGTTCTTCCATTTCTGGTATGTAAACAAACAAAGACGTACTGGCCACTGGCGCGTGGTGGCGAATTGCGCGAAAGTTTCGTTGGCGGTCCCCTCCATTTCCTCAAACGTCGCTTTCCGTTGCAGGCGATGCAGCAGCGGCAGCGCAGACGGTACGCCCATCGCCATCACCGCCTTAGCCCCACCCCAACCTCTCCTCCCCTCCCCTCTCCTTGTTCGCTTTCTATTAGGGCTCTCTTCTGCCATTTTTTTTAATTATTTGTAGCTAGGGAGAAGCTGGGTAATAATAAGGTCATCGCCGGAACTTCCGTTCCGCCCACCCCGACTTATCGAGCTCAGTTCTCCAGGTAAACCATGCATTCTGAAACACAGCTCTGTTTTTCCATGGAGGAAACTAAATGGATATCTATTTTGAAATTTGATGCATGTAAAACACCCAAAAAAAACCCCATATTATTTTATACTCCCTATTAGTATTATTTAAAGTTAGAAATATTTAAAAAAAAGCAGCAAAACATTTTTGGTCTGGCTATATAGCATTTTGCATTTTCATAGGCAAGTCGAACAAGATCTGGATGTATGATATGTTGTATTGCTCCATAATATCATAAGATATGGTAAAAATATGGGTGCATATATTATCAGCTGCCCTAGTTTGAAGAGGCTATTGTTGAGAACAAATTTTACTCTGTAAAACGTGAGTGACGAAGCAGGAACGAAGCATAGCAAAATTCATTTAAATATTAAAAAATGTTACAACAATAATAATGTGATTCATGTCATTTTTCTTTTATATGCACCCACTCTTATTTTCCTGTAAAAAAATGATCTAGGTTTACAATAATGTTTTTAATATTAGAAATATGATTTTTTTTGTCTCGTAAGAGCCCTGTAAAATGTATCATATAAAGAAAGTTTGAGTGTATATTGTTAAAACGGCATGGGTTGTAATTGTTGTTCATTGATAGGGTGGGACTAAATCCCCAAATAGCCAATGTCACTTCCCCGAATTCGCTAAATTACTCTCATTGCTTTAATAAATTTGAGTGAGAAGTGTCACATTAGTCGTTTAGGATGTGGACTTAGCCCCGTCCTTATTATTATTACTACCCCAGAGTATCATTAATATGTCCAGTGCAAAACAACCAAACAGATTTTGTACTGTGCAATAAACCCATCTATGGAGGTGTATTTATTTTCACATTAAGCTGTTATTGTCTGTTATTGTGTATCCATGTTAGTACACATTGGTGTGATTGCACCATGTTGAGTGTACTTTAAGAAAATCTAGACCGCCATTGCCATTTGCAGGGGATTGATATGAATCCTCAATTGGGCAAGAGGAAACTCAGTGCTCGGAAATTCAAAGAACTTGTAATGTCAAGGGCAAAGAGATTGATGAAAGCCAAAGGTATAACCCTTATAGAGATACCACACTTTTTGTTAACTTGCAGCTAAGACCACACCTTGTTCTGTGATGTACATTACAGATGATATGCATGAAAAATCTCCACCAGTTCACAGCTCCGAAGATTCCCCACGAGAGAAAACTTCTACCTGTGATTTACAGGTAATTCTTTTCCTATTTGTTTTCTGCTTCTCTCAATCAATCTTCATCTCAAAGTAAATGATAATGATTTCAGATTCAGAGTAAAAACATTGGATACAAAGGCATGTGGTTGCCATATAACATATTGTCTTCTATAGTTCTATCCTTTATGTAGAATTATGAGATTCCAACCCAAAACCAGTTGACTTTCTCGAATGGAACTAAGCTTCTTCTTTGAGCTCTTAAGCCTTGAAAACCATTTAGAATACTAGAATTATGATATTCCAACCCAAAAACAATTAGGTGTAACTCGTGTTCGTACACATTAGTCTTTTTTAGCCGATGCATGACAATATCCTCAAAACTTTTATAAGCACTAATCACCATACAGAAAAATATTTTCTTCAAAGCTTTGATCATCTTTTGTTATTTACGAGCAGACTGAAGTAACTTTTTCTTTGTAATCTACTGCACACAGGATGAAAGGAATGCAGTGTCTTTACACAACTTAAAGTGTAGAGATCTTGACGATTGCAAAGTACAACATGGAGATCCCAAGCAGAGTAGTGATACTGAAAGTGGACATGACAAATGTTGCATATGCTCTAGTGGGGGAAATCTTATGTATGTACCTATATACCTTGTAGTTCTATAACTTGATGCCGTCCTTTCTAGTAATAAGTGGCTTTGTTCCCCATCTCAAAGGGCTTCAGTATATAGAATATCTTAACATTCAACTATTTTTGAGATTTTACTACAAGTTTACGATGTTGTTTTTCACATATGGGTCCTTTGTATTGTAATAGCATTGCAAGTACTTCTAGCAGTGTCATTATTAATCACATCACAACATACATAACCACATACACAAAGAAAAATATTCTTGTATGCAAACATGGTGAAGTTTAAACATGAGATTTTGAAAGGTCTTTTGTTATCTATTTTCTAGAAGTTGTGCCGGAAAAGGATGCATGAGGAACTTCCATCTGCAGTGCATGGACCCCCCTCTAAAATTTTTTCCTCTTGGAACATGGTATTGTAATTTTTGTGTAAAAAAGAAGGTTGTCTTAGGTGTTCATTCTGTATCTCAAGGAGTGGAGGCTGTTTTTTATTCCAGAGACATTGATTGCGATAAGGAAGGTATTGGTCACCTGCAATTCTGCATATTTTTCTATTATGTTGAGTTGGTTTAGCATTTTTTGTCAAGATGCTCACGCTGCATTGTTATTATAACTGTAATTTGGGAGCGTGATGTCAGTGACACATAAGCAGAAGAGGAAACAAGAGTATTGGGTAAAGTACAAAGGCCTTGCTCATATTCATAACCGGTGGATTCCAGAGACGGATCTGATTCATGAGGCACCAAAAATTCTTGCGAGATTCAAGAAATTCAGAAAGGTGTTATTAATATAAACCTTCCAACATTTTATTATTATCCTCTTTGATGGGTTTGCTGATGGAACATTTTTCTGGTCTTTCTTGCGAAGGTGAGCTGGAAAACAGATTGGACTATTCCTCATCGTCTGCTTGGGAAAAGGTTGTTGGTATTACAAGGGGCTAGTGAAACAAGTTCTGTAGGGAATAATGATGATGGTTCTGATTGTCATTATGAATGGCTTGTGAAATGGAGAGGCCTTGACTATGATCAAGCTACATGGGAATTAGAGACTGCTTCATGTTTGAACTCCCCATTGGCATTACAAATGATCAGTGACTATGAAAGTTCCCATAAAAAGGCAATCCTGGAGGTGCGTCCTTCTATGAAAGATAATGAAAATGTACTTCTAACCCTTCGTGCATAATAACGACGGATTAGCTTTCATGGCAACAAGCTTTTATAATCTTTGTTTCAAATGAAGCCTCTAAAAAACATAAACAAACAGACCTTACAATTTCTATTGTTGAATGCATAGGAGTATATGGGATGGGGAAGCTTTCATCATCATCATCATCATCATCATTCTCAACACCTTAATCCTAACTAGTTGGAGTGGGTGGGAGGAATTAGTGGTATAAAACTACTGTAATTCACTAAATAAGAAAATATTCATGCACAAGGCATTTTGGCAATGTTTTGCACTGAATGGCCTTTTTGTCGCAACCTTCATAAGAAAATATCTTGATGAGAATATTTTAAAACTATCATTATAGGTTATTTCTACATGCATTTAAGTATCATCAGGCAGCACTGGGTTCAAATATATGCTGTTGTCATATTCCATTTCAAATTAGGATTGTGAAATCAACATGCAAATCATGGAATATGACTTGATGGGGAAACTCTTTTGTGAATAAAATACTATTTCTCCACTTTATTCCCTAAAAGACAGTGTAGAATAGTTCAGAGAAACAAGTAACATTATTTGTCATGGTTAAGATTTTGACACACCTTATTGGCTATCTTTTTTCTTTTCTTATTACAGGGTAGTAAATCTCCTTTCCCTGAGCTTTTGGCAGCCCCATTTGAATGTACTGCTCAAGTACACGCTAGTAATTTCGTTTATGTGAACAAACTTATCCAATATTGGCAAACAAATGATAATGCAGTTGCAATTGACAACGAGGTTAATGATTAATGCTTATTTTCAACATTGCACAATTTTTTGGTCATTTTCCTGATGTGTGACTTGTTACATGAATTGATTATGAAATGAGGGTAAACTTAACTTAAATATGGGAGAATATGAGAAAATTATCATGATAATGATGAATATAATGATTATCACTAATATCTTAATCGAGAAATTTGTATGAGGTTGGAGTGTTAGACATAAAACAATAAGGACTTCTTTATGTTATGGTAGTCAAATGCAATAAGGAATATACTTTATACACTACAACATAATGCTTTTGTTGATGCCACGCCACAATGTATTTTCTTATTTTTTTCTCAACTCTTCATGAAGTCTTATTTATTGGATTATACTCCATGCTTACGAAGTTAAAACCAAATGAATATCCAGTCGATCCTAATCTGTGAAGTCTAAATACAGTTTGGATTTTGGAAGAAAAACATGAAGCGTAGAATAGCATAAGCTCAAAGTAAATGAGTATGTATAGTACTTGTATTATAAATGAGCATGGAGCTCCATAGCGAATGTGTGTTGCATGGCTTAGAAATCTGCATGGTGGTGATGTCACAAAGCTCACCTTTTAATCCGTTGATGTATTTTACTGCTCAGTTGCATCCCATGTTGTCTTCTGCTGCTTTTATCTTACTTCCATTTAGATGCCTTCCAACTTCAGATGATGGATGTTGTTTTCCGCATAAGATCCATCCTTTTGAGGCATTTAACTGCATTATGAGTCTTTAACTTGTTCCAGTATTTTTCCTTCACTGGCCTATGGAATTAATGTGCATTCAATGCTCCAAGCATTGTAATGCAACTAATTATCTTCTGTTTTCCATCATACTTATCAAATCCTGAAGTGAACAATCGAACATTTTTACAATTTCAGGAGCAGATTTTGAAGATGGTACTATTAGTATCCTCTTTCGCAAGTCATACGCGACATCCATTTTTTATAATCACTACTAATGCTTCTCTTTCTGATTGGGAAGATGAGTTCTCACGATATGCACCATCTATCAACGTTGTTGTGTACAAAGGGAATGGTGATGTTCGTGCTTTCATTAGGACTCTGGAGTTCTATAATGAGCAAGGTGCCATTATGTTCCAAGTTCTTATCTCACATTATGACACTGTTGTCCAGGTAAATCTTCGACTTTGTCTCTAAATCATTTTGTCTTACCTCACTATGCCATTTCTGGTAGATCTTTGAACTTTGAAGTGTCTTTTTGAGTTATATGGATTAAAATGCTTCATCAGATGTGCCTTCATTATTTAAGAGCGTGTTTTCTGGTGATGTTTCCTCTAATCCTATCTTTGGACAGGATATTGAAATACTCAAGTCTATTAGCTGGGAAGCGATAATCATAGATATTAGACAAAGATCCTTGGCACTAACTCCTCTAAGGAGCTTAAGTCACATCAATGTGCTAGCTGCTAACAAGAAATTGCTTCTTTTCCGTCAAATAGAGGTAAATGTATGTCTATTCTTAGTAAGTAGCTTTATTCTTATATTTCCACAATGAAACAATAAAAATTCCTTATATTAAACAGGATAGAAGGTCCGATTACCGCAAATTTCTCTCATTACTTGACCCAGAAAATGAAGAGACCAATCTTGATTTTCTAGAGAGTGGATATGAAACGGAAGTCATCAAGTTAAAAGAACGGTTTGCTAAATTTGTTGCATATGAGTGCAAGTCCTCCATGCCTAAATTTGTTGAGTACTGGGTTCCAGTCAGGCTCTCAGATCTGCAAATTGAACAGTACTGTGCTTGCCTTTTGTCAAATTCACATTTACTCTGCTCAAGTTCAAAGAACGATTCTTTAAGCAACCTTCATGAGATACTAATGACAACTAGAAAGGTTTGTCCTCAATAATTTTTCACCATCTTCTGATGTCATAGTCCTTTATCTGTGAAAAAATGTCTTCTAGAATATAGACCTGTTTTTTGTGTCATCTTGGCTCTATGGCATCCTAATAAATTGAGTTCCTTCTGCAGGTCATTAGTGTAAGGAAAATACTACCTTAATGTATCTCTTTACCTATTATTTATAAAGATTGTGTCCAAGCTATTAACTTTTAATAACTTTCACAAGCAAGTTGATAATTTCAAGCTAGTTGCTACTTGCCACAATTCAGCTGATAAAACTACTTCTCTAATTGGAATTTACTTTCCGCCTAGTGTTGTGATCACCCTTACCTGGTAGATTGGACTTTGGGGAAATCCATAGTAGAAGGCCTTCCAGTGGATGACCATTTAGATTTGGAAATCGAACTCAGTGGAAAATTACAACTCCTGAGTAGGATCCTTTTTGAGGTTAGGAAACGAAGGCTGAGAGTCCTAATTCTTTTTCAGGTATGTAGTACTTAGTATATTTCTGTTTAGTTAATCCAACATATTTTGCGTCTTTTTTTGTGGATATTGATAATAATATGGACCTTTCACCTGCCAGTCGCTACCTACATCTGGGGGGATATCTGTAGGAGACATACTGGATGACTTTATTCATCAGAAGTTTGGGAAAGACATTCATGCACGCATTTGCGTGAACATATCTCCTCCAGTTAGGAGATCCATACTGAACAAGTTCAACAAAAAAGAGAGTGGGGAGTTTGTCCTTTTGATGGAAGCACGGGCTTGTGTTCCCAGCATCAAGCTCTCAGCTATAGATACTGTGGTTCTATTTGATAGTGACTGGGACCCAGTGAATGATTTTAGAGCTCTGCAGAAGATCACCATAGATTCAAAATTTGAGCAGTTGACCGTCTTCCGTTTGTATTCATCTTGTACCATAGAAGAAAAGATACTAATCCTTGCGAAAAGTGGTTTAACTGTAGACGGTAGAATCCAAAGATTAAAGCAGAGAACTTGCCATGAGCTGTTGGCTTGGGGTGCCTCTTACCTATTCAGTAAGCGTGACGACTGTCATCCTCGCAAGAACATTACACAGTTATTCAAAGTTCTTTTTGATGATGTTTTCTCTGAGCTGTTAAACCTGTTGCCTGGTAGCAATGACAACATTGATTCTGCTAGCTGCTCAAGGATTTTGAGAGTGGAACAGGTAGCAGGTGCCTACACGCAGAATATTTCATTACCTATTGAATTGGAAACACAGTTGATGGAAGATTCCTCTGTCTTGGCTGGATTACTTGATGATGGACAAATGTCTTTGTTCTGGACAAATTTGTTTGAAGGGAGACATCAACCCATGGGGAGATGTTTATCTGACTCCTCTTTTAGGGCTAGAAACCAGCCTCGTTCACTGAATGTCCTGCACGAAGATTCTGAAAGGGGTAATGAATCAGACACACATCGGGAAGCAGTTGAGGGCGCTGTTGGAACTGAAAAAATTAGTACCATGAGTAATCCAAACAATGAACACAATCAACCACCGGTGTTCTCAGCCCAACAGTCAACAGGAAATTTCAGACCACCAACCCTGGGAAGTTCAAACGCTCAAGAGGCATTGGGAAGCCATAGTGTTCTTCAAATAGAAATGAATAAGATACAGATGGAGAGAGAGCAAGCTATGAAAATGTATGAAGAATTGGTACGTTAGCAATTGCAAAACTCCTTTTCTTTTTCCAAACTGGCAGTTTTTTTTTTGTTTCTTCTTGTTTCTAAGTGAAGCTGTTTTGTAGAAGTTGCTTCTCAAATCTGAGTTTGAGGAAGAGTTATTGGAGGTAACAAAGAAGTATGATTTGCTGCTCGAGAACGTGGGGTTGGACATTGCCCAAAAGCAGGAAGAGTTTGATGCACGCTATGCGCGCGTGTATGCAAACAGCTTATTAGCGGAATTCATGATCAAGAAGGTAAACTCTGACTACACGGCAGATTTCCTCGAGCTGACGGAGAAAGGTAATTGTTAAACAAAACATTATCTCTTTATATTGGGCAGTTTTTTTGGTAGGAGTTATGAATGCAACTTTTGATGCTGAGCCGGCGGTCTCATTGGAAACAGCCTCTCTACTTTCGAGTAGGGGTAAGGTTTGCTTACACACACCCTCCCCAGACCCTACTCTTGTGGGATTCAACTGAGTTGTTGTTTGTTATTCTTTGTTATCTATGATGTAAGATTCCTTTCCTTGTATAGTTCTGTTTCATTTGGAACTTGCTTCAAATGACGAGGAGCTTCCCCTAATTATAATTTCGTCTTATCCATTATTCAAAAAAAAAAATACTACTCCCTCCGTTTGGAAAAAGTGTTCCTATTTTGACTTTGTGTAAAAATAAGGAAGTATTAAATTGTAGTTGACTTCCAATTTTGCCCTTGATGTGATAGGTAAAAGTAAGATGTGATGGATAGATTATTAGAGATAAAGTATGATGTGATAGGTAGGGTATGAAAAAGTAAGGGTAAAAGTGGTTTTTTAATAGAAAGTGGAAGTGTTTTGTTGGAAGTGAAAAAAATGAAAAAGGAAGTGTTTTAAAAAACAGAGGGAGTACAAGTTTTACTCCCAATATTATTCTTAACAGTCGTAATGCATGCACAGCCAAGTTATGTTAAACTTGATGGGTTGTTTGACTGTTTGGCAGTGAGCAGATCTGCCTTGATGCAGGACGAGATGCATCAGATGAGTTTCCGGCAAATTCTTCATGATCAGCTGGGGACCACTGCTGCTGCTGTTGCTACTAGTGTGACTCGGGAAAATGGGCCTCAGTTTTTACCAGTGACCTTGCAAGAAGGTCACGGATCAAATGCGTCATCTGCAGCACGTCAAACTATGCCATTTTCGTGTGTGAGTTTTTCGGGGAACCTTGAAGCATGGAGCGAGATCAGAGCCCCCCCTCCACATCTAAGACGGTTGACACCAAAAGTCCTGTTATGTTGAGATTAGTTCCATCTTCCTGATCAGCAACTACTTATACGAAAGAGGTATTCTAAGTTAGGTGCGTAGATTAAGTTTTAACCGACAAAAGAAACACAACTCTCTCTTTTTTTGTTCTGAAGAATTAACATATGTACAAGAAGTTGCCTCTTTCTTTCCTTGGCAAACATACAATCTTTTTGGCTTTTAGGATATAATTGTTAATATATACAGTAATTTTCTTAGTAAATGTATGTGAGTTGACCCAAATGGATATACTTCAAAAGAGAAGAGAAAGAATAGAGAAAAGAAAAAAGAGTTGTATATATATATATATACTCCCTCCGTTTTTTAAAACACTTCCTCTTTCATTTTTTTTTTATTTCCAACAAAACACTTCCACTTTCTATTAAAAAATCACTTTTACCCTTACTTTTTCATACCTTACCTATCACATCATACTTTATCTCTAATAATCTATCCATCACATCTTACTTTTACCTATCACATCAAGGGCAAAATTGGAAGTCAACTACAATTTAATACTTCCTTATTTTTACACAAAGTCAAAATAGGAACACTTTTTCCAAATGGAGGGAGTATTACAGATGAGATGATGGTGCGAGGATATTGAATGAGATAAAGTAGTAGTAACACACGGGAAGAAAAGAATCTTGATGGAGCATTCGAGTGAATCGATTGCTATATATAGGTGTATCGATTGACATATATATTCACCTCATATTAGTCATTGACCCTATCAGCATTTGGCCGGATTTCAATCCAGATGATGATGAATCATGTAGTAACCCAAAACATATATATAAATATATATATATATATATATATATAGTGTCACCTGCATGAATTGCAAGATTGTAGTCACAACAAACACATGTATCGAGGTGAGGGGTGCACGCCCCTCAGCTCTTAATTACTGTGCAAGAATGTATATATATATATATATATACACACACACACACCACGGGCTTCTTATTCTCCTACACCACCGAACGAGGGAGAAGGTAATTAGTGATTTGTTCCTTCTTAATTCAATTCCTTTCTGTTCCCGAATAAAGTTGAAGATTGCACGCTTTTTGAGTGTAGTCCAATTTATTGTATCGGGCGGGGCATTTTATTCATTTCATTTTTTTTTATTATCAAACAAGAGAATTCGATCACACAGGGAGTAGTATACATATATATAAGAATAAGGCAAAAAGAAGAAGCTATAGATTTGATTAAAGAACAGTGTGTGATAATTATAAGACATGACATGCATATATAGATCAGATACGGAGCAATTAATTAAGAAAGAGTTCCATATAGAAATTACAAAAAAGAAGAAAAGGAAGACATTATAATAATAATAATAATATATGTCGAATATGTATAAATTATCGTGATCGAATTGCGGAGATGGATCATCTCATTAATTAGGTACGGTATGGTATGGTAGGGTAGGGTAGGGTAGGAGGTGGATATATATATATATAAATATGATATGGATCAGGTAGTAGTGTAAGTAAGAAGAGTAATCTTTGCTTGGGCGCATTGTTGGACATAGACAAAGGTGTGTTTTGAGCGGGGATTGATGGTGGCATTGGTCCATTTAGGAAGCACGAATATCTGAGGTTTCACATCATCATCACCATTCTTGTCGTCGTCGTCGTCGTCGAGTACTTGGGTGAGGCCAAAGGGCCTGGCGGAGAGGTGATCGATCCTGAGCCTCAGGTCCTTGACCTTGTCCTTGTGGGACGTGTTCTCCAGCACAACCCTGTGCCTGCAGTACTGTGTCTTCCCCACACTCCACGTCGAAATCACCGCGTGCGCCACGCTCACTACTGACTCCTGCTGCTGCTGATTCCATGAAGAAGAAGAAGAAGATAACTTGGCGAGGATTCCGTACATGGTGGCGGCGGTGTTCATGGTCGCCTCGGCCTGATCGTAGTTGCCCCGGTTATCGTCAAATTTGTCGTTCTCGTCGGGACCGCCGACCACGGCTCCCAAGAGGATGTTGGGGTTGGGGTTGGGGTTGGCTTTCCAATCCGTTTTACTGCTGCTGCTGCTGCTGCTGCTGCTAGTCTTATATTGCACGGGAATGGAGGCGCCTCTGTGGTGGACATACTCTGGGAACTTGGAGCCGTAGCCGACGAGGTAGCTCATTCCCATGCGGTTGTTCCCCAAGATGTAGTCGGCCTGGGATTGGGCGAAGCGGATGATATCGCTGCGGGTGACGACCCCGGCGGGGCAGGTGACGGAGGAGGCGATGTGGTCGGAGTAGAGGGCGAGGAGGAATGCGGCCCCCGTGGAGTACTCCAAGTTGTTCCACGGCCGGACGTAGATCAGGCCCTGCGGGGTGCGTTCCACGTTGTCCCCGGCGCCGGCGTTCTTCTGCATGCAGGCGCACACGAAGTACTCCGCCCTCCTCATGTACTCCCTCACCACGTCTTCTCCATTCTTATTAGTACTGTTGGTGGGAATTCTCTTGGATTGTTCCCAGATGGTGTCATCCGTGGACACCAACACCTGAACACCCGCATATTTGTTGTCCCATGAAAACTCCTTCACAGGGTCCCCTGCTCCGCCCGACACCAGGTATTCCAGGTATTCCTTTTTCCCCGTTGCCCGGAACAACCATGCCGCCGCCCATAGCAGTTCATCCTATTCAAAAAAAAAAAAAAAAAACAGTTCTCATTTTCACTTTTAGCAAATTTTATGTTATAGTACTTTCATGCTATATATTATGGGTAAAAGTAGCTCAAATGTAATGCACAGATAAATAATGAATACTCCCTCCGTCCCATAAAACATTTCCTGTTTCAAAAAAGGCGCACTCTTAAAATGAGTAATTTTAGTGTTATTTTCTAATTTTGCCCTTACTTCTTAAAAGAATAGGATGAGATGTGTAGAATAGATTAGTCATAATTAAAAAATAACACTAAAATTACTCATTTTAAAGGCGTGCCATTTTTGAAACAGGAAATGTTTTATGGGACGGAGGGAGTATATATTATGTATAACGTTCTACGGAACAAGAGACGAGATGAAAATATTATTTCATGAAATGAGTACCGAAAAAAGTCGATAATGAATCCATCCGTCTCATATATCTCTTCAATTCTCATTTGGAAGAACGTGCAAAATCTCAATATCTTTTAAAATGATTTTATTTATAAATTGGTAGTATAGAAATAATTTATCCCAATTTATTTTATGAAGAGTGTGCAAAATCTCGATCTCTTTTTAAATCTCATTTAGCGACAAAAAATAATTTATTTTATCAAGTGATCAACGGCAACAATTATCGAGAGAGACGACCCTAACAATATACTCCATCCGGACCTAAAAATCTTTCCTGTTTTGATTTTTTGGTCAAATCATGATAATCTTTGACCATAAATTACATATCGTCTAAATAACTAAATGATATAAAACTTTGATATACCAAAATTATATCCTAAAATGAACTCAATTATATTGAATTTATATTATAATAAAATATTCTTTTTTCATAATTTTTGGATAAAGAATATTATTATTTGACGAAAAAAGTCAAAGAGGGGAGATAGTAAAAGAAAGGGAGTGGCAATTAACTAACCTCGTAGGCAGAAGATTCGTAGCATCTTTTATCCTCTTGTGGGATTACACTTAGGTATATTCCTCTGTACTTATCAGCAAACTCGAAAAGCTTACCATATCATAAAAAAGTAATTAAGTCAAATATGTTAAGATTATATATAAAAATACCCTTGATGTGATGGGTAAAAGTAGGATGTGATGTGTAGATTATTAGAAAAAAGGTATGATGTGATAGGTAGGGTTTGAAAAAGTAAGGGGTAAAAGTGGTTTTTTAATAGAAATGGGTAAGGGATTATGGGACACAATTTTTTTGAAACGTGTAAATCTTTTTGGAGACGGAGGGAGTATTTGGTTATGATTGATACGTACCGAGACTGCATGGGATATGAGAGTTTGAGAGTAGGAAGGGTTAGTGGACTTGAAGAGCATAGAAGCGGCGGCTAAGGCGGCTGCGGTCTCGGCGGCAACGTCAGAGCCCGGATGGGTTTCATCAATCTTGAATGCATCCCTCGGGGTATCCATGTTTTCCGGACTCTCCCATTTGGCATGATCCATGAATGCAATTCCCACCTATATATATATATATTACAATACATACAATTTATAAATGAATAATACCCGGCCGCCCATTACATACATTATATTTCTCTGTAAACGTACATTATATTACGTGCTGTATGTACCTGTACCCAGAGAACATTAGGGTTAGGGTGAGCTTTGAGGAGGTAATCGGTGCCCCATTTAATGGCATCCAAAGTATTGGCGTACACATCTTGGGGGATACCACCACCACCTCCGCCGTATTGTAAGGCTGTCCAGGACAGAATGGTCATTGTGAATGCCATTGGCAGTCCGAACTTGACGTTGTCTCCTGCGTCATAGTATCCTCCCACCAGGTCCACCTGCATGCACAAACCGCAAACCAAAAACAAAAAAACAAAAATCAAACTAAACGAATACTAGTAGTTAATAATATATAATCAAACAAACAAACGCACTCCTTGGGCCATTCCATCGGTGAGTCCAGAATCGAAACGCCAGTCCACAAGCTTGTTCTTGACATCGGACAATTTCCCGGACCTTTGGGCGTACAAGAACAGCGGTGTCAGCTCTAAAGCTTGCCGGTAGTTGAAACCACCGCCGCGGACCTCCGCCACTAACAAGAACAACAACAATATTCCCACACTACTCATCATCATGCCGCCTCTCATTTTTTTTCCCTCTCCCTCCGGCCTACTTCTTTCAATTCTTTCCTCCATCTCTATGATTATTATATATTTGTTCATAAAAAAAACACACACACACACACACCCATCATAACGTTGAAATGTCCGTCAAGTCACGCCATCTAAAAGTTGAAAACATGATCCAATTAACTCCGTAGCAGACAGTAAAGAAAATGGGTAAATAATTATTATTCTTTACCACTACTCCGTAGTCGTGACGAAATGTATACAAGGATTAAAAAAAATAAATTAATAAAGATGCACCTAGCTAGCTAATACTTGAGAAACTGATCGGACTGTTTCATTGTTAGAAATTAATTAATTACACTTTAATTATTCTAATTTATAAAGAGTGCAATTGGAATCTAAAAATATCATTGATGGATTCTACTTCACCGACTACGTAAGTGATATAGCCTTCAAGAAGTGATATGCTCTCTCCTTTTCTTAGAACATTCTCTCTTTTATTTTTTGTTTTGTTTTCCCTAAAACACTTCCACTTTCTATTATAAAACCACTTTTACCCTTACTTTTTATTCTTCGTGGCTGAATACTCCATCTTTGCCAAATAGCTGAGCCAACTACGTCATCGGCCCATTTGAATAAACCCATCATAGGACGGAAGTCCATCCTTAGCGAGTCACCGTGTTGGTTAAAAGGTAAACGGACCGGACCCCCTCTCTCGGCCCAAAACCTCTGAATATAATAAAGGGACAGTTAACTATAAACACGTTGGGCTTGTCTCGCGATATGGCATTAGGCTCGATTTTCATATATCATACTTAATGAAACTTCATAATGATTATAGTTACTACTAACACAATATTTAAATTCGAATTCAAATACAGTATCAATGAGTAGAGGTGAGGTCAAAACACACTATTTGGTAATCCTCTCAAATGGAATTACAGAAGATTTCTTGTAAAAAAAAAAGTAATTTTGGTACATAATAACTAGGCCACTAAAGTCAAAAGGGAAAAAGAAATAATTGAAAACGGGAAAAACAAAAAAGTAATGGCAAAAAATTGTCAAAAAGGAAAGAAGTACATCTCCCAAAACATTACGGAGCATTTAGGTTTTGACTTCATGAATCTTAAAGAAACTTTGAAAAATATACGATATTGAAATATTGGACGCAACTTTATTTGCGCAATTTAATAGAAAGAAAGTATGTTCCCCAATTCTTTCATTCTATATGACTAATTCCCGATTAAAACTTTAGTCTACTTAATTGTGCCTTGGCTTAAGATATTCTTGGAGAAATTCACCAAAGTTTGATTCTCTACAAGTGTAGAGAAATTGGCTCTTTGTGCATCAATAAATTAAGAAACATGGACGAATAAATATTACATTTTATTTCCCCCATTCCAATTTAAGTGGTCAAACTTTTACCACATTCTTTACACATTTTTGTTACCCATGTGAAAAAATGAATGGTTTGGAGATGTAAAGAGAAGATCAATAGAGCATCCTATCAGAACGATTGATCAAATTGTGAATAGCCATGTGACTAGAGGAAGAAGTGGACCTAAGAAGACTTCACATGAAATGGTCAAGAGTAACCTTCGTGTGAATGATCTCACTACAGATATGGGTACATGCATGACATGGCACAATAATGTTCTTTGATCCATGTAGCCGACCCACCTAGTGGGATAAAGCTTTGTTGTAATCATATACCAACTTTCAAATAAATTGAATTTAAAATGACTTTATTCAAACATCATGAATCATAACAACATAAATTGGGACGGGAGGAGCAACGAAGTCAATAAGAACTTCAAAAAAAATTACTCTTCTTTATTTTCTTACTCATTTGATAAAATAATAGAGTATACTCAATAAATAATATCCTCAAAACCTAAAGATATTGAACTTCATCCAATAAAATTAGACCATTGCTACTCCTAGGTAAAGTTTCAAATTTCATCAATGGCCATCGAACCTATATTCTCCTACCTATACATCCAAGTATTCATAAAAAACAATCTCCATCTCCAGGGAATAACAACAACATTAGGCTCTGTTTCAAAGTTGCTATTGTGTGCAGGCAGGCAGGCAGGCAGGCAGTACAAGACAGACCTAATTTCAAGATGATTACAGCAAAACAAAAAAAAACATGCCTCAGAACAAAAATGTAATACAGAAACCTATGAGGTTACACACCTATTGCTGGGATACTCGATGGACTAAATAGTAAATATTCAGAGCCTCAAGTAGTGTAAGCAGTGGACGGGCATTAAGGGCGGAATTACAACACAATTTCTTACAAGTGGCTCTGATACCAAATCAGAATTTGGAGATGCTATCAAGGGGCGCTAGCGAGGATTTATCAGCAAATGAATGACTATTCACAGTTCATCGCGTTAGAAGAGAAGCAGACCTTCTTGCTAATAATGTTACGTTAGGTGGGAGTTATTATGTACTCCTTATATTAGTGCATACTTCAAAATTAACAGAAAAGCTAGCTAGATTCCAGTGGGTGTGCACTGGTACATAATACTTATCAGAGCATAAAACCATCCATCCAACAAATTTACATGATATTTACCATAACTGAGTCCAACATGTATAATTTGGTACAAGTTTGACGAATAATCATTATTCCTTAAAAATAAATTAAGGCTGCAAAAGAAAACGGCTTGTATATCAACAGAAAAAAAGAATACGTGTATTCGGTTCGATTAGGCATAAATATGATACTCACATATGATCTTACCCAGTGCCCAAAGAGAAAAAGGGAAAGAAGCATTAAGAATATTTCAATACCATATTACAACCTTCTGTAACCATTCCCATGTTTCATTAATGTGTACTTGAAATACTGATTAGCACTCACAACAACCCATACAAGAAACAGTTCTAGATCAACTCTTCTGACTAGTTTGGCACTCTTCTTCACATTCAAATTCCTCCCAATCAGCATTCAGTAATCTAGAGACATGCATCAACTAGCCGAGAAGACATATTATATGCCACATTCCTTTTTTTTTGTAAAAAAAAAAAACTATTCACCCAACTTGAACAAAAAAAAAGAGCAATACTGAAACTAACTCAATGGTAAATGCACAATCAAAATTCATCTGTACAGTTAAACTACGAATTCTTCTACAGCTATAATAGCCTATAATTGCTACCATCATATGAACTGCAAAAGCTTTTGCACGTAAGCTACGACTATTTCATTAAGGAAACATAGTGAGGAACTGTTACAGCACATGATCTGTAATTACATAATTACCTCAACACTTGAAAGCAGAATACTTTCGTAAGGGAGAGGGTACATCTTATTTGACAATCAGCAACAGTAGAGAGGCCACGAACGATTAGTTGTCCTTGAGGGAAGAATTCATTGAATACATGTGCCCTGGAACATAGGAATCATGATTATCAAAGAAAAAGCATTTCTTAACACTAATAACTCTATTATAACGTAGTATCTGTCAATACATTCTCAACCCATTAAGCACGTAGAGTTAGTCCCCATTGGGGATCGGAAGGTCTTCGGCCATTTAGATCAATACAGGAAAAGAATTTTGAGTCATTGCTCCATAAACACTTGAGGTAGAATGGAAAATGCAGTTCATGATTATGATGAATATTCCTCCAAGTAGTGCAATTCAAAGCATGCTCAATTTAAGAGTCGAGTGGGTCAGATTCTTTTTCTCAAAGCTAAAACAATGAGGTGCTCATATGTATTACAATACTAAAAAGCTTTGCCGGCCATGTATATTATATAGTGTTCAGTCAAAGTAACAGTAAAAAATGACATCTTTTTTTAAACTAATTTGGTCGATTAAAATTTGAATCTTTGCAGGACCACTTAGTTAAAGCTTCAAAACTTGCTTCTGCCAAAAAAACTTTGCACATAGTACACATTCCCATATTTATCTTCTCATGTGAACAGAGCACAGAGATACAGAGTAAAAATAGATGTTCGATATATACATGCGTAGCATATGCAAGAAAAACAGTAAAAGATCAATACAAATTTTATGTGGTTTCCCAAAACCAGGTAGTCCACAAGTGGGCTCATATAAATCATAGAATTATATAGAATATTTATAATAATCTTGATACATATCCTACAAGGATTACATGGTCTAAATTCCCTTTCACTTGGTTTCTATCTATATGGCCACAAGTCCCAACAAAAAATAAATTATCTTAATGTTACTCCCTATTTTGGGTTTACCCATTTAGTGAAGTACGACAACCACGAAACAACCCAGTAAATCCCACTCGTGGGGTTTGACAGTACCGAGTCATGGAAATTGCTAGTCATGTGCCATTACTAAATGCAGTAAATTGATATTGTAAAATCGCTCTTTGACGAATGAAAAATCCATGCATAAAAATATGCAGTACCAGGTCAAGTAATATTTTACTCCATGGTGATGGTCCTATAAGCCTTAATTACTTTAACATTGAAGTCCGGCAACCATTGTAGTCATAAAAGGCAAAAAACTTACCACAACACGCAAGACATTTTGTTTCTTAAGATGGCCTCCACATGAGAGCCGTCACATCTGGCCTACTAGGCATCCCATGTCCTGGAAAAGAAATAACCAAGTTAAAATTTCTGCAACGTGAAGGGAATCAGAGCACATAAACCCTTTATGCTGCTGAAGCAGTATATCAAAACATATTACCTGAAATTGGGCCGCCAGTCGGAGGAGCATTAGATGCAGAGGGCTGAAAACCAATGTTGTTCATAGGTGGTCTATCATGAGGTCTCAAATAGCCTGCCAGCATCAACTTTGTTAGTCCTCAAAACCAGAGCATCCATGAAAGGGTTCAAATGATCACCAAGGAGCTCATTATAGCAAATTAGACCACAAGGTTCTTATACAAAAAGGCCCAACTTATTTGTACCACGTATCATTATTTTTCATTTGTGGCAACTGGCAAAATGTAGAACCACATTGAAATTTTAGCATGTGTAAAACATAATTGTGTAATACATGACCTATAAAAAAGTTCAGCGCAAAGAGAAGAAAAAGCATTTTCGAGAGAACACCAGCCTTACACAACGAGGATGGGTGGAAAGACAAAGAACTGTGACAGAAAGGGAGAAGTGAAAGAAAGGCAGGTGCACTTCAAGTATATTTTTAGTTACATGTTGGGATAATGAATCATAACTTACCAAATAAAATTCAACATTTATATTGAGCCATTCTGAACTTCAGAGTTTTTACTATTGCTATTCAAATTTATTTTTTCAAGGCATTACCCCAACCCTGAAATCTACACATAGCACAACTGCAAAAAAGTAATAGCTTCACCAAACAATCATTCACCCACCTGATGATCTTCCTCCTCCCATCCACATACCACGCTGTTGATCACCAGTAAATTCATTTGATTGCACTCTCCATTGTTCGTCACCTACATATCGCCATTGCCTATCAGGTCTATACGGTAATGGATATGCCGGTGGTCCTGGTGGATATGGATGCTGAGAATTTTCCTGCACAGCTGGCCTTGTATAAGAAAAATTATTGTGTGGGGTTTGAGGTGGGGGATTAGGATGCATAGGCCTTTGAGGAAAAGGTGCATTAGTTGGTTGAAACTGCTGGCTAGATTGTGGATGCGGAAGGTTTATATATGCATCATTATATGCAGTCGGTTCGAGCGTATTACAGACACCTACAGGAACAGAGAGAGGTTGAGGCCCATGAGGAGCATTTACAGACATTTGGGGTAGTCGATGCCCCTGCAAAAGAGTACAATTCAGCAAATCTTGAAACAGATAATCTAAATAAAATGTAATCTCACACACACACACACACACACACACACAAAATCCCACAACCAGTGGTCTTACATTTTGCATGCTACAAATGTCATGTGGAGCTAAAGGTTGCTGATATGCAACCATAGGTGAAGACGATGGCACTGATGATGCAACTGACTGCAAATGTTGTAATGGCAGTGAGGGCTGAAGTGGCATTGAAGTCAGAGTAAATAAATGGGGAGGTGGTCCAGAGGGTATTGAGGGAAAGAGGTGTGGCTGTGACGGAGGTATCAGAGGCAGGGAAGGAGGGCATGGTAACGGAGGTGGCGGTGGAAAAGAAGATGGAGGTTGTGGGGGAGGTGATGAAGGCAAAGGTGGAGTGTCAGGAGGAGAACCCGGAGGCAAAGGCGGAGAAAAACCCACAGATGGAGGCAATTCAAAGGGACTTTTTGAAGCTGCTTCCAGCACTCTCTCAAAACCAGGCTGATTAGGAGCACTTCCAAAAGGACTATCGGTGAACAATGGACTTTCTTCCTTTTGGTGTTCAGATACATCTTCCATTTCAAGCTCACCATCTACATCTTCCAATATGTGACTGCGCCTATCTTTTGGAGTAACTGCATATTGTTCAGTATTGTCTCTTATTGCAGGAGTGCCATCCACCTGTGATATCTCAGTAACTTCTTGGGGAGGACTGTTTAGAATTTCTTCATCCTCTTCCTCAAACACATTAGAAGATAGAAAGCCAGGCAACTTACATGTGTTACTGAAAAAAATTAAAGATATTAATAGAAAACATTAGAGCCATTAGCATGGATATATCAACAAAAAAATGATTATAAGCCTGAAGTAAATTGAAAAGAGGTGGAACAAACTCATTGGATTTATCACACGATGCAAGGTAACAGTGTAAAACTTGAGGCTATTCATCCATCTAAAATTAAATACAGAGTGATAATGGATTGAAGCTAATCAGCAATATAGTTTCAAAGCATACCTGCCATACTCATCAACCTCCATGTCTTCCATTTCTCTTATTGGATCATCTAAAGCACGCTCGGCTCGAGAAGGGCATCTAAAGGAGTGCCCACCAGCAGAAACATCATCGTTTGCAGTACCGATTTCATCAATACAGCGGCGGAGAAGAGATTCTGGTAGGATTTTCCTCTCAAGCCACAACCGCAAGACCTGCACAGAGAACATAGCCAGTACTTGAGGACTATACAAAGCTAAAGACAGAAACATCATAGGAGACCCATGACAACATGGAAGCATTCATGTTCATATAGGAGTACCTTAAGACACTGACGACGATTTTCACGAGCACCAGCTCCTTGTGGGACAGCAGCCAACAGTAGTCGTGACAATGCTTCTTGAACAGCAGGAATATATGAGGCACTCGCTATGCCTTAATATGCAATGAAAAACAAGTGTAAAAAAACTGCAATATATAAAAACTGATTGCATCACGCATCTTAAAATGGAAGAATATTTGTTACAAATTCTGTCTGATAATTAAACAAAATGATAAGGTAAGTTAATGTTAATCAACTCAAGTGGGAGGGTGCTTGTGGTTGTGTTGAAACACAGTGTTTGAGCTTCTTTTGCAGAAGCACAGTTTTAAGTGTTTGACAAATCTTATTGTGATGATGACTTATGGCTTTTGGCTTCAGAAGTGCAAAATAGGATCCAGAAGTCTTTCAATAAAGCTAGGACTAGGTGCATCCTCAAAGTAGCAAAATCTACCTCCGAAGCACCTTCAAAGCAGCAAAGTGCATCAAAGAAGTAAACAAACATAGAAAATTGGGCACTCTTAACCCTGAAGGGAGCAGCAGTCTCAAATATCCTATCAAGAACTGAAACCAACTATGGCATATTCTGAGCTATAATCCTAGTCTTTCTTTTACTTTTCTCTTACCATAATAACATCTCTCTTTCTTAAACACTGTATTCTTACCGATCAACCAACAATTTCTCATAAAACACAGCTCAAATTAATCAATAAGTAGACAAGATACTCTAGAAGGAAGTTAATCTTATCTGGCACACAGAAAAATAAAAACTAGAATAAACAAAAACCTACTCAGCCACAAGGACTGGCAAGGACAGGAAGAAAAACCAACCAATAATCCTGCAAGTATTCCATCGCTTTCTAATTTCTATGGACACAGATCAAAAAATGAAAATTGAAACAGTTACAAAAATCACCTAAAGTAAACAAGCAAATCAATGTACCCACTGCAAAATCTGAGTCCAATTATATTATATTATATATATATATATATATACACACACACACACACATATACACACACGAGTAAGGCAGAGGTGAGTATGATGCACAACATACACCGCAAGAATCTAAGCAATGGAACATGTACTCCCAAATAAAGAAATCAATATTCGAAGTTGCATGGTGAAAGTGTGAAACTACACCTTGATGCGTGCCCCACAGATATGTGTCCTAAATGAGCCTTGAGGCTAATCCCAATTTGGGTAACGGTGAGGCATACTACCTAAGGTGTGTGCCTTTTAGTTTTGTGAAATCGGTTTTTTTCTGGGCCAATTGTTTAAACTCAAAGGCCTATTTTTCTTTAGAGAATTGTTATTTCAGGCTAGCCTTCTGTCTTTGCTGTTTCTTCTTCCTGCAACGACTTCATCTGCTCTCTTTTCCTTCAACTGTGATTTCTTCCTTCAATGGCTTCATCTGTAATATCTTCCTTAAACAATTTTCATAGGAGATTCATTCCTCAACATGGCTACTGTTCATCTACTTATTCGATTTTAACTTACCTAAATGGCATTGCACGAGTTATGAACGTTAGACATTTACCTTGTAATTGCTCGAGTTATGAAAGTTAGACATTTACCTTGTAAATGTGTTTATTTTTCTTACACAAGGCCAGCTGTGCATCATACTCACCTCTGTCTATGTCTGGGTCAAACACTTGATTTCAGTACAACAGATATCTAAATTACACTCCGTATTATTCCCCAATTTATCATGCTTTTAATCACATGGGCTTGCCTTAACGTATTTTTTGGCTTTTTAATATTATAATGAGTCTCAAAGCTGGAGTCTTTGAGTCTAGATAACTGGAGTAAATTGTAAAGAACAAGACCTAAATCAAGGACCGACATTAAGCACTTCCTTTTTGTGATGGATATGGATGAGCTAACTAAGACTACAAAATTAATTACCTTGATGTCTGTTGTTTACTAATGATATTGTTTTGACCAATGAAACTAGAGTGGGTGTTAATGGGAAGTAATGGATGTGGAGAAAGACACTAGACTCAAAAACTTTGAGACTTAGCATAAGTGGAATAGAATACTCCCTCTGTCCGAAAATAACTTACCCATTTGCTTTAATCACTTCTTCTCTTCCATATTTTGGAAAAGAATGTGTGGTCCAAAATACTTCTTTCTTCTAAACAAATCTAACCACTCACATTTCACTTTTCCAAAACTTTTTATCATCTTATCAACACTTTTCTTAACCTCCGTGAAGTGAAAATGGATAACTTATTTTTGGACACAGGGAGTATATGGAATGTGCAAGTATAGTAATGATAGAAACAGAGATCAAAGTTTTGTGACTAGAGAATCGAGATATCCCGACCAATGATCTTTTTAGATATTTGGGTACATACCATTGAGCTGTTAAAGGGTGACATATTATGAAAATGAAGAAAAATGAAATATGTATGTATGATGGATGTGTGGAGCACACTCGAATGAATAAAGAAAAATTTGCACTAAATAGGACTAACATATAAGTTATTTCTCATGGTAGGACTTAAACTTTTTTATTCCCTAAATAGTACTTAATAATGTATAGTGGGAGGAATAATGTCCAGTGATGGCGGACATTTACTTGAATAATGACTAATGGATAATGACCAATAGTCTTACATTGGGAAATGAAAACATATGGTCATATATTGAGAAAGTCATTATGTTTTAGTCCTATTTAGGTAAATTCCCCATGAATAAAATAACACGTGAGCTCATTAAAAAAAATAAGAGGCATTTATTGAAGATAATTAAAAGGGAATGGACTAGGGTGCTTTGCAAACATATAAAGAAGGCTTAGTGATGCACTAGTTAAGATAGTTGAGGAGGGATTTGTCTTGTCTGAATTTGAAGAAGAGTGTGGTTATGGATAGAGAGAAATAGTGAGACAACATTTTGGTGAATCATCAAACATGATTCTCCTCTTTGTTCATGTAGCCGAACCCAAGTTACTTGAGATAAGGCTTTGTTGTTGTATTCCATACTCAAGTGTGTTAGGTGTTAGCCTGCAACAAGGAATTCTGTTCTGATTTACAGCTCGGGTTGTGGACAAGTTTTTGTTCATACTAGTGAATAACCTGGGGAATCCATTGTTACCCTTGTTACATAGTCTTCAATAAACTCTTTTATCTCCACGGATTTTTACTCTATCAGGGTACTTCCACACGGGTGGCAGTAGGTGTGGGAGGATATTAAGATAACATAGTTAAATAATAGGAATTTTAATGATATTACTTAATCCTTCATGAAAAAATTATGCAAAGTAGATAATCCACATAATATACGTAGATAAAGGATTAATTGGCTACTGTAGGCTCTTAGACTACTTGGTGAGTTATGTAAAGAAATCTTCACTTATGAACTTGAAAATGTGGGTTATACAACTCACCAACAATACAATATGAGATTGAGAATTAACACTTCGGGTTTTTGGGAATCCAATACCTTTATGACTATGAGAACATTGAGTAATTGAATCCACAAGGAAGAACAAATCCACACGGCGATGATAGCTAGGTTCATTTTCCAATTTGAGGATAAGAAGTTCCACAACCTACACAAAAAGAGAGGATGGACTAGAGCTCGGTCAGATATGCAAGGAGTGAATGGAAAAGACAAATAAAGAAGGTACATCTGCATTGAACTACAATGCTGGCGGCATACGACAACATTCTCACTGCAATCAAATAAGCCAGCCAACCAAGCCACAGACACTTTTTGTATTCCAAATGAAACAATTTGTATACTGAACTTGCAAAATAAATAGAGCTACCACATCAAAAGAACATGCGGAAAAGACGAGTAAAAAGATGTATAAAAAGAAAAGAAGAAAAAATACAAGAATCATATATAAGTCAGCATATACCAATTTCCTTTTTTTTTTTGAAAAGTTGTACTCACTCCATTCTAGGTTGACAAAACCACAAAGCTTAAGAAAACATATTGAGATGTTGAACTAATCAAAATTTTTAATGCAAACAACAACAACCTAGTTGGATCCCACAAAAGTAGGGTTGGGGAGGGTGTGTACACAGCCCTGGCTCCTACTTAAAGAGGCTGTTTCCAAGAGATCCCCGGCTCAAGCTACACAAATAAAAAGATCACAGGAGGTATACCAAGCACCCAAAGGCAAAGAACAAACTAAAGTTATCGAATGAACACTATTGCAATCAAATAGCACCAAGCATACAAGGCATACAAAGCCTTAACTAATGTCCCTCTTGGGGAAATGGTAAATTGTATTGTGTAAGGGTAAATGGGAAAATAGCGACTGCATAGATTTTATAAAGACGAATAAAGGCAGGAACAAAGAAAAGTAATTGAATAGGACCAGGAGTATTTTCTATTGGTGACGCACGTAGCACTATTATAGTGTTAATACAAAAAAAATTGTAACAAAAAAATGTGGCAGTAAAAATTACTCAAAGCATATTCCATGTTATTATCATATGGTCACAATCACAAGGAAAAAGGGTAAACTAAGTTTGAAATCAATTCGCAGCTGGATATTTGCATTTTACCATATGAGAAGTGATGATTATGTCAAAGCAAGCAATCCATAGGCAGTATTACACACACCCACATTTCATTTCCAGTAGGAAAGAGGAAAGAGAAGATGTGGTAGCTACCTCATTAGCAATCCCATACTTTGCACAGTCAATTGCAAGTCGTGTTGCACGCCCTATACTCTCTTTAGTCCTCGACAAAGTTTCTATCATTCCCTCAAAAGCATCACGCGCAACAGCTGCCTCAGTATTGCCGCTAAGTGAGCCTCCAGTTGTCCAGTGTTCTGAACTGACTCTCCTTTCTTCTTGTTCTTCACACTCAGGAGGATCAATCGATGATAATTGACGAAACTCTGAGGCCGGAGATAGGCGAGGACAGAGTCCATGTGTATCAGAATGCACAATCTTGCCATGGCCAAATGAATGGGAGGGAAAATCAGGGTTAGGACTACCTCCTTGAATATCAGCATATGTGCTGAAAATGGGATGTAAGTTGCCAGGAGCATTCTGTAAATGAGCTTGCCTTCTTTTAGCCTGAGCAGCTGCTATGAGATTCTTCATTGACGTGTCTGTGTCCGACACTTTAAAATCAGTAAGAGAAAGCAGCTGATCATCTCTACCTGCTTCCAACCTGTTCATTATTACAACGAAAGAAGTTCAGTACAAAACGAACTATTTATATGTCACCAACTAATGAGAAACAAATATCATGATACCTTTCAGAAGGAACGGAAACAGTGTCGGTTAGATGTCCTGCTTCAAGAGCATGATCATTAGTGCGGGATACTGATATCAGGTTTTCTTCTTTCTTTTCTACAGAATATTTTGTCTTGCCTCTTTCAGTACTAGATTGATCCATAGAAGACTTTGGATTATCAGAAGCAGCAACAGGGGCCCAAAGAGAGCTAGCTACCACTTTCTCATGGGCTACATCATCTAATACATTATCAGATAGTTCTCTTGGTTTTTGAGGCTCTGACACAGACTTGACAGCTGTAACAGCCAAAGGGGACCTTTTGGGGGAGTTAAAAGTTGGTTTAATGTCCTTCGAAGGAACTTTTGAAGGTTCCAGTTTTACAGGACTACAGGAAAGGTTTGGAGTGGTTACTACTCTAGCCCTTTTCTTCGGCACACTTTCAGAAGTATGACAAGAATTGTCATCGTTTGGCTTGGTAGGTGGCTTCAATTTCTTTGACGATGCACAATGGTCTCTCCCTGAGACGCGCAGACCCTGCAGGGCAGGTGCAGAAAAAATACCGGGTGCATCAGGTTTTTTTAACGAAGTGGAAACGGGTGTGGGATTGCAATCCTTTTTAACAGAGCCCCCATGAACTGGTGTTTTGGGATCCCCATTACCATCATCATCACAAAGCCTAACGGCTCTCCGTTTTGTTGGCTGTTGAGGAATAGGTGAGGTGCAGGGCATAGCCTCCAATGCCTGACGACTACGTTTTGATGGCAGAGGAACATCTTCTACCACCACAATATTTAAACCAACAGCCTCTGTCTGTTCTTTTAGAGTCATACGATTATGAACTTTCCCCCCTGGCTTTGATCCTTTAATCTCTGAATTACTCAATCTTACATCAGCCCCTGAACTCCGACTATCAGTGTTTCTGCCTGCTTGAATAACCTTGTTGACATCACCAGCCCCATCTACACATTTTGATCGCTTTAATGGATGATTTCCTTCATTGCCCTGCAAAATGTTCCTTGCACGTCCAGGTTCAACTTTGGATGACCCACCAGAACTTCCAAGCTTGTTATTCTCCTGAATTTCATTTTCAGAACCAGCCACTTCAAGATGTCTTTTATCTTTCTGTAATTTTTTTGATTTCTTTTTACCATTAGTTTCCAAGCATGGCTTTAAATCTAAGGATAGCTTCTGTTTACTTTCACTAGGCACATCATCACCTCTCAAACCAACTGCAATAGCCTCTGCAGATGTATCACCAGCCAAGATATTAACATTTTGTACTAGATCTCCACCCTCCAATTTCCTCTTAGTTAGTTTCTCCTTCCATCCATTTGATACGTGCGGCCGTCCACTACCAGGAAGTAGAGCATCATTTGCAGAATTGAGTTTATCTTGAACATTTCTGTTTTTCCGGCTTTCCTCATCTATAGAGTGACATCCTTGACCGGATACTGATGTCAACTCCTTCACAGAGTTAGTACTACGGGAAATTTTACTTTCCTTTTTAGATAAAATAGTTGGAGGCGGTTTTGCAGAATCAAAAACCTTTGGCTTCAAATTACGATTATCTTTATCAGGTTTAATCTTTGAGCAGCGCTCCAAACTAGAGCAATCGCCCGGGCTTTCAGAATGAATCACATGCTTGGATTCATCAGAGTCAGCCCTGTCTGTTTGTTCAACCTTTACAGCATCATCTACTCCATCACTAACTAGAGCTTCCTTATTTGTATCAAGTCCCAATGAACAAGAGTTTTTCTGTTGCAACTCTTCAAATTCAGCACAAATATCCTTCACTGCTACAGCAATTTGCCCTTTTCCTGGATGCCGAGCTGACAACTTGCTCTTTAATTCACTTGAAAATGGCTGAATGTCTGCTGGGGCAACAAAAGCTCTAAACAGAACACCAGATAATTATATCATTAATCCCATTAAAGATAAATCGTAATTGCAATCTAATGATCAGCAACAGAAAAGAGAATTGAGTTAAATTAGTATGCCACTGCTGGCATTCAAAATCCAAAAGGTTAGAGATTACCTTTCATACTACAGCTACAGTTCCATTTCAAGATATTTCAAAGGACAACTTTTAAGAAAGAAGAGGCTTAATTGACATAAATACCCTTATTTTTATTTTAAATCAAATGAAAATAATACAGGTAATAACATTAAATATGAAAATAATATAATACAGGTAATAAAATTAAATATGAAAATAATATTAAAATAATATAATTATGATTATATATTTATGAAAATAATATGATCATTACAAAAAATTACGTTAAATTATTTTAAATGAAAACAGCTCCTCAAATAGTTGACAGAAACATCTTACAGCTAACAATTGAGTGCTAAACAGGGCCTATATATCTCACACAGCAGCAAGTTTAATAAATCAGCATGACCAGCCTCTTAATCCCTCCAAAGGCAATTATATACACCAGAATAGAGCATGAAAAGAGTGTCCAATAAAAAGAGTAAAAGCTCCTTTTAACTATATGGACTTCTGTATAGTAATATCATTGTTTTACGACTACAGTATCTATTTTTGTTTTTTATGCAAAATCATCCACACAGTACCCTAAATTTGTTTCACGTTACATTGGCCTTAAAACAACAATAAAAGTCTCCAGATTTGATGACACCATCAACAACAAGCAATAACCTAGTGAAATCCCACAAGAGGAGTTTGAGGAGGATGGTTTTAAGAAGACCTTACCCCTATCATCTTCTAAAAGAAGATTTCTACTCGGATTGAGATATATGCACTTAATCAGTGGCTAAAAAAACTTTATCCTTGTTTGGCATTTCACCAACCTTCCTACGCCCTTTAACCTAACACTGACGCCATAATACAAACAGACATTAATTTGGATGTCTAAGTCAACCAAGAAAAGGGGCCAACAATGAGTGCCGATGACCGTTTGACTTGACTCCCAGTCTTGAGTTGAACAAAGGAGACTAACAGAAAAACAGGTGTAACTAAAACAGTGACAGATCATTCATGTACAGTACATAATGCAGTTTCTAAGTGCAGACAGTAATATCAAAAAAATGCTTCTGAAAAGGGATTAATGTCATTGAAGTAAATTATTCATAAAGCTAAACACTCTGCAAAGTGTATACACATTGAAAAGTATTCAATCAAAAGTCCACAAAACTCCAAATTGGATACCCTGGACCAGGGGTATCAGGCCCAATGAAGGAGACATGGAGACCCAAGCTCATAGGCCTATCATGGAAATCAGAAGTAGACATTGGCCCAAGGCTTGTCCTTGGGCCCGAGGTCAGTCTCGTCTTGTTCAGCAGCAAGCTCATCAGATCCACCAAACCAGGGGTCAGCCGCAGCAAGGTCACTTGGTTGTATGGTCAGGAGATGTCATCAATTAGAAATTAGGCCCTTAAGGGGCAGTAGCATAGGAGGGTTGGATCTAACATGTCATCCTCATGGGCCGGCCAAACAGCGCAATTATTTGAAGGCTAAGGCCTTATGCGCGTACTCATCATCTATACATAGCCCTTCCTGGTCAATGGGGAGGGACATGCTCTCATTTGCAACTTGAATTCAAATCTGGAGTTTTCTATCTCTCTGTCCCTCCCTCGCCTCCTCCCACCTTGCATATTATACAAGAATTTCTAGAACATGTTAAATTCCTAGGGTAAACAATAGGTGCTTCCTTTTTTTCAATAGGAATCAAATCCATGTATAGCAGAGGCATAAATCAAAGACATCCACCTTTGCACACCCTGAAAAAAGAAAAGCTGAATTTCCAAAAATCCAAGTCTTCTGAAACTAACTAGAGCATTGAATGCACTTACATTTCTCCTGTCCCAAAGAAGTGCACAAAATACTTTTTAGGATCTGGAGGTTTCTCCCAGTCCTCGGGTCTACTAATCTGGAAATTTCAAATAAATAATTATTAAATAAACGACTTTACCAAAAAAAATAAGCACATGGAAACAATGCGCCATGCCACCATGAACACCAAGACACTGAAAATCATCAGTTGCAGTTTCCCATATGAACAAAATAAAAACAATAATGTTTTGAAAGGTATGAAATCATCACACGAGACAAAAGATTTGCAACAGTATATTAAAAAGGAATAAGTGCATTAAAAAAATCCAACAAGTAAATTAACACTCTCATGTTTGCAATACCGTTAACCATAATTTAGCTAGAATTTTTTACATGGGATAAAAAAGACCATAAGCATGACCATTTGCAACACATTACACAACCAGAGATGATATAAAAAGAAAACAACATAACTACAAAGAGCTTTACAACTAAGATGCACTATATGAGACAAGAACCCAGCAAAATACCCACATTAGTTCGTTCCTAAGGTACTACGGAGTACAAATCACAAACGGCACTAAACATGCCCCATAATCAAGATGATTAGTTTATACTCCATCCGTACCAAAAAGAACTTGACATTTCCGTTTACAATGTTGTGTTGAAATTATTTTCAATTCAATTTACATCAATGGTGAGGTAAAATTTAAATTTAAATTTGTACATATAAAAACTACATCAAAAGTTCTACAAAACAAGATGTGACTTCACTTGTTATTTTAACTATGTAAATAGCAAATGTAAAGGGCTTTTTGGGACAACGAGAGTATATAATTCCTATTCACGTCTTAACCCATTATAAGAATTACAACATTAGTTCAAATGCTTGAATTAACAATAGTAATCAGGCAAGACCATTAAAACAAGTTCAACTTAAATAGTTAAATCTTTTTTAAAAAATCATTAAAATGGAGTGTTGGCATCTAGCCTTGACTATTAACCAAGCTTACATCAAAGTAGAGTGATGGACACGTCCTTGTTTTGATTTTTCAAGAGATCTACACAACATATTAAGCTCAATCACTTTAGATGTACTTTTCCTGCTAGAACATGTAAGTTAAACAGGGAAACGGATTGACGTCCCAAGCTCTTCTATGACGAAGAAAAGCAACAAATTGTAATAACAAAACTTAAAGACATCGCCATGTTACATTTCAAATTTGAAGCCACATGTCACACATAAATGGTAGCAGGGGGCATACCTTTGCAGGCCAGGCAGGGAAACCCTTGACCTTGGCTAGGACGAGATCACCTATGCTCAACTCACTAGTTGTTTTCACTCCTTTGGCTCCACGTTTACGCCCTGGAGCCATGGCGTTTTAATCTTCTCCCAGAAACCCTAATCTGTATATGTGTCTGCAGCCGTCCCTTAAATCCCCCTTCCCTTCTTTGACTTCCGATCGCACGAGAGAGGACAATGAAAGAATCACAACAAGAGTTGTGATTTCCGAAAAGGGCGTAAAAAAAAATCTCTCCTCCGTCTTCTTCAGAACCCAATGGCAATGATTTACGTTTATAAAGTGGAATTCGAAAAACCCTAAAATTGATGCGCGGCTAGAGAAAGTGGGGGTAGATGGCGTTAACAGCGCCGGAATAGTCAGTAGAGGCTACGCGGCCAACTTGCGGATTTCGCATAAAGATGACAAGGGAGGCGCTGCAGAGTAGGCGGAGAGAACCCAAAGGGAACAGTAGTACGAGATGGATGGGAAGAAGATGATGGCTGAGGTCTGAGGAGATGATGGGGGGCATGACTGTAATTTTAGGAAAATCTAACCTCGTTTTATTAGAAACAAATTTGCCACTGAAAAATAATGAGATGCTTTGTTTTCTTGTCCCCATATTTGTTTAATTTGATTTTTTTAAGTCAAATGTGATAAACTTTTATTTAAAAAGACTATACTAATTTGTTTTAGTAAAAAAATTATTACATTTATCTGGTTGAAAATATTCTAAATTTTATTTTACTATACTAATGTGCAATATAGATGGGCTGGGAATTCAGTGGAAGGATTAGGGAGATAAGAACCATCATATTTACAAACGGGGTATGGTAAATACTCCAAACTAACTCGTGTAAGCAAATTACATCAGTAGCACTGGTATCATTTTAAACTTACTATATGTGTGTGTAAGTGTGTGTATGTATGGAATCATTTATTTTTACTCCGTATTATATTATTGTTATTACTACGTTCTAGGAGTATTATGTAACTTCCGTTCTAGTGTATTCGTCATGTTTGGTCTTTTCAAATCATAATAGACAACTTTTAATCATCAACTACTCTCAATTTTTATTATATCTTAATATAATTAAATAAAATTATGAAAATGTTCAATAAGATATATATCTAATTAAACCATTTATATACTTATGTACACTAGTTTTTGTTCAATTAAGATTCAAAATTTATCTAGTTTAACTCAAAAAAATCAAACAAGACGAGTACATTGGGACATAAGTGGTATCCTACAAGGTTTTAAATAAAAAAATATTACAATAAAATAGTTAATCAAAAGACATGACATATAATATTACAATATTATATGGAGTACAAAAATAATATTGCATATATTAGTCATTACTTCAATATTCATCAAAATTATAATATCAATCATCTAATATAATAAGACAGTATTTGATTTAAAACAAAAAATTGAAGAATGAAAAATGGTGAAGAGCTATATATGTCAAACAGTTCATCTTATTTTATTTATATTCTTCCTCCTGAGTATTTGTTCACTTTTAGTTTTTTTTTATCAAGATTGGAGAACTTCGACTTCAAATTAAATAAAAATGATATTGAATATTGATACAAAAATAATTTGATTAGATTTAGTATATCAAATATTTTCAAAATATTCTTTTTTCGAATTAATTTACAATATATATTTTGTTTAATTATAAGTTAAATGTTAAAAATAATTAACCAAAAAAGTCAAAACTAAACAAATATTTAAAGACGGAGGTAGTATTATTGATGATTGTAAAAATATGAGTATACAATGTGGTAGAGATTTATCATTTTGCTTAATTCCCTGCAATAGTAATAAAGCGGTGCATCTCTTTATGCAAGCTTCACATCTAACGCAGAGCTCTGGGGAGTTGTGTGGTACGGCCCCCTACTCAATTTCAACTGCAATTTAAGTTAATATTCTCTTCAATATAAAAACTCATAGTTAATCGGGTCAAGCTACAACCGTTTTTGGAGTCCAGGGTTTTATGATGCTCGATAGATTGATTACTCCCTTCCATATATTTGTGCAGGTGGAGCCGGGGGTCTCTTGGAAACAGCCTCCCTACTTCCGAGTAGGGGCAAGGTCTGCGTACACACACCCTCCCCAGACCCTACTGTTGTGGGATTCACCTGGGTTGTTGTTGTTATTGTTGTTGTTGATAGATTGATTACTCATGTGGGACAAACAAAAAAAAACTGGTATCAAATGAAAATTTCATAGACAACTTGATATTGTCGGACATTATGGAGCGAATAAATTGAAGAAATGACAATAAAATTCTTCCTTGCCATTAATCAAAAGTCTCTCACTAAGATTAAGCAAGTTCCAACAAGCTCTAGTCACTCCGAAAATGTACTTCCAGTGATCCACTATTAAGAAGAAGCAAATTCTAAGTTTCAAAATAATAGCCTATTTCTTCGAGAACCCCAAAAAAGTTTAAGTTTGAACCAAGCTCGCCCAGATACACATGGTAATTTAAAATTCAAATTACTCTTGCATTTACCTTGGAATATGCGAGCTTAAGATGCATGCCGCCCATAACACTACGTTTTTTTTCTTGCTTTCTTTTTTTGTCCCGCGGATGAATAGGTTAATGAGCAGACGAAGTGTTAAGTAACAGTGAGGACAATATGTCTCCCATAGACTTGACTGACAAATCTCCCTCATTCTCCACTTCAGCTTCACTCTCAAGAACAGCTGCATCCAATGTCAGTTTTCGCTTTGCAATTTGGTACACATCCTCATCAACAGTCTCTTTTGTCACCAGTCTTTACAAGGAAAGTTAGCAAACATTATGCCATAAGAAAAAAAACCCAAACTCGTATGAGACGACCTTACAACATGATGGAATTAAAATGTACTTTCTGTCTCCTATTTATTTTTCATGACTTTCCTAATTCTGACTATGAGTTTGAGCCCACACATACGTGTAATTGATATTTCATGCAAATGTTACCAAAAATGGATGTATGAAAGCTTGTTCCGGGAGGGACAAAAACAAGGGCAAGAAGGTTCTTTAAACAGGGTAAATAGTGTAAGAGTTGTAAAATAAAAATTGGAAGAGTTATAACAACTGTTTTGAAACGATGAGGCTGCAAAATACCTGTATATTGTAACAGGCTTTGTCTGTCCAATGCGATGGCAGCGGTCTTCAGCTTGACGGTCCATTTGTGGATTAAAATCCATATCATGTATTATCACAGTATCAGCACCAGACAAGTTCAACCCCTGCCCTCCTGCCCTTGTGGAGAGCAAGAACGCAGATATAGAAGTGTCCTTATTGAATGTGTCTACAATGGATTGCCTCTCAGCCACGGCAGTACTAACACATACAGAGCCAAGTTTAGCACATATTTGATCCAATAAGAACAACACTCNGGGGGGGGGAGGGGAGCCATGTATAGGTAGTATGTTACCTTCCATCAAGTCGCCTGTAAGTAATTCCAATGACATCCAGTGCCCACTCAAGGATATCAAGCATTGATGTCCATTGACTAAATATTAGGACTCGATGCCCTGATTTCTTCAGCGAAGGAAGGATATCAGCCAACGCCTACAACAGCAAAAAAAGATAAAAAATTATAACCTATTTCTCGTTCTTAATATCAGTCATTACCTAGTGGACACACCTCAACTATATTAATGTACCTGGCACTTTGCTGAATTCATAACATGTTTATCCGAAAGAACTCCCTTTGTATCATACTCACCGTAAGAAAGTAAAAGCTGCAAGAATCAGAGGATCATGTATAACAGTAAGGGGTGCTTGGGTATGACAATTGATATCATGCTTTGGGGTATAAAGTGATGTGTTTTTTAGTATCAAAACACTCCCAACCTCTCCTCAACCACTTAAACTATGTTTTCTTTTCTTTTCCTCTCTAACCAAACATTAAAAATTGGTTTCCCTCTCATTTTCTTTTCCAATTCAAATTCCTTGAACAAAACATAGTGTTAATGGGCGAGTGTTGTACTTGAAATAGAATTTTGGAAGAAAAGAGGCCTAAACATGTTGTTAAACACCTACTGAAAGAAAAGTGGACCAAAAATGAGAACCTTGTGAATCGAGAAGTCGTTATAACCCTTGAGTTCTTCAATAACCCTGTCCATAGCGCATTCAAAACCAAAGACACCTCTTGGACGTAACGCTTTAGCTATTTGAACGACATCATCATCGCTATAGATACGCCTTACTAGCAATGGGTGGTTAGAGATCTGAAATACAAGGAAAACCAGCATCTATATATCCATCAATTTGAAACACTAAATTTAAAGGAATTGACATGACCACCAAAAATTGAGTTGGCTTTAAATTGCATCAGCACCTTGCGGAATTCAATAAAATAATTCGAAATCTGTTTTTTAGGAAAAATTGCAGAGGCATTATTCAAACCAGCTCCAGATAGCTTTCGCATACGTGCTAGAGAAGTTGTACGATAATTTTCAATCGCTTCTCTATACATGCCTCCTTGCTGTTCCCCCATGAATACATAATGAACCTTTTGAATCTTCGGTACAAGTTGCTTCATTACATCTGATTTCAATCTTCTCAAAATAAATGGCCCAAGTATAGATTTTATCTGAGCAATTAACTCCTTATCTTCGGCATTAAAAAGTTTTTTCAAATCAATATCTCTTGTTTCAAATAGATCAGGCATCATAAACTCCAGCATTGACCACAGTTCCTGAAATGGAAGACCACTAACTGAAAAAAGTCAAGCCAAACCTTAAAAGTTGTGCATATGAAAAATGGAATGTATCACATAAACAATAAAAACTGAGTTGCCTAGGGGTAATATCGCAGATGATTTGAGGGGTGAATGTAACCATTTATAAGATGATTGCCAGCTATTCATAACCATCATTTTTCCCAAGACATTGCATCACACAATAAAATTTTTAATGCATAACCCATAAATATACTGATTCAAGCGTGATAAGGCACATGTAAAAACTATGCAGCAAATCTAGTTTGCAATGTGTCTGCAACATGAGCTAAGTATTCGAAAGTTCACTGAGAAGAAAATGAAGCATGATAATGTTCAATATGAAGTGCATACTAACAATTCAAGAAAAGCAAAAAATAGAGAGCCAGAGACCATACATGCAAACCATTCTGCAGTGGTGTCCCTGTAAGCATCAGGCGTTGGTTTGCATTTCGTGCCACAGACATTAAGTTTTTCCACCTGTAGCTATTTTTATCCTTCAAAGCGTGAGCCTCATCCATTAAAACACAGCTCCACCGCCACTTTTTCAAAACTTTGCGGTCATCTTTCTGCTGTGCACTGCAACATCAGCATTAGGTGTTGCATGTTCTTTATGTTGACGAGTTTAAAGTATAGGAAAGTTTAATGGCAACCATTGTGCTTGAAATGAGAAACTCCATGATAAAGTATGATATTAAAAAACAGTGTCAATAGAGTTAATGCATCCTAATAAGGCACCCAAACAACTTCCATTTGTAACAAGATTGGAAAAAATGTATGTGTGTTGGGTAGGTAGGGGGTGATAGACTGATAGTAGTGGATTCAGAAAAAAAAACCAACCTGTGTCGTTCGAAGAGTGAGTAGCACACAAGTATAACATTAAATTTTGGCGGAAACCCAGCCTTCGCCTGATGGCTCAAATCCTTGGAGTAAGCAGATCGAGAAGCACCGTGATATTGAAGGACAGTGAAATGTGGACACCATTTCTTGAGCTCTCTTTCCCAGTTTTCCAAAAGAGAAGCAGGGCATACAATTAAATGTGGGCCAAGATCATGTTCCAAATGCTTTAGTAGGGTCAAGTATGTAATGGCCTACAAGAAAAATAACTTGTGGATCTGCTTCTTATTGTTTACTATTAAAATAAAATCAATGATATAGAAAAACAATGTTAAGAAACCTGTATTGTCTTGCCCAGACCCATCTCATCCGCCAGTATTGCTGCAAAAACCAAATAAATGTCAAAAAGAAAAAAATAATAAAGAAATTGGACAATAATGTGAAGACAACACTTTATAAGGTTGGACTTTCCACAATTGTACATTCTATCCAACACATCAGTAAACATCTCTGAGTTATGTATGCATGAGGAAACATGATTCAAGTGACCTGCAAAACCTTTATAGCCAGAGGGAAAAAGAATTACTCCCACCTTCCCATAATAAAAGACACTAAGATGGTTAGATGAATTTATTTTCAATTTGATTTATTTTAAAATTGGTATAGAAAAAAGAAATAAAATTTATATATATTCAAAAACTACATCAAAAGTTGTAAAAAACAAGAAGTGACAAGACTGTTATCGATGAAAATATGTACTCCATAAGAAAAAAGATGTAGTTTGACCCCGAGTGTATTATTTCGGGACGGAAAGAGTAGTTTACTCTTCGGTTTTACACTGCAGCAATCTATTAGCATTTGCAACTTTTTCCCAGCAATCTATTAGCATTTTCAACTTTTGCAAGATAGATGTTTAAAAAGAAACTAAAGGATGTTATATTAGTCCTGTTTTCCCTATAATTAGGACAAGCATTGAAGACCTTACAAGTAAAGGTGCACAGTACCAAATACCTCCTCCAATTTTTTTTCTGTATAACAGTATAAGAAAATTGACTCCAACAAGCTGGTAAGGCTTCAGCACCGGCTTGAAATCTGAGTCCTCTGCAGCACATGCCGCATTTACATCATCCTTCACATTCATAAAGAACAAATATCTTCAGCAGATATTCCAAATTTCAAGCAATTGAAGAGCAGACAGGGTAGAAAACTCATATTCACAGATATACCTGAGAAACCATTCTCAGGGAAGAAACTTCCTCAACTTCAGAGAAGCGATCACAAACTGCATTTGCAGAGCCATACAACTCTCTCTTCAGGTCAGATGATATTTTACCACACTTGTGCAATGCCTTGACAACAAGATCATTTTCATCTTTCTCTTCCTCCAGCTCCTCCTCGTCGTCGTCTTCGAATTCTGAGTACAACTCCAGTTCCATTTCTTCTTCTTCTTCTTCATCGTCACCAAATCTGGAAACTTCACGCCGTTTCTTAGTAGACTTCACTTCATGACCATCGTCGTCATCCGCAATGACGAATCTACGACGGCTGCGGATCCTGTTCACCACACCTACCTCCTCGTCAGTGTCGTCATCTAAATTTTGGGATTTACGCGCAACTCCGTCGGAAGCGCTGTCGTCGATGTCAATGAAATCGATTGTTGGAGGTTCCGAACGATTGTTGGGCTTGGAATAAGCGAATGACTCGATCGGAGGTGGGGAGTGTGCAGTATCGGGTCGCAAGACTCGTGAGGGTTTGAAGGAGTGCTCTTCAGGCCAGTCGTCGTCGGAAAGCTCGTATAGTTCCAAAGAACGTTTCATTCTCTGGCGGAACCCTAGGGACGGACGAGAGAGGGAGGGAACTTTTGAAAGTTAATTGAACAACAGACAGAGATCACAAAGAGGAACGCATGGAATCCGAACCGCGGTTGCTGTATCACCAAGGGAGAAATGCAAATCAAATTTGTTCATCTCACACTCTACTATACTCTTCTTCTTTTTTTTTATAAAGAAAAATGCTATAATTACAAATAAAATCATAAAACTTACATACTTTTGACTCCATCCAATTTATCTTTAATTAGTTTAGTTTTTTAATTAAACTTAGATACTTCAAGTATTTTGATTTTTTAATTAAACTAAACAAATTTTGATCAACAATAAAATAAAAATTGTATTAAATATTACCTAGAGTAATTTAAATATGATTTATTCAAATTTATCTTGCACAAAACTATCAGAAAATTATTTTATTATGGATCAAGGAGTATGTTAATATACAATACGAATTTAATGATTAATAATTAAAATTTGTTTATGACAATATTTGAGAGACGAAATTTAAAATGTTTCGTATTAATAATGAATAAAAGCAAACATATTTTAGACTGAGTATGTTAAAAATAAGCAAAAATGACCCCTAAACGATAAAAATTTGAAACCCCAAGATGCCCTTCCAGCATTAATAACTTAAGGTAGTCACATTATTCATAAAAGTATGCCTGACAATTAAAATATTACAACTTTCGTCTCAGTGTACTTGTCCAGTTTGACTTTTTCGAGTCAAACTGGACAAACTTTGAACTCCAATTGCTCTCAAATTATATTGCATATTAGCATAATGAAATACAATTTTGAAAATTCTCAATACGATAAATTCAATAAAATCATTTTTATGTTAAAATATATTACGATTTTTATTTAATTGAAGCTCAAAATCTATCCAATTTGACTTGAAAAAGTCAAACTGGATATATACACTGGGATAGAGAAATTACTACTCTTTTAGTAACTTTTTCATTTTTAAATCGCAAGTGTATTATTGATCTCATAGATAGTAATTACTCCATAAAATAACTTTTTTATGCCAGTTGAATTACTAAAAAACTACTCCGTATGTTAAAATACATTACGTTTACACGGAATAATAGCAATGGCAATTTAGTTATCACACAAAGTTAGGATGCCAACCATAAACTGATATGGGCACTTGAAACATGAGCCAAATTAGGACATCAAGATAAAGATAAAGAAGCGAAGCAGTAGTCCCTTTAAATTTGGCAGGTGACAAACTCTGCAAAATGTGCACAAGATTCTCAATCTCATCAAAGATAAGCTTATAGCTTTAAAGAATACCCAGCAGCACAGCTGCCTTGTTCATCCCAAAAAGATAAAGAGTTCAATGGAAGATTCCAGTAACAAACCCAAAAAAAAATAAATTATGCTATCGGCCACAATTGGCTGTGTTTATTACACAAGAAGACCCCTCTGTTTGAAGACGTCAAGCATCGTGGTTCCAATTTTCGCTGGAGACTCACACACTGTCACTCCGGCTTCTTTAAGGGTCTTGATTTTGTCTTGAGCCGTACCTTTCCCCCCTGAAACTATAGCTGCATATGCCCACCAACCAAATTGGTTCAGGTAATCTCAATAATTCCACTTCATTCTCACATAATGTGAGAACTGAATTTTAAAAAAAAAAACAAAACATAAGTGCATTAACCACGTAGTACAACAGCTTTGCTCCTTATATTCCCCCCTCACTCATTCATTTATAAAAGAAAGAGAAAATAAGAATATATCTGTTTGACTAAGGCACAACTTTTTTACTATAGTAGGGTACAACACTTGTTTGTCATTAAAAATTTGCTACTCAAAATACCATTTTTCAAGCTACTATCCCATTCTCATACAAATATTTCCGTCATTTAAAATTTCATCAAAATCCTCCTTTCTTCCCCTTACCTTCATTGTGACCCCAGCTCCTCAGCCAAAAACAAAATGTTAAGGATGAAAACAAAAAAGGGGAATATTGCAAGGGCAAGCATGCAAGCACAAATAGATAACCGCAATATTACCTCCAGCATGGCCCATTCTCCGTCCAGGTGGGGCAGTAAGTCCAGCAATAAAAGCAACAACAGGCTTCTCAGTTTTACTTTCCTGTTCCAGTTGCATATAAACTTGCTCATTAGTTCCCTCATCCCCGCATGTAGTACAAAATTATAGCTACATTTTGCGCCATAATTAATAGCTCAGTCTTCAATTTGTCAATATCAAGCTCGCAAATGGAATAAGATATTTCTACATTACTAACTAAATCTAAGCTAAATGTAGATTTTTAAATTTGAGATTCCAGCACATTATATTTAACTATCCAGCCCCAGAAGTTCAAAAGGTGGCAATAGTATGCATCTTAAGTGTCAAATAAAAAGAATCAAGTACTAAACCTTGATGAAAGCTGCAGCATCCTCCTCTGCAGTACCACCTATCTCGCCAATAAGAACAATACCTAGCATGGCCAATGCATTCAGAATAAGACGTATAGCATTTTGAGTTTATAAGTTGCTTGACTAAATTAATAAAATGGACGTGGACATAGTAAATATTAAACAAATGTTAGTACAAACTTTAAAAAAGGAAACTTAAATAACGTACTACACTGAGACATTAGAGTAAGAATATGACTTCATCCAACATGTCTGTTTGTAGTAAATTAGCTATGGACCACGAGATATAAGTTTCTTAGCCACCATCAGAATTCTGTTTACCAAATCAAATAGCCTAGGAAATAAGAGGATAGAAAATGCAAGCTGCTTCTAAACATTTGATCCTATTAAAGATGGAGGAAAAGAATTGCAAGCTGGAGGGAATAGCAATCAAAATTGAGTGTTTTTATCAGAAGGTTTATTCTTTGTACTCCATTAAAGGCATATGCAGGAACAATTTATGGAAGTCTACCTATGCATTACTAGCATTAGGGAACATATTTTGAGCATGATAGTACTTGATGCAACCAACTAGAGCATACATGTCTATACATAGCAAGTCAAAGAACAAATGTGATGGCCACCATATGCAGGGTACTATGACATTGTATTTACCTTCAGTCTGTGGATCAGCAACAAACCGCTCTAAGCAATCAACAAAATTTGTACCGTTGAAAGGGTCCCCACCAATCCCCACACAAGTTGATTGACCTAGGCCAACAGCTGTTGTTTGGAAAACCTGAAGTAATACACAAGAGATAGACCCATTAACAAATATGCATGACACAGTTTCTTGTTTCAAAAATCAGGCCACAGCACAATTAATGAGTTAGAGAAGAATAGTCGCACGTGTATGAAAAAGAACCAAAGAAAGGGTAAGAATGCAAGAGATAATTGACTTAGAAAAATCTTTCATTATATAGAAAGAAAAAAAATTATTTTGTTCAACGAAATTAATCTGCATGCAAACACAAAACAGGTGGAGAATTCAATTTAATCAAACACGAAACAGAAATTTCAATAAGAGTGTGTCATACCGCTTCATATGTCAATGTTCCAGATCTAGAAACAATCCCAATACGTCCAGGTTTGTGAATGTATCCAGGCATAATTCCAATTTTGCATTCACCTGGTTTGATGATACCAGGGCAATTTGGACCAATGAGACGAGTCTTTGACTGTCTCTTAAGAGCAGCTTTCACTTTGACCTGCATTTGGAAATAATGAACTCTGGAATGAGTAAAGAGGATCCAACAATGGAATCAATATGCTTAAAATCACTGTAAACCAGAAAGGACAAACAAAGCTAACACGTAAGCAGTGGGTTCACCACATTCACTTTTACAACCAAAATAGCAACAACAAAAATGAAGCCACAAACCATAAATCATCTAACTTCTATTAAAATTTAAGCACATCTAAATTGAACACATGTTTGCATAGTGTTTGAAAAAAATCATTTCTGATTAAGGAATATGTCCGTGAGCTTTCAAACCAAACAATGATGAGCTCGATTTTGGTTCATTAAGTTAAGAGAACAAACTAGAAATGAATTTTTGACAAACCAAGCCACAAATAGCTGACAGACATTGACCCAATTTAAGCTACACAACATTCAGAGCAATGATCTTTACAATAAAAGAAAAATAACTGCATTGGTATTTATCCTAATGACTACATAAGTACCCTTTAGAAAAGGGATCACAATGTGTTCCATTATGCAACTATCATTTTAGTAATTATGATGAATTGTCTAAAATAACATAGAGATATTATACGAACATTGTTGGTACGAATGAGCGAGTAGTTCAATTGAAGGACTTATTTAGCATTTTAAATTCATTTCTTAAAATGAGAACTTTGGGAATGTGTAAAACAAATTCCAGACGAAGGGAGTACACAGAGTGCAATCAAACAGGATTATTAATTACAGTGCTATCCAATACTCAATAGTAACCCGGCATTGGAGTATCCTCAACAAACTGCCTGTTACAGTTATGATGGTCATCTAAATATAGTCTATTGTGCTTACCATATCGTGCTGAGGAATTCCCTCTGTGATGCACACCACCAAATCTAATTCAGCTTCCATTGCCTCCATGATGGCAGCAGCAGCAAAGGGCGGAGGGACATATATTACAGAAGCATTAGCCTTTGTTTCAGCTTTGGCCTCTGCAACAGAGTTGAAAACTGGAAGCCCCAGGTGCTCCGTACCACCCTTTTTGGGGGTCACACCACCAACCTAATCATTGATCGTATACCAAAGCATGTAGAGTAAGAAGGAGAACATATTAAATCTCTTGAACAAATAAAAAATTAGACTACAAAAATCATTGAAATCTCCAACCAAATCTAAACAGCGGCTAAATTCATCAAAGCCTTTCATACAATCATACACACCCACATGCATATATACATCATGTCGATAATGGCAAATCACATGTACCAAACTGAGATCGAAAAAAACACACCGAGAATGCCACAATCACAAAAGGAAAAATCAAGAGCAGACGAAATACCATTTTGGTTCCATATTCGATGGCCTGTTCGGTGTGGAACGTTCCGTTTTTCCCCGTGATTCCCTGGCATATGACGCGGGTGTTCTTGTCGACGAAAACTTCCGGCGGCGGCGGCTGAGATCCGAAGAATCGGTTCTGTTTCTGCTGCCACAGCGGAGATGGCGTGCTAGGTCTCAGCGCCTTCGACAAGTTAGTGATCAATTTCGTCGCTTGCCGAGCCATCACTGTCGCCTCTCTGCCTCTCTCTTTCTCTCTCGTGTAGCCCAAGCTAAGGTTTCTCCATTTTCTTTTTATTTGCAGCCTAAAAGAAAGTGGGAATCGTCCAACGGGGCGGGTCGACCCGAAAGACGAATTCCAGCAGAATGGATGCTTTTTCATTAATTGCACCGGACCGACCCTTGCGTTTAATGTAATTAGGGGTGGGCACGGATCGGGACGGTCCGTTTTTAGGTTGTCCCACGTCTTGTCCCGTTATATATAAACGGTTCTGAACGGTTCGGATTACAACCTTATCCCGATTTGTCCCATAAAATTCGGGATCGGAATAAAACGGGACGGATTCGGGTCGTCCTATTTTGTCCTTAATCGCAAATATAAGAAGTGGGAGAGAGTGACATTTCATTCAAAAAAAGAAACATGTAGCCATCCAACAAAAACCAATTAGTGGAACGGGTCCAAATAAATTTCAAGCCTACGAAGTTAACTTAATTAAATAACTAATTATTTAAGGAATGGGTGTATTTGGATTTTGGAGTAGAATTAGTATTATATATTAGTAGAGTAGATGAAACGGGACAAACGGGACGGATCGGTATAAATTTTAGTTGTCCCGCTTATGTCCCATTTGATATTGGGACGGAACGGGTTCGGGATAAAAAAAATGTGTCCTGATATATCGGTACAATTACAAAACGGAACCGGGATTTTTCGGAACGGTCCAACGGGAACGGATTTCATGCCACCCCTAAATGTAATTGTATCTAAGACCCCTCAAGTAATTTGTGTAAGACAAATTATCTTTGGGGAATTTTATCAAACAGGTTGTAGGCAACCTTGTTTAGAAGAAATGTTAAAACTATAAATATTTAATATGGATCAGAACAAGCTCAAAAACAGAACAGGAATGGGAAGAGGACTTGATGATTTTATTAGTCTATAGCTACGCCAATTTATAGGCTATACAAAGCAATAAGATAGACACTACTGCATTTCCTAAAAATAAGGAAAGCCACACAAGTGTAACTAATGACATAAGAATAGGACAATAACTGAAATGATAAACCTATTAACAAATAATGACTTTGTCAACTGACTTATTCAACATTCCTTCCCTTAAACTGAAACATCAAGTATGTTCCAGTTTAAATGAGCTCACAGACACCCAACTGTTTCCTTAACCTCTGAAAAACTGAAATCTTCAAAGGTTTTGTCATTACATCAGCAACTTGGTCTTCACTCCTGCAGTGTAGAAGCTGGATTATCCATCTCTTGTGTAGTCCCTGAGAAAATGAAATCTGACATCTATATGTTTACTTCTTCCATGTAGTACTGGATTCTTTGACAACTTGATAGCAGAGCTGTTATCACAAAATATAATAGAAGCTCCCTCTTGTTCAAACTGCAGCCCTTCAAGAATTCTCCTTAGCCAAATTCTCCTTACAAATTCAGCTTCAGTGCTAGACAAAGTGACAATGGGCTGCTTCTTAGAAGACCATGAAATAGCCCCACTGCCGAGCATAAAAACATAGCCTGAGGTGCTCCTTTTGTCATCAATATCCCCTGCAAAATCGCTGTCAGTAAATCCAACAAAGCCAGACTTGACACCCCTCTTGTAGAATATCCCAAAATCCTTAGTTCCTTGCAAGTAACGAAGGATTCTCTTGGCAACTTGTTGGTGCATATCCGTTGGATTCTCCATATACCTGCTTATCAGACTAACAGCATACATAATATCTGGCCTCGTAGCTGTTAAATACATTAAACTACCAACAATCTGCTTGTATAGTGTGTTGTCAACCTTTTCTCCTTCTTCATCTTTGTGCAATTTCAAACCAAACTCAACTGGAGTGTCACAAGAATTACAGTCCTGCATTTTAAACTTTTCGAGAACTTCCCTTACATATTTCTTCTGCGAAACGAAAATCCCATCTGCAGATTGGACCACTTTTAAACCCAGAAAGTAATGCATCTTTCCAAGGTCGGACATTTCAAATTCATTCATCATAGACCTCTTGAATTCATCAAAAAACCCAGAAAGTAATGCGTCTTTCCAAGGTCAGACATTTCAAATTCATTCATCATAGACCTCTTGAATTCATCAAACATAGAATTATCATTCCCAGTGAATATAAGATCATCAACGTATAAACAAACTATGAGCATTTTCCCATCATCTCTTATTTTGACAAAAAGTGTATGCTCATAAGGGCATTTCTGAAAACCTGCTTTCAGAAAGTATGTCTCAATACGACTATACCAAGCTCGAGGAGCTTGTTTTAGTCCATAAAGAGCCTTTTTTAACTTATAAACCTTATTTTCCTCTCCAAACTTAATGTAACCAGGAGGTTGTTCAATAAATACCTCTTCCTCCAAGTTTCCATGCAAAAAGGCTGATTTGACATCCAATTGGAAGATCGGCCAAGAATTCTGTGCCGCCAAAGCTATCACCAATCTGATGGTGTCATGTCGTGCAACTGGTGCAAACACTTCTTTATAATCAACTCCATACTCTTGCTTATATCCCTTTGCCACCAACCTTGCCTTGTATTTGTCCACTTCACCGTTTTCCTTCAACTTTGTTTTGTAGACCCACTTCACACCGATGGTCTTGCAGCCTTTGGGAAGATCTGTCAACTCCCAGGTGTCATTCTTTTCAATTGATTGAATTTCAGAATCCATTGCCATTTTCCATTTTGCTGTTGTAACAGCATCTTCAAAGTTGACTGGATCAGAATCTGCAAACAAAGCAAAATAGGTGGTTTCATCTTCATCCACTCGAGGTACAGCATAATCTTGCATCCATGCTGGCCTTCGTCTAACACGCAGAGGACGAGAATTATTCTCTGGTGTTGCTTCTC